TGATGTTGAGTGGGACGTGTAGTGGATTGAGGAGGTCCTGCCAGTGAGGAGTGGGTTGTCGTTGTCTGGTCCGATTCTTTTCCTGCCTTTCTATTCTCATTCCTTTCATCTTTTTCCTCTGGGTCTAAGGAACTTGCCTCCATCTGGTGTCCCAGGACCAATTCCACCTCCCGACTAATCTTCTTTGGCTTGCTGTGGGTTGAGCCTTTGTCTTCATGTAATACAAGTTAAATTAGGTGTGGAGTAGTAGGTTAGATAATTAGCTTGATTTTTTGTGGTCTAGGTGTGTGCATTGTTGATGGGTTGTGAAGTACACATAGGCTCATATCATGGGGGTCTCATAAGCTGCTCAGGGGGTGTTATTTAACAATCGGGTGGAGGAGGAAGGGACACGTCACTGAATGTAGTCTTCAGTCTGCCAGTACTGTTCACGTAGCATAAGAAGTGTTTCATAGCCAAGGGGTTGGATAACAGATAGGGGAGAGAGGTAGCCTTGCGACCGAATTTCTGATGTAGAATGAAGTGTTTGTGGTCATATTGGGGACATTCAAAAAGAAAGTGATGGATAGTTTCTGCTGTGTTCTGGCATATAGGACAATTAGGAGAGTCGCTTCGCTGGATGTGGTGGAGATGGTGGTCAAGACTGATGTGATGCGTGCGGAAATACATGTATAGGCCAATTAGTCGTTTCAGGAGGTCTGCTACTAGTTTTACAAAGGAGCGTGAAAGGATGTTTGGGTCAATCTGCTGCATGTGGGCATATCTCGGGGACTTTGCCCAGAGGCGGTCCCATCTGCTTCTGGTGTCCTTTTTGAAGGCTTGCTTAATGGTGGAGAGGCTGCTGGGCAGTTGGCTGAGTGATAGATACTGCAGCAGCTGATTGGTCATGCTGCTGTTCTGTCTGCTCTCTGCTGCTTTCTTGGCTTCCTCATCCGCTAGTTCATTGCCTACTACTTCACTGTGTCCTGCTATCCAACGGACTGTGATGTCATAACCTCGTTCATGATTGCTCCTTTGGATTGTCTTCATCATTCATCTGAAATGTTCGACTAAGTAGTGTCCAGCTTTCGGGGTCGTGCTCTCACTGAATTTCAGTACTACTTGATTGTCTGCCAGTATTGATGCGGGGAATGTGATATGACGCTCAGTAGAGAGGAGGTGAGCTGCTAAGGTAAGTCTGATGGCTTCTGCTTCATAGACAGTATGCTCCTCATCAGTGCCTAGGTGATAACAGAGGATGCAAGGGTCTCATCCTTCATGTAGTAGGACTGCTGCTGCCCCTATGTTGCTGTTGTGCCCTGAGCCATCACTGTAGATCTGAATATTGTCCATTAGTTGGGCTTGTTCTTCAATAGATTTCTCCTTGGTTTCAGCGATGTGTACTGAGTATAGATGCCGGTATGAAGGGTGTTGGATGGCTCTGGTGAGAGTCTCTATTTCTATGGGGTCGATCTTGTAGGACTTGGTCAGCCAATGGAGGGATGTGTGGTGTCTTCTAACAGTAGCATGAGGCTGTGCATTTGACATGTATGTGGAGAGGGTGGGTTGTGGGATGAGTGGCTAATCGGATGATGGCACAATGACATGTGTTCTGCAGGAGGAGGGTTATAGGGAGAAGGTTGGCGTGAGCTTCAAGTAGGTCTGTCAGCGGTGGTTCTCATAGTGCCCATGATCCATATGGCTGTGATTCTCTGCACTGAGGACATCTTTCTCCCAATACCTAGGGAGCCTCTTTGGGCTGTGTCTGAGCCGGAGATATACGCTGGGGTGAACCAAACATCAGCCACATATAGCATCTTAGGGATAGCTACCGCTCGGTAGAGCTGTCTCATCAGTTTCATCAGCATTCCAGAGGCAGTAGAGGAGAGGTGGCATAGTTGAAGTGCGTAGGCTGAACCTTTGGCGATAGCATAAGCGATGTGTGCCTTCCAACGTAATTCTTGATCTAATATAACACCTAGGAATTTATGAGTAGCAGATGGATGAATGAAGTTACCTCTGATATTCATTGGGGGGTGTGCTTTGGTTCTGTTTATGGAGAAGTCAATTAGAGTGAACTTGCTTGTTTCAAATTTAGAATTATGTGCTAGAGACCATTCATAGCCTCCGCCGGCACATTCCAGCATGTCTGTTAGAGTAAGGTGAGTTTTGTGAAATGAGGATCTGATTGCAATGAAGGCAGTGTCATCTATGAATGCTAGGGTGGATTTGTTCTTGCCACAGTTCTTGGCCACATTCACTAGGTCAGTGTTGTATATAATGTATAGGATCATTGAAAGAGGGTCGCCTTGACCTATACCATTCGTCACCAGGAACCATTCAGATTTGAAATTGTCAAATTGCAGACAAGTTTGTCAACCAGAGAGGACTTGTTGTGTGAAGTCGATCATTGCCCGTGGGAGGTGCCTAACTCTCATATTGTGGAGTAGACGGTCAGTGACTGTGTTTGGGAATGCGCCTTCAATGTCTAGAAATAGGACTGAGGCTACTTTCTTTGTGCGCCAAGCATTCTTGATGGTTTCTTCTAGCAAGTGAAGGGAACCTGTCATTGATCTGCCTAGTTGACCTGCTGAAGTGTGTTGCGGGTAGGAGTTGGTGATGTTTGAGATAGTAGGTCATCTGATCTGCGATTACTGCCATTAGCAATTTGCACATTGTATTGAGAAGGGCGATGGGACGATACACTTTGGTTACAGAGTAATCAGGTTTGCCTGGTTTCCTAAGGACCACAGTTGTGAATTGGCACCATGGTTGATAATATGTATGAAGATTGATGGTTGCATTAAAGAGTGGCAGGAGAAAGGGAATGAGTAAGTTGATGCACTGCTTGAAAAAAATGTTACACATGCCATTGGGTCCTGGAGCTTTGAACGGGCTGAGTTTGCTGATGTTGCAGGAGATTTTGTCAGCCATTATCAGTATCATTGAGGCCACGGGATTAGGATATTCAAAGTCTATGGGGACAGAGGATGTGTTAGGGCATTGTGGGAAGAAGGACTTAGCTACAGTGATGCTTTTCTCAGCATTGCTGGTGGCATCATGTGATGTACCATCAGTCTTGGCAGATTGAGAGGGTGGGTATTTGTGTTTTGCTGCCATCTGTCAGGTCAGAGGAGATATATTTGTTGGCAATCAAGATATCATTGCCTGAGATCTCTTTAAGCCAGTCGATCCAGTGCTGTTTCTTGGATTTGAGGATCTCTTTGGCATAATGGTTGTGAAGTCTCTTGAACTTGGTATGACATGGATGTAGGGGCAGAGCTTTCATTTTGTATGCAGCGTGCATGGCCTTGTTGACTTGATGGCATAGGAGAGTAAGTTTGTGGGTCCACCAGCATTTGGAGTGAGGACTTGGTTTGGACATGGGAACCATCTCCGAAATGACCTTGTCGAAGCATGAGTGCTAGGTTACTGGTGGCAGTCTAAAAGGCTTCATTGGTGAGAAGAGGTGTGGGAGCCGGTCTGGTGTCGAGGTGTGCAGCTAGGACCTTCTTGAATTTGTCCCAGTCAGTTTCGCAGAAGTTGCGTGTGGCCTTGCATGATTCTAGGGATGGATAGTTCGATTATGCTAAGAATGGGAACATGATCAGTTTTGGGACCTCGTAGTGCTGGGTTGATCCTGCATGAGATGAAGAGCTCCATGGAGTGGTCCGTGCATAGCACATTGTCGGGACACATCCAATTACTGCTGTTTGATGCTTGGAGGGTAGGTTGGCCTTTCAGTAGTGGCTGGTTCATTCCATAGTCTGCAATGAGGTTGATGAGCGGTTGTGCTGCATTATAATCGATTAGGTGCATGTTTCGTTCTTCCTCCTATAGTGGGTGGTGGCAATTGAAGTCCCCAAGCCAGATCATGTGGTCGTTAGCGGTTGGGCATACTGTAGTGATATTAGCCGATAAATAAGTGTCCAGAGCTTGAATGGTATGTTGTCCTCTGTCATTGTTGTAAATGTTAAATAAAGTACAGTGGCCATAAGGGCTGGAGAATTGAATAACAACTATGTCAGATGAGGGAAAAGGTAATTGCTTCCAGTCATTGGTGCTGAGTGAGGCACTGACGAGTGTGACAGCATGTGTTTTCTATTTGGGGTGGGTATAGTGCTGTGTGGGGTAGAGAGTATGTCATTGTCTATTGGATTTTGTGTTGTGGAGTCAGTCTTCGCAGGCTTCTTGAAGTGCTAGGATGTCCCAGTGTTGGGCTGTCAGACCGTTGAGGATAGATTCTTGTGTGACTTGAGAGTTGTTGAGATTTTGTTGCCATATATATAGTTGAGTGGGTATTGGGTCCGGTTGTTCAAACATGGGCTACATGTAGAGTGGAGGGTCCTGCGGTCAGTGGTGGTGAGGTAGATGAGGATGGCCACCATAGGGGCATGTATTATTGAGTCAGCATTGACAGTGCTGATGTTGTTGGTAGTGATGAGGTGGTCTTGTCATTGCTGTTGTCTTCTGATAGTAGCGAGAATCTGTTGGAAGTTGAAGTCATTTGGAGGGGGTCTGGTACAGTGGGGGGTTTTGTAGGTTTGAGTCGGAGCTCGGGGGCAGGGCTGTGTGTTGTTGATGACTGCAGTAGGGAAGAGGGTGGTCTGACAAAGGTGGGGAGGCTCTTTAGCATTGTTTGAGGGTGGTGCTGTATCAGTCTTCTTGTATGGTACTGCTTTAGAGGGGAGTAGGGCGTGAGTCCAGGCTTTGCATGTAGGGAAATAGGGCAGAGAGTTTTTGTGGTACTTAGTGTTGAGTTCAGTACATCTTTGTTTGAATTCCAGGCATGATCTGCTCCAACTGGCGTGGTTGTCATTACGACAGCTGGTGCATTGGAAGGTTTTGTAGGCATTGCAGTCAGTTGTTCAGTGATTGTCGACACATATTCCGCATGCATCTCTGCTTGCACCACAGTTGCAGGCAATGTGGCCATAGAGTTGACATTTGGTGCATCGGATGGGTTCCTTCTTGTCTTTCTTGACCCAAATCAGGTGTTGGTCAATGTAGATCCCTTCCTTGATTAGTTTATTGGCCATGACTGCGTCATTTACTTGGAGTAGGGTGAAGGCCATCATCTGGGTGGGCGGGTGTTTGTGTGGTGGCTTGATCCAGCACATGGAGATGAGTGAGTTGACCTCCAGTAGATTCTTACCTTCTACCAGTCGGAGGAGGCCTGGTTGTTCTATGAGCAGGTTGATGGGTACATACTGCACCACCAGAGTATAGGTTTGGTCCTTGAACGTTACTGAGAAGTTTAATGCTTGGAGGAATTTCTTTTGGGTGTGGTTGTCTTTTAGTCTGATTACCATCTCTTCGCTGTCCAGTTCCACGATGAGTCCTCTGTTTTGTAGCTGTAACAGGGCTGTGATTTTGTCTTCATGGTTGTTGGGTGTGAGAGCGGTTTGGATGGCGGTGCAGATCTTGCTTAGGGTATCTTCATGGCTGATATCAGGAGGGAAGACTAGGTTGCTGGGTATGGGGTCTAGGAGGATTTGTCTAGCATGTAAGGCAGCCCTGGCTAGGGCTTCATCTATTGGGGGTATCTGACAGTGAGTTTTGCTGGTTGGGTTTGGGGGCAGGTGGGTTTGATGAGCAAAAACTTGGAAGTTTGGTGGGCTGCCGCAGGAGGTGTGTAGCCTTATTGTTGGGTCTATGGTGTGTGCTGTTGTGATTTTGCTGAATAATGGCAGTTTTGAGGCGATAGGTGGGGAGGGGTCGGGTTGAGTCAAGAGCTGCATTGAGAGTGAGTGGATAGATTCCTGTGTCGATTTGAGCAATGGGGTGAGGAGGTTGATAAAGGTATGGCAGTCTTCAATGGTGCTGTATATAATGTCTGTTGCATTTGTGATTTGGTCTGCTGCCGCATTGATGTCTCGGTCTAGGTCAACACATTTGTCAATTTTCTGGCATGTTTTGGCAACTTCTTCCAGGGAGTGGGATAGTGAGTTGGATGTTGAGGAGAGTTATTCTAGTTGTGGGGCCATGGCAGCCATGATATGGTCTAAGATTTTGGGGGTGAGTTGGGATAATTGGGTTGAAGTTGCTTTGGCTGGGTTTGTTTCTGGCAGTAGGGGTTTGATTAGTTCTGTCTTCTGAATCGTATTTTCCAGGTTTTCAGAGGCCATGAGTAAGCGAGCTACTTGTAGGGCTATTGCTGCAATGACATGATTGACTAGTTTCATGGTGACTGATTCTGATACCTGTTGGGCTACCGACTGGGTAATTTTTTGAGCTACTGCTACCGAGATTTCGTCTATTACATGCTGTTGTCATATCCTGTACCTCCAGATCCAGAATTCCAGATCTACTTTATTAAAGTCTGGTTCTCTGTCCTGCTATTCTGCCCGGCGCTCCGTCTTCATCTCCACACTCACCCCTAACTCCTTTTAGATTAGCTATTGCTCTGGTTACCGGTTATGTCCTATTCAGCTATGCTTACTGATCCATCCATTCTTACTTCATTTCTGACTTCACTGCTTTGATCTGTTACACTTACTAATAGACTTTCCACATGCTTCGTACATAGCCCTTACCTTTGCTGACTGATTTACTTACATGATACCTACAGTATATAAACCCCTGTAATACTCCGGAACTCCTCAGTTCAAATATCATCTTAGTTCTGCTCATTCCTGTAAATCTCCGGACTTGAGTCTCACCTCCTGTCCACCTCCGAGTCTTAGGGGTTAAACCTTAGGACTAATCCTCCAGCTCTACCTTAGGGTAGCCTAACCTCTGTTCTGTTTCTACTCTGGACTTGTCCGCAGTAGCCTTACTCTGTTTCCCTCATAGTCTTCCAGAGTTCCGCCAAACTCCACCGATGTCTGACCTCTGGACTTCCCGGACTTCCCTTCTGCCCCTGGAAATTAAGGGCACATACTTGGGTAAGGGGCGCAGTGCATGAGCTGAAGCCAAAGCCCTTTGAGTAACCTCCCCCTTGAGCATGACCTTAACACATATGTGTCAAATGGGAGGTCATCATGATCCACAATAAATGCCTGGGTCCATGCATGCAGCTGGCAAGTGTGATAGGTCCCTTTTGGTTGTGTGTTAGCAGTCATTAAGGATGCTGCCATCCATTGAGGTGAGTGGCCTTTTTCAAGCATATCTGCTCTCTTCAACATCCTGATAAATATCCCAAGAAGTGTTTTCATCTGCTCCAGGTATTCTTGGAGCAGGGGATCTTTTTCAGCAGCTTTAAGATCAGCTTTAGATCCTTGAGTGCTGTTTCCACAATGCCAACAGTTGGGGGCAACCTGAACTGAATTTGGTAGTTGCATGCAGCACTCATGATATATTGTATGTCACCTGGCACCTCATCATGCTTGGTGTCATCAAAATTGATGTCCACACATGTGACAACTCTTCAACAATAATAGTCTCAAAGCGATCAGACCAGGACTCAGACAACAAACAAAGATGACAAGGGAGAAGAGTCACAACAGGAGAGTGAGCGATGGACATCAAGTAGATTCCTATGGGAGGTACAAGAGGTTTAGACTAAGGAACTACTGACTACTTACTAAGGTTTATATACTATGTGAATCATGCATGGACTAGGATCAAGAAAGTTAACTAACTAAATAAGAAGGCAAGAGAAGTATCAGATATAAGGGTTCAAGTTGAGAAGGGTCTGAGTACATGAGTTCATGAAATGGAAGAGAAGAGAAGAGAAGAGAAGAGATAGAGATTAAATAGAAGATCTATCTAAGATCTTTAGATAGTGATCCAAGTTTCAATGGTAGGAAGATCAATCAATGATTTGATTGGAGATGAAATTGGTGATGTGAAGGGAGAGATGTGGGCGTAGGGTATTGGTGCTTCTGTGACTGGTTGACAGGATAAAGGGTGATAGATGTGATGGGTGTGAAGAGGTGAAGGGGTCACATGACTTGGGCACTTAGACTTAGATGCTACATTGAGGTAGGAAAAATGGTTTGTTTGGGGAACTCATGACAACACGGCTGATATCATCCTCAATGGATCTGACTGACTCATGGTCAAAGTATGTGTCATCATTCAAAGAGTCTGATATGAATGACTCAAAGTCATCAGTGGCAGGACATGTTCTGTTAATTTCTCTGGCAAGAACATGATGAGACACAGGTTCAGATATGCAAGTCTCTAAGCTAGCAACATCTTTGGGCTTGCTGATAGCCATTGCCTTTCCAGTACATGCACAATCATGCATCACCTCATGCATTCAAACAGGGCCCATGTCATAACCAAAAGGGGTTTGTTTCCCAAAACTGTCTCTTCACTTGTGATTTCATGCTCAATTTCATATACACACTCACTGGCTGGGAAGGATCTGCCACAGATGCACACATCTATGAAGCTGTTGAGGGTCACAACCTTCATATCCTTGCAGGAAAATACTTCCTTGCAGATGCAGGTTTTCCTCTGTGACCCAAACTACTTATTCTTTACTGCAGTGTGCACTACCACCTTGCAGAATGGGGCTGTGAAAGTTTAAAGTGAGTATCCTATTATTATTCCAGCTACACACTGACTTTTATCTACAGGCCAACTACCAAAGAAGAGTTGTTCAACCTCTGTCATGTGTCAGCATGCAACATTATTAAGTGAATCTTTGGTGTCCTGAAACAGTGCTTCTATATCCTCCTTCTGTTGTCATCATATACTATGGACATCCAAGGGCAGATTCCTGCAGCATTGTGCAGCATCCACAATTTCATCCACTTTCACAATGCCACAGAAGGTCACTTACCTGATGCAGAGTATCCCCCTGGTAATGTGTGTGCTGGAAACTGGGAGCTGCCAGTGGATGCAGATGTCCATGGTTATGTGCCTGCAGAAGTTCATTTGATGTGTGATCTCATTGCTGAAGCAATGTGGGTAGATTATCAGTGTGTTTTGCACAAATGAAACATTCTTGGAGATGACAATGACAGACTAGGCTGATTCCTACTAGTATCATGTAGTCAAACAATTCATACAATGTAATCACACTGGCTGAGAAATCAAAACTGAATTCATTGATACCAGTGCAATATGAACATGATGTGAGAAATACAATACAAGAGTGGATATGTGAGATACATGTTGGTACAAGTGATACAACAAGTGGCAATACAAGCAGTACAGTAGTTCTACAACTCCAGGAGCCTTGCAACATATGCACAGTACATCTCAAGGTCATCCTCCAGGGCAATGTAAGCTGCGAGGTTGTTTTACTCTGTATGGGACAAGACCTGCAATAAATTAGCCTTCTGAAGGACCAGCAGATCAGCATCTCCACTCCATAGAATTGCCAAGCCACACGAAATCATGCTTGGTGCAGCAATTGTGTTGGACATGGAGGGAGAGGCAAGGTTTTGTTCAAGAACATTGATGAGGCAGTTAATGGTACCTTGCATGTTCATGACAGTGGCAGTAGGTATAATCTTGGCAGCACTGCTTATCCCTGACTGCACACTGCTATGTGCTGACACCCAAGCCTTCTTGAAGGCTGGTGCTGGGATTATGGCACCCATGTGGAGGAAAGTGGGAGAGACAATGACTGGGGACTGTCAGTATAACTAGACATGGGGCCAGTGCTGCCAGAAGTGTAAGATGATGTCTCCATGTTGAGTAGAGTGTTGATGTGCACCCATTTAGATTGAGAGCCAGTCATAGTAGAGGTTCTGTGGAACAAGGAACTAGTAGATAGTAACATGCATGAGCTGCAAGATGGCATTGTGAGGTTGGTGCTCATGTCTGGTATAGTACTAGCACCAGCACTTCTGCAGAGATGCTGTCTCCACCACTGTCTATGGCCATGTCAAGAAGACCAAGGCCCATGTCATCGTCATCTGGAGTAGGGGGGGCTGGAGCTGTGATAGCAGGGTGGAAGGCATGCCTTCCACAAGCACCACTATTGTCCCCCAAGATTGCCTGCATATTATCATAGTGAGCCCACCCTTTGATGCAGAAGGTACCCATTGGAGCTTGAGATGTTCTGTTGTAACCATGACATACCTTTATAACCACATATGCATCCCACATACTGGCAGCAGTGGTACCCTCAACTCCAGCTGCTCATACATTGTCCCAGTGAAAGCCAAATACATTTCAGTAGATCTCAATTTGATGGTAGGTTTTTTTGAGCTAATGACCATATCAATTCATGGTCAATTAAAGGCAAGATTGCATACATAGGTCCACTTCATCTTAACCATCTTAGATGTCTTCAGTAGCCCTGCCCTTTGGATCCTGTTGTTGGTATTGATGGCAGTGGCTACAGTACCAAAGGTAGTTGATGTGAAGTTTCCACCATCACCGCCTGCTGCTTGATTAGCAATCAGGTGTTCAAGCATAACATCTACCTCCAGTTCTTGCCATTGTGCCTTGTCAAGCTGTTGTGCTACCTCTGGTTGAGCCATGAGGACCATAGTGAAGTGGGCACAGATGGCAGTAAGAGTGATGACACTGGTACAAATTCATTGGTGACAATAATAGCTACAGTTATGGATGCCTCGTTGAACCACAAAAATGAAAACTAACCTCCCGAGCCACAACAACTGCATGGATTTTTTTCAAAATATTTTTACCCCATACATAGACCTCTGCTTGAGGTCTTTATACATTTTGAAGAAAAAAAAGTGAGCTGTTCAAGCATGGCATCAGCAACAGTGAGGAGGTGCCTAATTTGCTGAGTATGGCTCAATGAATCAGCCTCAATTAGGTAAGAAAAGCTTATCAATCACTACGTTTCTGATTCAAAACATAGATATGTAACTACATTAATATTTGTCGCTGGCACATGAGCCTATATCATCCAGATCAAAATACTCACCATCACTTTCACACTCCTCAGTTACAATTACCTTTGGTCAGTGGTATGGCTGCAATGAGCTTGCCCAAAGTGGGCTTCTTCTCTGTGAGTTTCCGCTTCTCTTCTTTTGCACGAGCCTTCTCTGACTCCCATATCTTTAATGCTTCATGATAGTGTTCTCGCTGTGCCTTATTCTCTGCCTTCCTCGCATCCTCAAGCTTTTTCCAATCTGCCAATGCTTCAACATGTCTCTTCCACTCTTCGGTCCTCGTCCTCTTCTCAGCTGCAGCTCTTGTTTGAGCCTCCTCGAACTGAACAACTCTTTCATAGAACACATCACCTGACAACAAGCATGGAAGCCATCCCCAAGAATCTTTCCACCATTATTTCCTGCCTGCTTTTTTGACTCCTGATGAGCAAGCTGACTGCGAATTTTAGCACAGTACATCTCATTCAATATATTGGATGCCTGGAGTGCGATAACGCATTTTTTCAGTGCAGCATTGGCTGCCTCTGCCTCGTGGAGAGCTGCAAGTAGCAAGACTTCATTTGTGGTTGTTGGATGAATGTTTGTGATGGATGTACATGATTTCTTGATGGGGGAGATAGTGTGGGCCGTAGCATGCCGCAGGTCAGTTTGTGAGTTCATTGGTGTCGACGAGACGAGTTTTGACAATGATGTTTCAGCGAGTTGTTTGATGATGGTCTCAAGATCCTCCTGAGTACTTGATGATGAGTTTACTGAATGTTCTTCATCTCCGTTGTCACTAAGCTGTGTTGACATCTTTTGAAGGGCATCGGCAAGAATTCTCACAGGCATGGATGGTGTGATTGGGAGATATGATTTAGTTGAGGTTTCTTTACCTGGAGCCAGCATGTTGCTAGGGACGACATCATGATCGAATGGCCAGACGCCGGTCTTGCAGAAAGCTGTGCGAATAATGTCTGGTGTGAGTGCGCGGAGATGAGCACGGCCATAAATGGTGATAAAGTTGGCCTTTGTGACGCCTTCCCCTTTCTCTCTCTCCCATTTATCCCGCTCCTCACTCCAGCTCTGTTTTAGGACTGCGAAAACAACGACATCCAAGCCTTGGTATACATGGGTCAGTGTGAGCTGGATAGCATAGGATATGAATACGATTTTTACAGGCATATTGCAGGAATCCCCGTGTATAATGCGAGTTGTGGCCATCCACAATGAGGAGACAGTCACGTCCATCTGCCTTGGCCTTCGTCTGCTTGTCGAACTCTTTGATCCATTCAACCCCAATCTCTCCATCTGTCCACCCCTTTTTCGAGTATCCAAGCCTATCATAATGTACGTGATTTTAGCATTAATAACAAATGATTGAAAATGAACTCACAAAGCATTTGCAGGATTTTCTTGTTTCCATTTTACTTGGTAGGCATTGCCCTTTAGAATGACAGCAGGGGGCTGAGCAGTGCCATCAGCACAGATCATAATGATGATGGTAATGTTTTCTCGATTCCCCATACGTTGCTGATACTGAGGCCCAGGCCATCTCCCTCCAATAACATGATCGTGCTAGCCAGAATTCAATGAAATGCCAATTTTCATCGGCTGCATAAATACAGTCCTCATCGATGTCATACTTCTCAAAGACATCTTCTAGGAGATCAAACCAAGCTTTATTGGTGTGCGGGTTGACAGCTCGTCCACGTTTTGAGTCAAGTGAGCGAGACCATGATGTCTTGAGACTGTCAGCATGCTTCTCAACAAAGCGATTGGTCCATTTAACACCGACTCCTGGAAATGCATCTCCCAGTCGTGCATGACATATTTCATTAACATGTTCACAAAGTCGCTTATGGCTGAGTGGAAAACCATGGTCACCAACTTCTTGAACATAGGCAATGACTTGTTTCGTCTCCTCCTCAGTAATCCATGCCTTGGCTGCATTTGTCTCGCTCAATGTCTTTCCACCAGCTGCAAGACAGATCAGAGTTGAATAGGATAGCTTGATTAACTTTCCTGTTGCTTCGAAGTTCATCTTTTTGAAGTCATGGCAGATTGTCCTTGCCCTATGGCATCGAATTCCTGGAGCTTTTGTGAGCTCAGCACGGTATGCTTCAACAGTGTGCGACATGAGGTAGTCACAAGCCTCACGGGCTTCTTGCCTCTTTCGTGTTACAGATTTGGGTTGTCCAGGCATTGTTGCAAGTTCAAGGTGTGAGGTGAAGGTTTCGACATGTTTGAGCCAAGACGGAGCAGATTCAGTAGTAATTTACTGGACTGTGGACCCTGGCCTAGTATAGATTCCGACTTGGATCACATACCTCTCATGATTTGCTTGCAACTCTGGCAGAAATGCACCTATTTCTATGAATTCAAATGGGCTGGATACCTGAGATGTTCTTCAATGTATTCTGTTTGATTTTGAAGGCTTTGGGCTCCACAGAGTTGTGCATGGCAAAGCAGAAATTTCAATTGGGTCAAATTTAGGTTTGTCACAAATGGTAATCACACAATTTCATCATCACTTCTCAATCAATTTCAGTCGTGTTTTTTGAGAGTCCAAGAGACATGTATTTAGCAGGGAACTGAGGTGTGTTGAATGTGTAAAAGTATGTAGTTGTGGTGTGATGCAGAAAATGATTCATAGAGCCGTCCTGTGTCATTGACCCATCCTTGACTGTACTAACAAGATAGGAATTTGTTGTATGCATGGTATAGTACATAGATATACAGGTACAAAGTGCAAGGTTCAGGTTCCAACACAGGTTGATTCAAGCTGAGAATCTCTCACATGACATTTGCCAAATGTTGGGCAACATCTTGTTGCCAAACTAGCTCTAAGGCTAAAACATGACATGTAATAATGTTTTTTGATTACCAATTATATCCAGTCATATCAACTTCAGGTCAATTTCCTGATGGTAGAGCTCATCTGGGATTGAGACACATATTGGTTTATTCATCAAAGCCAGGGGTATACACTCTGTGCAATTTGGTGTGCAGGGGTGCACTGGCAGGTACAGAAGTCCTCAAGGCTTTATGTGAGAGGACAATAGGGAGTGATTTTCAAAGGCTTTTGGGTTGCAACATTCTAGAAAGGGAGTCTTGGATAGATAGCCAGCCTATAGGGAAGCATGAGGAATGGGGACTGACCACAGGGCCGCTGAGCTTACCATGAATGTTATCCATTGATGCACTCAAAGACTTGGAGGGCAGCTCGTCAGTCTCACCATCTCAACACTATCTCCAATGAAGTCATGCCAGTCTGAGGTGCTCAAGCACTGCTTGAAAGCAGTTCATTTCCCAATGAAAATGATCAAACCTACTGTACCCAAACCTGGACAGTCCTACTGAGTGTTCTGTGGAAATTCAAGTGAACCACAGGCATAAAACAGCAAACAAATCTCTGCATGCATTCACCCATGCAAGTCTAGACACATAGTGCCAAGAGATAGATTCTCAAGGGTGTGAGCGACATGGAGTATTAGAATACAAATTTAAACCAGCACAATTTATATGTTCTGATGTTGCCTGTGCTGCAGGGTTGGTGAGGAAAAGAGGGGCACCACCAAGTAAAATGTTGGTTAGGATTGGGCGAGGGGTGATGAAGATGATGCAGTTCTTCAGATTGGTGAACCACAATGTTCTTCTTAATAGATAGACTCCACTCTCATTTTGAATTCATCGATGTTGGCTGAATAACCTTCCAAAGTGTGCATGATTTCCTCCTTGAAGTTGGTGTCAACAACAACGAAGTCAAGTCAGGGAAGAGGGGTGAGGATGAGCCAATATTAAGCTCAAGATAATCGTGGTTGCAGCTGTCACTGGAAGACTGACATGCCCAGCTTAAACTCATTGTAGGGATGCGGAAACATGCCCTCCCTCCGCGTGAACCACACACTTCAGTCTTTGGGTCCTCCCACTCGATGTGCTTATCGACAGATCGTACGGGATGCGGAGCCCACCTGACAGAGTGGCCATGATGTCTTGCGAATTAGGCTTGAGCTCGACTCGGGGTGGATTCAGATGTGGGGCTCGGTGCAATGTAAGTTACATAAATTATTGACGGAATAAATCAAATGGACACGGGCACATCGTATTGTAAAAGTACTGTGAGATCTTCAAAAATATGTGGGAACTGCATAGACATAGCAAACGGCGTCAGTAGTCATGTCAGCGAATCATAATTCGGAATAGTGTATGTATGTCGTGAATCCATTAACAATCTCATCACGCCATGTCATCCACCGTCTTGGCGCTTGCTTTCTTGGCCCCGGGCGGTGTCTTGAACACAATCTTCCTGAGAGAAAGAACCGGCCACGCTGCACGCTGCAAGAACGTGGCATCTTTCTCATGGAATGAGCTATGCGTCTGAAGCGTGACAACGATATAAACAGTGAGGAGCGTGAGCGAAATGGTGGTCTCGACGTAGTGGGGGATTGTCTCTAGAGATCCTGGATTGATCTCTGAGACGTTCATCCCAAAAACGGACTGAGGACACAGGTGGTTAGATAGGGTGCGCACGAAAGACCTAAATGCTTACGGCTAAGAAGCTTGCCGGTAGGAAGATCATCGTGAGGTACGAGATCTCAGAAAAGCAGTGTGTCAGTGTCTGGTAAGCCACTTCGGTTTGACGAAAGAAGGATACCTGTTTCATGGCCGCCGAGTCCCTGACCGTCGCCTCAGTCAGCTCCCGCGTCTGCTTACTGTCCTCAAGATTGACACTAGCAAAAGCAAGGTCCGTCGCATTCTTCAGTCGGCTGCTCAGCATCATCCGTCGCTTTTCTAGACGGTCTATTTCGCCGAGTAGATTCTCGCACTCCTTCTTCATAAGTTCATTCGAATCTTTGCGCTGTTTGTCAGAGATGTCGATGGACTCCATGGCCGGATTCTGGGTCTTCTCGATAAATGTTACTGATATCTCAAAGCTGTGAAGGAGTGCGTGGTAGTGCAGAAGATGCGCTTGGAGGATATGAAGCTCGCGAGTGAGCGCATGATCTTCCAGCACTTGTGATTCCTAGATGCGCTTGAGCGACATCACTTCCACTCTGCACCAGGCCTGCTTACCAGTTCACTGACATGGTTGTCTAGCAACTCAAAGGACTCATCCCATGCGTATAGCGCATACCACAAAATCGCGAGGAACACGAAGGTCGGGTCTTTGGACTTGCTGAATATTTTCTGCCAGTATACACTGCCTCCCACCAGCTGCATGAGCGAGTGGAGGTGCTTCGCGGATGTTCGGCGCCATTCAAAATCAGGATGGTAGGAAATAATGGTGCTTGTGTTTACACCACGAACCATGTGGATTGCGAGGAGGTCGATGACGAGCATGTGATCTGAGGGATGTTAGAACGTGAATGTAAGAACATCGATGTACATACCGGCCATAGGATAATGAGCCTGGGTGTTGATTCTGGTACCTGTCTGATGTGAACAGGGCGACCGACTACGACAGGTGATGGATCGCTTACCCGCGGAATGAGGTGGTATATGATTGCGTGGCGCATGATCGGATGGTGTTGGAGAGGTGGATGATGGTCGAGATCCCGGCATCGCTCTTACAAATGGCAGGGTAATAGTAATGTCTGCCGCTCGTATCAGCATGCAACTCAAAATGGGGGGGTTGAACTTACGGTCTCCTTCTCCATGGATAGGCGCTTCCTGATATCGCGAGGGTATCCAATTAATGGAAGACGTGAAAAAGAATGGCTCGATGTTGTATCTGCGCACGAGGCCTCAGACAAAGTAGGCGAGCAAAAGACGCTACGCTACATACCTTGTCCCCAGCATGCGCAAGACAGGTGACGTTAAGTCATCCACAAATAACAATCGCACCCGGATATTCTCCGGTCGCTGCAAATCACATCTTACGCTCTAACTAACATACCAGCACAAAATGAGACTCGCCTTCTGCTGTAATATATTCCAAAAGTGATCCTCACGTTGAGTGTCCACTACCGTAGTATCGCCGTTTCCTGCCATATCTGAGGTGCTGAAACTCCCGTTGTGAAGTACATCCATCCAGTAAATGGTGCTAGACTGGTTCTTTGCACACTTTTCGAGCATCTGGCTGCGCCGCACTTGATCTGGAGTCCAGTTCCCGAACAGGTTCCGAGGGTAACCCCGCCACGATTTATCTATGTCAGTTCTAGAGGTCGTGGGATTGACGTTATTGAGGTCCATCCATGGCCATGGTCCCGACGGTGCAGCATGTCGATATCTGGTAAGAGCATCAGTTGGCGAATACAAGGTAGGAAAGAGAACATGAACAAAACTTACGGGGGTGCAGGCACTGCAGGTGGCAAAGCTGTATCCCTGAGTTCGTCTGGAGGGACGTCCTTTGAGTCATCTTGACGCACTCTGTCGATGAAGGCGGCTGCCAGTGTCTTGACTGCCATGATGGTTAGCGTTTAGAATCAGTTCATGCTGCAGGCGTGAGGAAGAGCGCCGACAAATTTATATTTTCATGGTGATGGGCGCTCAGCGCTTCGTGCCGTACATACGCCTAGTGCCCAATTGCATGAACCCCGCTATATGACCGAAGGATAAATATGTTCAATTTGCCAAGTACAATATATTTCAATTGCCTTTTTAGGACCGCGGAAAGTTGAACATACCTATTACCGACTTCGCTGACACTGGCTTACAAGAAGCACGAGGTCCGAATTCTGAACCTCCTGCTGCCCTGCACTATTACTTATTTCACTAACTCATTCGAATGTGCCTCATCCTTTGCCTGCCCCCTCTTTTCTTCACTGTACAAGCCTCTCACCTCGATAGGCTCGCAGTGCTAGACCTTGACAATCAGGCATGCATGATGCGTGGAGCATGCTGTAGAGACAGGTATAACTAAAAAAAGGGCCCGTGGGTACATTAAAATCGAACCCAGGTTTACTACACATTGCAAATCATCAACCGCGACTTCAGGTCGAGACTTCACTTCGCCGATTTTATCCATACCCCGCAGGCCACGACGAGCAGGCGAGTGCGCGAATTCGACGTCAGGCGAACAAACTTAAAGCTTAGGACATGAGGCCGTCACTATCATTCCAGGAGCACAATAATTTGGATAGACCAAATGGGAGCCTATAGGAGTGCACGGATACTATCTAGTAGGAACCGGAACATCTACCTGTGAGCACGAAAGCAACGTGGGTCCCTTGCTGCAGTGTCGTGATCCCTGAATTTCCTGGAGGAACGGTAGAAAGCTTTTTCAAGATCAAAGCAGTAATAACCCTTTCCATTAGGGTCTGTAGTCACGCGGTACATATCAATCCTTGCCAGTATTGCGTGACGTGCCTTGGGACGAAGTTCCTCCACAATTTCCACACAAGCCTCTGAGATGAACGAGCTAATATTGTTCACCGGGCACAGCCGTTGGTTGTACGGATGGCCTGTTCAGGTACCCGGTGCCCATTCGACCTTGTACGACAAGGCCTCGGGCCCTTCGAGTTGGCGATCGCCATAACTGCAGCATGTCGATGGTTCTTCGGCGAAAGAAATCTGCGGCAGGCAAAGTAAGGAGGTTGTCACGCAGGCATTTGCGTATCGTAATCAATCGGGCAGCCAGGGGACTCAGCATGTGGCCAGCTTTGAGCGCGCCGCGGCCCCTTAAAGCCAGCATGCGGCACGTTCACACGTGAATTTGAAACAATAAAGTTAGTGCTCTTCGAAGCAGCGTTTCTCTTGCGCTCTTGCCACCCTATTTTTCAATATTTGTATTGAAGCTCGAGCATGGATGCTAGAACATCACCTGGACAGTAATAGTAGTGACCATCAAGCGGTAATCTGTAGATGGACCCAAGTCTACTCGCCCGCATGACTGAGGTGGGAAGCGCTGGTGTTATAAATCTAATGAAGTCGTAGGATAAATACATTAATGTGTCACGTCCATTCGTCGTCATTGTCTTCTCGCCTTTCCTGAAGCTTTGCCGTCAGATGATGGTATGGATGTCGACGTATGATTGACTTTTGAACGGTACAGCTAATTCGCGACAGGTCAGAGGCAGTACTGGCACGGAGGGCTGTGACTCAGGCAGTCGCTCCTCCGAGAGCATACCAGCCAACCTCCAGATGACATTGATACCACGAATTTCAACGAGATGACAATCATGATACACCTCAATGACTGTGCTGGATATATTATATTTGAAGCTCATGCCAGATACCACGAGTCCCTTTCAAAACAGTCCCCAATCGAGAACGAGACACGTCCTGTGGACAAAGGCCATTAACAACAAAAGTGTGAACAGAGCAAGACATCCAATATGCAGTTATCTACGCCATCCGTGCACCAACATCTCCTCAAACAATATCCCGAAGCGACCTCGGTGACCTCTTTATCGAATTGTTATTAAACTTCCTGAGGAGATAAAATATCGGCCATCCGGCGCGCTCCCTTAGAGTGCTATTCTTGTCGAGAAAGGGGCCGTGCGACAGACAGGCCACTAGAAGCCACGAAGTGAAGCATGTGAGAGCTAACGACGTCGCAACATAGTGAACGAGCGACTCTTGTCCTTGGGCCCCAGTGATTTCATTGACATTCATCCCGAACACCGCCTATCGAAGGAAAATGATCGTTAGCATTTCGAGCTCTCGCATACTCAGCACATACCGCAGTGAAGGAAGCGGGAAGGAATATCATCGTGAGGTAGGAGATCTAAAGGGAAACCCCATGTTTGAGAACTGCGTGACGAATATAATGATGGCAAACAAACCAGCTTCATTGCACTCGAGTCTCGGACGGTGGCCTCCGTCAGCTTCTTCATATGCTTACTGTCCTCTATATTCACAGTCGCAAATGCAAGATCCATCACGTTCTTCAGCCTACTGCTCTGCATCAATCGTCTGATCTCCAATCTCCCGATTTCTGAGAGTAGATTTGCACACTCCTTTGCCATGAGATCGATAGATTCCTGACGTTCCACAAGACCATAGGTATCGGACTCCATAGCGGGATTCGGTGTCTTCTGGAGGAAGTCGACAGACTTCTGGAAGTCTTGGAGAAGCGACTGGTATTGTAGGAGGTGTGCTTGTATGATGTGAAGTTTACGAGTAATTTTAATGTCGCTAGTTGACAGCACTTGGGATTCCTAAACGACATTGATAAGCAACCGAAGGAGTAGCGATACCCGCCTTTGCGACGCACCAGCCAATTAATATGAGTATACAGCGACTCAAATGCCTGGTCCCATGCATAGAGGGCGTACCACAAGATGGCTAGGAATAAAAATGTTGGGTCCTTAGACTTGGCGAAGATTTTCTGCCAGTATACACTTTGTCCCGCACGATTAACAAGGGAGTGTAGCCGTTTTGCGGAAGGACGACGCCAACTAGAGCTTGGATGATATGATATGATCGTGCTCGAGTCCCCTGAGCGCACCATATGTATCGCGAGGAGATCGAGGAGAAGAATGTTACCATCTGCGTAGCATAGTTATTAAAATAGGGCAAGAAAATAATTTCAACTATGACTTACCACGGAGAGGGAGTGGCGCTTGGGTATCAATTATTTGCTGTGAATCGTCTTGAAGCACATACTTTAGCTAGGTGTGATAGCAGAAAGAGCGAGAAACGACTTACCATGATCAGTGGGTATGTGCTGTAAGGGTATATATCTGCCTGAATCTGGTGTTTCGACTGGTGTTGTTGATCGAGTGACTGGATTTTGCATCGTCCGCATGAATGGGAGTGTGATCGTGATATCTGCATATGAAGATAAGACTCAGTGAACCATCAAACTGCAGGGCCAAGTACGCACGATCACCCTTGCCTGGTCGAACCTCTTCTTGGTAATGCGATGGTATCCAATTCAAAGATGAAGAAAAGAAAAACGGTTCGATATTAAACCTACGATTCTTGTCAGTAACGTAAGCGATTGAGTAATGAAACCATGTACTTTGTTCCAAGCATCTGCAGCACAGGCAGAGACATATTATCCACGAATAATGCACGAACACGGATGTTCGCAGGTCGCTGCAAAAACCAAAAGGGATCTATCATCATACACACGCCCGCGAGGAGAACGACTCACAGGCGTCTGCAACAGCTCCCAAAACTCATCCACACAATCGCGTGATACTCTACTCGTTTGGTCCCGCCCCTCCTCATCTAGAATCGTAAAAGTTCCGTCTCCCAGGATATCCAGCCAATGCACCGAGCACATATCGAGCTGCGAGCAGTTGCTAAGTATCTTGCTCCGCTTCACCTGATCCGGCTTCCAATTTCCAAAGAGAGCCTCAGGGTATCCGCGCCATGACTGGGCCGCTGCGTCTGGTGAGGTCGGTGCATGGTCGTGGTCGAGTGTAATGTCGAAATCGGTGTCGAAATCCATCCATGGCCAAGGGCCCGATGGTGCTGCGTGGCGGTAACTACAAATTATTAGAGAGTCACTGACGTCGTAGGCAAGGACTCACATAGGTGCAGGAATGGCGGGAGGCATAGTCCTGTCATTCGCGCCGCCGTGCGGAGCACTGCGGACGCCAGTTGGAAATGTCACGGAAGCTCTATTCATCCGAATCGACATCCTCACGAATCAATTGACTAGGAAAGTTTAGCAGGAATAAGGGAATTGCTAACTCGTCCCGGCCTACCATACTAGATATAATGGCGCGGTAGCGCCCAGAGTCAATGCACAGCGTCGCCACATGAGTCAAACCTTGGAGTTGGCTAAGTTGATACACCGGGCACATATAACGAAAGAGGAACATTTGGTTCCACCTACTTACCAGTCATTCGTGCACAGCATCACTGTCACGGAGCTGTGTAGCACAGGTTGTTGTTCAACTTTACGCTCGCATTCGCGATGCTGTATTGCAACCTTGTTACAGATTGTAAAGTGGGCGAGCTTCGGAGTCATGATCAGATTGTTATCAGAAAGTATCAGAACAGTCCTGACAGCAGGAATTTTTTTTAAAAATGTCTCACACAGTCAAGCAAACGGTCAAGGGTTGTAGCACAGTAGCAGTGCCAGTCTTTGCTTCCATTTCCCCTCCTCAGACGAAAAAATAAAGTAGAAGGAAGACAAGTCGTTCCTTCCAGAAAGGAATATGGTGGCAACAATAATACGGGGCGGGAGCCTGATACCAGGTAATTTGGAGTTCCGTCGGACTCAGATCTCGCTAGATCTGATTTCATCTAATTCGTGCAATGGGCTTTCGAGACGTTTTTTACTACATACTTATAGTACTTACTGGCATCCGCAACACAGCTACTTAGTGCGCATTATTATGCCTTCCGCCATTCCTGGAGAGGCGGCAACCCGTTTGTATTTTTCAACATGTATTTACTTATTTATGAAAATCGCGAGCATACAATACATGTACATAGATATCGATCGACTACATCATAAGTAATTCCAGTAGAAACACTCGAAACACTCGATGATCTAGTAGTTCGTGTGGACAGCTGTTTATAAATTACCCATACGACATGGGGCGCAGCTGTTCCTTGTCCCTCGACATTTGCATGCCTTTTTGAATCTTGATGGGGCGGGGGCCCAAATATCCTTGTTCTGCCACTGCCCTCCAGGGCCGCGCGGAGCGCAGTCGTAGACCTACGACACCCAGGGACCTTGCTGTACAAAGTACTACCCAGGTTCCCTCCGGAAGACGACCCTAGTATAAAACAGCCATCTCAGCACAGACTACTGAAAGCCCAGCAACTGTCATCACGACCAACGGAAGCGCATTCCAGTATGCAAACGTCGCCTGCGATACGATGATGCCCTTCTGCTTGAGGATGCCTCTCCATAGAAGCCCCGCGAGGCTTGCACTGAATGTGAACGACACGGCACCGATATTACTGGCTACGGCAAGTGCAATGGCAGCTGCGCGGATGGTCTGATTGGACAACATAGGAGATGCTGCACGTACGACCTTCGTGAGGAGAATCGTTGCACCAATGTTCGTCCCGGAGATGTTGCACAGGATCACTCCAAGCACGCCGATCAACCAGATGGTGCGGTACATATCCCCTTGAGTGGCACGTAGCAGCCACGTGGCAAAGACGTCTATCCAGCCTTGGTGTGACAGGGCTTCAATTAAGATGAACTGCGAGAACGCAAATGGTACAAGGGCAAAAGGAAGCCGCGGGAGCGCGGTGAAGAAGGTGGGGAAGTGGGTGTGCAGGCGTTTGTGTAGGGCAATGGCATTGAAGCGCCACTGGGCGATGAGGGTCTTGGATGAAGGTGAGGAGGACGGGTTGATCAAGGTGCGATCGGATTCGGGGAAGGAATTCACCTTGTCTGTCGTGGGTAATGGGAGGGTGGGTTGACGATGCCGGCCTTTATGATCTGATAGTGCCTGCACGTCTTGCAGCATGACGCCATCGTCTGGCTGCACTTCACTCTCGTCTGGCCCTTTCTGCCCGCGCCCGAGCATGGGTATCTGCCGGGCAAAGCGGTAGTGGTCCCAGGCAACATCATAGATAAACTTGGCTACAGCAAAAGGCAAGCTAATCTTCCATACGTCAATTCCGAAGAAGCTGACAACCAAACACAGAATGAGCGTGGAGGCGAGCAGGAAACTGCCAACACAGGCACCGATCGGATCTAGAAGGACCGAGCGGGCGTCAAGGTCAGCGGTGTGGTCCAACCTGCGAGGGACGTATTTTGGATCGCGGTATTGACCACCAAGAGCAAAGAAGCAGAAAACGCTGCATGCGATAAATGGGAGGATAGTGTAAGCTGTGAAGGCGGCATTATTTACGCTGAAACCTTCGCAGATGACCACCTGAAATGATCGATTAAGGAATATGGCACATCTGCATTTGAAATCAACCATAAGGAATCAAGACGTACATTAGTAGGGTTCCCAACAAACAGGACCATGCTTGCTGTATTTGCTGCTGCAAACTCGGACATGAGCCAAGAGATATGATTGAGCTCGGCGACTTTTGTATAGTAAACAAGAAAGGCGGTTCCAGAGAGAATGACGGGATCATTTCCGAGCATGATTGACAGCAGGGTAAGCATGATGTAGAAGTAGGTGTAGAGTTTCCAGCCGTTCGAACCACCCTTGTTGCTAACCCAGAAGGCTGCTGACTGGAGGATACCGGTGATGTCGAGGGTGATAGCCATGTAGGCAAGGGAAAAAAAGAGGATGAGAATGTTGTAGGGTTTAACGCCATCTGTACCGACGATGCCTCCGCGAATGACTGCAGGGTCAAGACATTGGGCTGCCCATAGGATCGCAATTGCGATAATTGGGGCGGTTGTCAAATTTATTGGAATACGGGGTATGGGTCGAGGGGTGGGTATAGAGACTGGATAAATCACGAACACAATGGATATGATGAAGACCACCAGGGTGGCGACAGAGTAACCAGTAATCATGAAATAGTAGAATTTAACGTTGACAGCTGGTTTGTGGGTATAATCATGAAAGAGGATTTTTAAGCAAGAGTTATAAGGAGGACTGTCCTGCCATCGCCTAAAATTGGACCCGAACTCATATTAGGTTGACCCTCATTTGTATGTAACGTGTTATCGATCCTTCTCTCTTCGTTTTCCAGAAGTTATTAAGTAACAAGTTGAGCTGCGATACGCTGGCGTTTCACCCTACTAGACGCGCAGGCCGAGTAATTAACTCCCACAACGCACTGCTTTGCACTCTCAAGTCTCAGGCTATCCTCCAATTAATAATTACCGAATGTCAGTTGAAAACTAGCTTTCAGCCGGCTGTGTTCCCCGATCGCATCCATTACTTTTATCGAGCCAAATCAGTGAATGCATCGTGCGTGTAACTAAAAGAACGACCTTGGGAATAACCCTGAAACCGTCCACGGATAAGGAACTTACTTTCTGCATAGAAAACACCACGAACAGCAGGTGGTGTTCTATGTTCATTGGCGCAGGAGTTCTTGAGCCTGTGCTTTTCATATTCTCTTATATCATCATGATAAGGTGTGTCATCGCTACCTTCGAGAAGTGGGCTAAAATTGACAAACAGGATATGGTTCGCTGGAGTGACTCTAGTCGTGTTTTAGTAAGTGGTGCTTACAGCAGCACCGATGCGAACATCGCGAAGGCACAGGTCGCTCTTCTTGATGAGTGGTACTAACCCACAGACCTCGGAGAGCTTGGAGCTTTATTTGTCCAAAGCCACTCTTTTTGTGCTTACTCTGATGCATGGCGTCATATCACACTTGGCAACTCCCGGCAGGCCGAAATCGTTCGCCTCCAACGAGAAGCGTGGTAATTCATGGTGACGCCAGGCCCGTGACGCAATTGCCTGACATATTATTGCGTGCCTGATTTCTATTAACATCACATGAAGCACTGCCCTTTTGACTTGCAGTTACTGTACTGCGCACAGGCAGCACTCGGGGTGTTTTTTAGGGTGAGTGGACTTAGTGGAGATTGACACTTCGGAGTCCGAGAAGGTCACCGAGGTCAGCCAGATGACGTTGGCACTAGTACCAGCTGTGCCGCAGTGAAAAGTAAGTATTCACGAACTACTGTATTCCTTCTATTTGGTTTGAAAAGTGAGAGGCTTTTCGGCGTCGGGCTTCATCTCACCACATCCTATAAAGCAATGGACCCCTTTCCAAGCGCCGTCAATGTTGATATCTCCGTCCAAAAAACGCAGCGCTGCAGCAATCGATTTTATTTTCCCACTAGACTCGGTTCAAAGTTGAAGAGAGCAAGTAATGGAGCGAGGCTCAAGAGCCCCTGATTGCCAATAAAGTCGGTGGGTTGTTGTCTCCGATACTTCTGACGCTCTCGAAAGTTATCTCAACTGGCCCAGGAAATTAAATATAGCTAGTAGCCTGTATCTCCATACCTGTCATTAAGATCAACGAGTAGGAGAACGCCATCCAGTTAAGTATGTTCAACCGTCGTTCAGATAGTGTAGTGACTTGCCTCCACAGTGGCGACTCACACCCTGAGCTTGCACCTTATAGAGGTAATACAGCAACTCGCCTAAGTCAATTCAACTACGTAAGGTCAGGGACAGTGGCGTGAATCGCAAACCTCAATCATTGCGATGTTTTCGGGTCGTACGAGGCATGGCATTTATAACTAGGAAAGGGAGGCACCTGTGTCCCCCACCGCCCCTCGACTGTACGAATGCGGAGGTTCCAGGAGTGCCTTCCAACCGCTGTTATGCTTGGCCGAGTGAGGCGCCTTTGAAGTCCTATTACTATATAAATCCCCATGCGATCCCTGCGCGATGTTAAGGGTATAACAACACGACAATTTACAGTGAGCATAGTTTGCTCTGGTGCGTGTTCCAGGTGTAACAAGTTGATCGCCGTTCACTATGTCTACCTTGCTGTAGAGTATAGATAGCTGATGCTATTCTTGTCAATGAAAGTGCTGTCAATGACCTTGTCAGATGATACACCACCTCCCATGGCACCCTACCGCAGTAAAATTCATACCACGGGCTTCTCACCTCAGTGTCTTTTCGCACGCTAAGGACGAGTTATCAAGCTTTTCAGTTGCGTGTATGAATTCTTGAATGATATGGAGGTTCATGCCGCCGACGCGATCGACGAATCGCCCATGAGTGCGTTGGCGTATGTCTGTCATCGTGGTTATATGCATTTCCGAATTATATGAGTACGAGTTATTTGGCGAATGTCGATAAGGTAAACTGGGACTCATGATCAAATCGACAGAACGAATGCTATGTGTGTGACCTGTTGTCATACTTCTTTTGATCTCATGATGTCCACAGCAATGATCTGTTATAAGGTTTCAAGCACGACCTGCACCTGCAAGGACAAGAATACGCCACAATCTTATCGATCCTATATGTGGGAAACACTATTATGCCAGTGCCAGTGTGAGTTGTATCCACCATTGCATGGGACAAATCCCCGTGACCGAGTATGTCAGAAATATATTTCTGTGCCGGCTGGAGAGACCTTCTGTCTTTCCTTGTCTTCCTTCATGTATGGCGGTATTGGGTGCAATACCAGCATCAAGTTGGAACCATTATGTCACGATGATAAATGCTAAACGTTGCACGGGGATCACAAAGAAGTATATTTCCCCTTGTTTCATAATTCCATTCCCTGACAATTCGACCTAGTTATACAGGGGTTGAGTAGTGTTTCATGGACGAACAGGTACTCTGATCAGAAGTAAAAGCATTACAGATATTTTGTTACATCCAATGCACCCACTGCCCTTGAATTCATCATATCAATTTGTACGATGAACACAGCTGCGTGCTCCATTTCAGCCGTAAGTGATATCTATCATCGCTGCCATTTTTGTACTCAGAGACGCTCAGGAACCTGAGTGTCTCTGAGTCTACGTTGGATATATGGTACTCCAGGGGTGGATCGACAATGCATTCGCCGGCGAGCCTTTAAAGTGAGCTGTTGCTGTTGCTTTGATTAACGGACTGCCACAAATAGGAAATGTGATTCATGAGCCACATTGATCTCTGGGCTCGTTCATGATTGCACGTTGCAGTGGGCCAGGGGGCTCACTCGAGAGGAGTGACCTCAAGCCTCACACAATGGGGGTGCGATAGCAAGGCAAGGTAAAGTGACGACTAAGCTACTACAGTCGGTGCTATATACGACCTCGGAACACCGCTGGGACCCCGGACACTCTGTGGGCAAGCCCCAATCCAATGTGTCTCATAGGTACTTCTGGGTTATCCAACTGGCGCCTTCTACATCGTCATTCCTACGCTGTTTGCATCACAACACTTGGGGTGCTACAGCCATGTTTGGTGGGATGCATTTGTATTAAGCATCTGAATGGGCAGATTGAGAGGAAGGAGCGGGATGCACAGGATATTGACGGGCTTCGGGACTCTATTGGTTTTAGATATTTGGTGCAGTCGAGGATTGGCATGTACGCCACGTCTCTGCATTCGTCACCTTGCGAGGAGCCACTTATTATCTCCTAGGCTATCCCTGTATCGTCATAAAAATGTCCTTTGGTTTGGTAGTCTAAAAGTAGGATTTGAAAGCTGCCAGTCAGCTATTTGAAAGTGTGGGGAGCGTGCAATAAGAATCACAATTCAACCTACGAACTGAGATAGGTATCGATGTTGCAGTTAGTTTTCATCCGTTTGCTTCTTGTTGTGCTTCATATTTTCGGGGAAAATCCCCTGCTCGGCACTCGGCGATCGAATGAAGAAGGCTGCCTCCAGATCAGAATGCACAGCTGCACTGAAATTATCGCGGTACGAGAGCCAGGAGGTGCCGCATGCTCTACGTATATCGCCAAACCACTGCTTGTAAGCCCAAGAGATCCCCGTGACGTCGGTGATCATCTGAGCCGATTTGAATATTCGTGGATACTTCTGGTGCAGTGTCACTACTGTTGCTCACGAGTCTCGTTGGGCGATCGGATGCGAGGTAGCCGCGGTTGCGTATGGCATGTGCCGGGATGCTGGAGACATGCTTACTTATATGGTTTCAAGGATCGAAGGCGCTCGGAGATGCATTGTCTTGACATGGATAAGCATCTTTAGCCTTTAGGAATGTCCAAATCACCAAGTATAAACATATCAGGCCACCACATGCAGCGATGTGTTTTGCATCGAGAGATGATATTTGCCAAAGCGAATAGCATGGGCGTTAACTTGAACCAAGCAATTCTTCTCGGTACAGAGCACCTAATAGGTGAGTAATAACCTGTGCAAAGTGCTGTGAGCAGACACGAATAGAAAGCTCTTGACGAAAGCCTGGGAAGGGAGTGCTCTTGAGTCTTATAATATACTATACTGTGATTCAGTACTCGCTCGATCACCCTCGGGTGAACTGCGAGAATTTTGCCAGTGAGTGAAAATTTGATTGATATTTATCCCTGCAGGTCAGCTTCGAAATACGATTGTTCCGACTCTATTATTCACAATTACCTTGTTGCATGCGCCTGGCAGATTAGTCGAGAAGTCCAAAAGGGAACCATTCTGGCGGGGAAGAGACGTAGAAGTACACCCAAGATTCCGACGAAAACAGTCCGGAGCGGATGCAATAACCAAACACGTCACGAACACAAGCCACAAGCACCTTTCGACACTGTCGCCCACGACGACCAACACCCTTTCCACGACTTCCACCACATTCATGACATATCTATGACTAGCCGACAATCACGCAGCACGCCATCTTCATCCTCTTCCTCGTCTCCGCATAGCTCAAAGTTGTCTAAATTTCTAGCAAAACAGAGCCGGGACAGGTCCAAATCTATGACAGATCCAATCGCAGCTGCTAGCACCGCGTCTATCGCCAGCTCAAGTTCATCGAACTATACGTCCGTGAGCAGTCCCCCACTCTCACAGTACAGCTCGCGAAAGAGCGGTAAATTTGGTGGTGGGAACGTCAACAACAATCCTAGAGAAGACAAGCCAAGCAGCCCGCAGCCTGACCTTGATAGTGAACAGGAGGACTCATTTGACGAAACACCTGTTATCATCGAACCAGCAGATATGCCACGCTTGCGGAATCGCTCAGAACGCCCTCTCAGCATGATGTCTGACATGCATGCTTACACTTCAACATCATCCACACGCATATCGGATCTCCCCACACGACTATCTGGATGGTTATCACATACTTTTACAAACTCATCAACAGACCTATCTCTCCCTTCCATACTCTCTCAGTCAAATTTTACCTCCCAAGCCTCCCCTAAGACCAAGAACTCAGCCTTGCTCACCGCCGCCAAGCACGGCAAAGGTCATCTCGACCGCGCCATGCGCTTTTTACTGGATAGTGATTCTATCCCTAATAAATCCCCAGAGCCCATCTGGCTACTTGGCGTACAACATTCAGGTTACGAACCTCCTCCTACCCCAAGCCGCCGCCCTTCCGTTGAATCTCGCCGCTCCCCCTCTTTCCGTTCTACCACGTCATCCTCAGCCACTGTCTTGCCTGACCCTTCTCTGTCCCAATCTTCGTCCTCTTCCAAAAACCCTGCCAACAATTGGCCACCTGTTTTCTACGCTGATTTTACGTCACGAATATGGCTAACATATCGTAATCAGTTCGCTCCTATACGCGACTCCACACTTTCTGCTCTAGAGTTAGATATGGCTTGCTGCGAGCAGCAGCAACCTGTCTCTTCCAGTCCGCGCCCTAAGAAGTGGCATTGGCCAGGCGGGGGCGAGAAGGGCTGGACGAGTGATGCAGGATGGGGTTGCATGCTCCGCACAGGTCAATCACTATTAGCAAACACCCTCTTGCATTTGCACCTAGGTCGAGGTGATCTTTCCCCTCAAAGCCCATTAAACTCGTCTTGATTGCTCATTATCTAGAATGGCGTCGTCCTCCACAACCGGTACACACAAATGATTATGCCACATATGTCCAGATCATCACATGGTTCCTGGACTCGCCTCTCCCTCAAGCACCTTTCAGCGTACACCGCATGGCTCTTGCCGGAAAGGATTTGGGAAAAGATGTTGGGCAATGGTTTGGACCTAGCACTGCCGCAGGCGCCATAAAGTATTCATTTTCCCTGACATATTCCATTGAATTAATTGATTGACCTGTACACGCAGAACACTTGTACATGCCTTCCCAGAAGCTGGCCTTGGGGTCTCTGTCGCGACCGATGGTGTTATTTATCAATCTGACGTGTACGCTGCGTCAAACGTGCACATTGGCTCACCGCGACGTCATATGAGGGCCGCCTGGGGCGGACGCGCGGTTCTTGTACTTATTGGTATCCGTCTGGGTATTGACGGTGTTAATCCTATCTACTACGAGACTATCAAGGTCAGAGCGTTTGTTTGCGACCTGAGAAACCATCTGACATCTATCCAAGGCGCTCTTTACCTTTCCGCAAAGTGTGGGAATCGCTGGCGGGCGCCCCTCCTCCTCATACTATTTTATGGGCTCACAAGCTGATAATCTCTTCTACCTCGATCCTCATCACGCTCGAACCACCGTACCCATCCGCCCAGCACCTCCACATGACTTCAAACGCGAGATGACCCCAGATTCGGGCCGCCCCCGTACCTCCCACCATCGGGCACCTACCTCACCCTCAAGCGTGCGCACGGGGAGCTCAACGTTCTCATATCACGCACCACTGTCGCCTTCACCGCTGCAGCATCAACTCAGCGCGTCCTCCAACGCGTCAGGCTCCTCTGGCTCGCACCCGCCACGCTGGGCGACCGCGAGCATGTCGATACCTGTGGGAGGATCAGAACTAGACCCACGAGAATTGAGTACGGAGAGTGCCAGCGAGCTGGACCCAGTTGCAGAGCACTACGTGACGCAGTATTCCGCTTCTGAGCTGCGGACGTTCCACTGCGACCGCGTGCGGAAGATTCCACTCAGCGGGCTCGATCCAAGTATGTTGCTTGGGTTCTTGTGCAAGGATGAGGCGGACTGGATTGATCTTCGGAAGCGTGTGAATGAGGTGGGCGTCTTTTTGATATGTACGGGTGTTTTTGGTGTTGATTTTGTCCTTTTTTCTTTTGTTTTCTTCGTGGGAGGAGTAGTTGATGCAGAAGCACAAGACGATATTCACGATCCAGGACGAGCCGCCCTCGTGGCCATCTGATTCGGACGAGTTCATGGGGCTCGAATCCATCTCGGAGCCAGATATCGACCTGGATTTTGACGGCGACGGCGGGGAGCGAGAGGAACGTCCCGAGAACGAAGACCAGTTCTTCGATACTCGCTCTGCCTCCCACTCTCCTATGATAAAAGGCCAGAGCTCAGAGGTCGATACGGAGGAGGATCCTATAGGGCCGATCACCCCTGGCCCCAATTCGATGTTCGAGGTGGACGAACCAGACAAGTCGAAGGAGCACGTGGAGGATTTCGAGGAGATCAGTGCTGAGGACGAGGATGATGATGATGATGACTGGGTAGATCCATCGCTACCCACTCCTCTCGCGCAATCCGTACAGCGGCCTTATGCGCCTCCACTTGAGAAAACGACATCAACGAGCTCCACCAGCAGCGCTGGAAGTGCGGGGAAGGGGAAGAGCAAGAAGTCGGTAGGGAGAAAGTCGAAGAAGACAGCGGTGCCGCTGATGAAGGTGCCAGTGAAGGCTGAGGCGAATTTCCCGTTCCCGCGGTCGTTGGAGGAGAGCGTGCATGACGGGAGGCGTAGCTCCGAAGCGGAGCCGTACGAGAGGCGGATGAACAATGCACGCGCGAGAGACGGGGGGCGTACTGAGAGCGGGGGCGTCAAAGCTATTTTGACGGAGGATATGAGATAGCCCGGGTTCGTGTTGGCTGGTGGTGTTGGGTATGTTTTTTATAGTCCCCGAGCGTCATTTCATTTCGACTTGCAGCTGCCTGTGCTGTGGTGGGACCCATTGTTTTTCTCAGGGCCTGTAACTACTTATGTATGTACTTTTGCCTGGTTGTTCGTAGAGATACCCGTCACGTTAGGCATTGGCTCGATGTGTTATCCATTTCCTTCTCATGGCCTCAGGCTGTCCGACGTCCAGTGGCCGACTACATGATTCAACAACTTAATGTCACGCTCCTCTAGCTCACAAATTCGGTCCATTCTGTGAGGGTCGTTGCCAGTGCATTCAGAGTCCCCGAAAGTCATTTACCTAAATGATCACTGTAAGGAGTCCTACTCCTCTACGCGCCGACTAATGCTTCAGAACAAGACCCAGGCCAACCGATGCAAGAACATTTACACGTGCGATAAGTTGTGTAGGCTTATCGCACTCATTTGTTTTAGTTAGTTATTAGTGGTGTTCAAAGTAACTTACAGCTCTTTGCATAAAGGATGGCACCGGCCAGGCTCCTTCCCAGCCTCCGGTTCGAGTGTAGAGGGCGACATCCGAGGGACATAGATACTTGTTTGATATGTCACATGATACAAGAAAAATTCAAACCCAGCACAACCTTATTCCCCTCACACTCTCACCGGAGGCTGGAACATAACATTTGTAAACAGAGGTCAGCCACAGTGATGGGTGACCGTAGAACTCTAAACAACCAGTTTACACCTAGCGTAGGGTTACGACTTTTCGAATTGATATATTCATTTTTCTGCCTCGGCTAATATTACACCCGCTCCCATATGGGAGATGACAGCTCCTAATCTCCATGAGACGCCCTCGTTATCTGAAATCCGTCTCCGGACAGAGCAAAAATTCGGTGTTCGCCCGTGTCTGTGGCAGCTCAAAGTAGCGCGTGCGCTTCTCCAAGGCAACCAGGATGTACTGTGTATTGCAGGGACTGGGATGGGGAAGACACTGGGCTTCTGGATTCCATTACTGTTCCGTGTCAATAGCATTCAGTTGGTTGTTACCCCATTGAACTTACTTGGTAAACAAAATGCCACATCTCTCGCCAAGGCTGGAATCCGCGCCATAGCTATTAATGCAGAAACTGCTAGTGCTGCAAATTTTTCGGTCAGTGTTACTTTGAAATCTGCGGAAAACTTACCACTCACATAACAGTAGGCAATCAAAGCCTTGAAATACCGCGCCATTGCAGTTAGTCCTGAGCAGATCATGAAACCGAACGGCGACTTTGAAAAACTTCTCAAAGACCCGCTTTTTTCTCGTTACCTTGTGAGTATCGTTATCGATGAAGCGCACTGCATCACTGAATGGGGAGAGTTCCGTCCGGAATATCGAGAATTAGGCCGCCTTCGTTACATCCTGCCATCAAATGCGTTAATCATGATCACTTCCGCTACCCTCACGAAAGCATCGCTGACAAGTACCACCCGACTTCTCCATATGCATGCTGACAAGATGATTACAATACGTCGCTCAAGTGACCGCCCGAACATCAAGATTGGAGTCAAAAAAATCAAACACGCACTGAATAGCTATGCCGATCTTGCTTTCCTCATTCCGACGGGCTGGAAGGTTGGTGATCCCCCGGTGCAGAAGTTCTTGATCTTTTTTGACAGCATCCCGGATGCCATAAATGCGACTCTATACCTGCGCAAATGCTTACCAACCAATATGCAAGATAAGATTAAGTGGTTCAATGCGGACATGACAGGAGGGTACAAAGATGCGGAGCTCACGAACCTTATATCGGGAGATACGTGGGGCTACTGCACAACAGATTCATTTGGAATGGTAAGTGTGTTCCATCAGACGTATTCACAAATTAACTTACCAATCAGGGAATGGATGTTCCCGACATCATGCTAATTATTCAGTGGCGAGCATCATGCAAGCTATCCACTCTTTGGCAGTGGTTTGGGCGTGCAGTACGGGATCAAAGCCTTCTGGGCACTGCATTGTTGTTCGCAGAGAAGGAGCACTTTGATGATGAACGACAAGCTAAACTGGCGAGAAAAAAGGCATGGGAGGCGACGCGGAAGAGAAAGGGTGATAACTTACCTACATCAACGTCGAAGCGCCGTGCCGTGAATCCGTCAAATTCTCAGGCGGGCGATTCCCGCGCACTGCAGACTATCAGCAATGGCAATGGTAATGAGTCTGATGAGTCTGATGAGGATGTTATACCTCCCATAGATGCAGGCCTGCAGGGGTTAAAGGACTTGGCGAAGGACGCTGGAGAACCTGTGCAGAAATATAATGGAAAGCGACAAAAGCCGAGTCTTGATCCATCAATGGATTATCTGATTAACGCGGAGAAATGTACTGGACTGATGTGCCGCAGGAAGGTCTTTGACATTAGCTTTGATAACGACACTGCTGGTGAGAAATGTGATGCGTGATGTAACAATAGGTACTCACTTATCTCAGATTCCGACCATTTGGACTGCAACACCGAGCAAGCATCAGGGTGTGAAAGGTGCTGCCTCTCTCAACCGACTATCTGCTGCGATATCCACCACCCCGATCATTTTACCCAGTACACTTCTCATATTGAAAAACCAACAACGATGCCTCAGCGCTGCCGCATTACCAAGTACGAGAAGACCACAAAAGACTTCACCTTCCAAGACGCACTAGATGAGTGGCGTGAGCAGAAGACAGTTGAGGTATATGGCTGGTATCACCTCAACGACCTCGGCCCTACTGTTGTCATGCCAAACGCTATGTTGGATCGCATCGTCGACTGCGTACATCACCACAAGATCCAGAACATCCTTGATTTGAAGAAGGAGACGGGTTGGACAGATGTAGAGAACTTTGGGGAGGAGGTTATTACTCTTATCAAGAAATATATGCCGCTCCCCCATCCTGTGCTATTCACAACAACACCACTTACTAGGCCTGGACCTGTCCAACCTCAACCTCTTGCCCCAGTCCCTGCCGCTGTTGAAAGACGAAGGAACCGGTGTAGTGCTTGCAGTCTTGAAGGACATAATGGTATGTTGTCTTCATTTTTGACGGCTTCTGTCACACTGACTTATTGTAGCCCGCAATCGTGTGTGCAATAGGCACCCATCACGCTCAGGACAGAACAAAGAGAATGCTACAACACTCACATCCACGCTCACACTCGCTCAAGGCAGTCGTACAGCTTAGACTCGTAATAATGTTTATACTATAGCTCCATTAATATGTCCTCAATTTCCGCCCCCTTTTCTCTAACATCCATCTCATTAGATTCGTCATTAGACTCGTAATAACTTTCGTACTATAGCTCCATCAATATGTCCTCGATTTCTGCCCCCTCTTCTCTAACATCCATCTCACTAAATTCATTGGTACTCTCACCACGAGCTGCTTTTTCCATCATATCCCTTCCTTTGTCAATGAGGTCAGGGATCTCGCAACGCGTTTTTCTACCTAGTACCACAGTATGCGGGGATTGCGCTGCCATCTTGATAGATAACCCTTCAAATGTCTTCGTCATATTTGGGGCAGCATGGTTCGTTGTAAGGTGGGCGTGCAGGAAATTCTTTTGCACCATGACTTGAATGTTTCGATAGGCCTGGACTAGAGGAGATTCAAGGAAGATTCGCTCTACTGTGCGGTTTGACCCCTTCCCACCATTCTTCACCTTCGTAAACAGGTTGTTTAGCTCGACACACCAATCAACTGCTCGCCACTTCATTGCCTTTCCATTTGGGTTGATGAGGATGTGGTAACGCACAGTGCGCCTATGAAGCTGTCAGCTCTCGATCGATGACGCCACCAAAAATGCACGTACTTTAGGCCGGCAGGAAAAACAAAGTGCGTGTTGATCAAGAAGTTTGTCATGTGCGTAGCATATTTATGTTTTCCTGTGGCCTTCAGGATTGGAATCCATGCTACAATAGACGTCTCTACTCGCCCAATATCTCTGCGGTTCATCGAGTAAGATAACTCCTCATAGAGGAGGAAATATTTGTTGAGTAGGAGTGCGTTTTCATGTTGCATATCCTGCTGCTCTCGAGGCTTACGGCGCATCCATAGCAACTTGTGATTTGCGACGTATTTCAACGCTATCTCATTTGCGATGATCTTTAACTCGTCAAGGGTTGGTTCGGAGGCTGCAAATGCCTCGAGGCTTGCATGACTTGGATCTATACTCGCTACATGAGCTCGCCAACAATCAAGCCGCCGACATATGCCAGCATAGCCTATCAGTTGGTGCATCCGCCGGAATCCTGGCTTCAAGCAGTACGTTCCCGTCTCCTTAGGTCGAAGCTGTGTTACATCGCGCATTAAACTTGTTGTGTCCTCTCGAGCTGCCAATGGCTGCAGGAAGATGCGCCAAATGGCATCAGCGCATGCCATCTTCAGGTGGAACAGTCCAGGAATGAAGATAATGTGCTGAAACCGACTCCATGGAGTCGCCTCTAATGATCGTCAAAGTTGTGCTGACTGCAGCCGTTCTCCAGTTCCGAGGTCGCCATGAACCAAGATAACATATTGTGAGATGTCGGGATTGTCAAGGATGTCAGCATCAGGATCATAGACGCCGCCCTGCACCAGTAGTTCCATGACTGTGCGAATGTTACCGCTGACAGTTGAGTTATTGATGTCCATAGCACGTGCAGCTGTGATTGGTGTTTTAATTAATGGTATCTCTTCAACAGCTTCGGCCTCGGGGACTTCAGATTGAAAACGACGAAAGTACAATGGCCCGTGTTCGCACAAGTCCAACAAGAACATCCGGGCATTGAACTGATCACGTCGGGAGAGTTGGGGTGTGGAGTCATCCCGTGATTCCAGGTGGATATGCAAAAGATCCTTCCATGATCTTTTTGGCGGTAGCATGGTTGGCTGTGCATGGGGATTGAGCATTGACCGTCTCCACAACTCCTCTGAGCACTTTAAGTCATCTGTGGTGACTCCATGCTCCAATGGAAATAGTAAACCGGAGGTGAGGTGCTTTAATGATTCATTTGACTTCTCGGCCTGAGGAACTTGAGATTTTAGGTCGACATCAAAGTTATCATAAGCATATGATGTGAGTAGGGATTTTCCAATGGTTCGGAGAGTATTTTGCGACTTGGCTGACAGCGATTGAATAGCAGCGCGGATTGAGTTAGTAGATATCGAGATTCCGATGTGTGAGAGCGTGTCGATGACTTTCTGAGGGGTATGTGTTGACTGTAGGAAGATACCAAGTACACTTTGTAAGGCATTCGACCTCTGGTTCGTGCTTTGCATCAATATACTAAGTATAACAACGCGTTTCTGATTTTTGTTTGTTCAGATTCATTGTAAAGATAGGGGCGATGCTTATGATCGTAATGATTGCAGCGTGCCGCAAGGTTTGTTTGTTACTATCATCCGGCGTAGTGCATGACGTGAGCCCATTGATAAAACCCTCGAGATCTATCTCATCTAAATCATCCAATAGCTGTCATCTTCCTCGTGTACTATCCCAGAGCTGTTCCCAAGCATATTTCCCATGAGAACATCACCATCAGTGTCCTTTGCCTCGCATGAATCATCAGCCCTGAGTAGACACCCAAGTAAATCCCACAGCATGGGTGCGCAAGACTGCATTTCTCTGCCCATCTCCTCGACACTAAAGTCCTCTACCTGTTGTGTGGTTGTGTGCGATGGTCCTGAAGTGCCAACCCCCTTCTTCCGATGAGATTAATTTAATCTCTCTGATGTATTGCTCTCTTGTAGCTCGGTTGGCATATTGCAATATGTCAGCCTGACTGAGAAGGATGTTCAGTGCAAAGCATCGAAAGATTTCATTACAATGGACAAGAAGGTCTTCGACAAGATGATGTCCATTATATTGTTGATTTTGTAGAATTGATAGGATGAACTGAGAGGCACTTAAGTTGCAGTCCTGTAGCGCTGCAATCACATGGTGTCCATATGGGAGCGGGTGTAATATTAGCCGAGGCAGAAAAATGAATATATCAATTCGAAAAGTCGTAACCCTACGCTAGGTGTAAACTGGTTGTTTAGAGTTCTACGGTCACCCATCACTGTGGCTGACCTCTGTTTACAAATGTTATGTTCCAGCCTCCGGTGAGAGTGTGAGGGGAATAAGGTTGTGCTGGGTTTGAATTTTTCTTGTATCATGTGACATATCAAACAAGTATCTATGTCCCTCGGATGTCGCCCTCTACACTTGAACCGGAGCCTGGGAAGGAGCCTGGGCACCGGCGTGAAATTTTCAGTTCAATTAGGAAATGTTAGACTTAGTGAAATTTTGCTCATTGTACACTCACATCCCCTGTAATTCATTATCATCATGCCACTTATGACTATTCCTGCCTCCAAAAAACACAAGAGTCTGCTAGAGCATGACAGTGACCTTGATTCCAATGGGTCTGATGAGGACGATACTGTAGAGTTACGACTGTAACTTCGTCACGCGTCCCACCCCACAGCGAATCGAATCTATTTGATGTGACGGTCACACTAAATTTTGGGGAGCGAAGCTATTTTGTGACAAGCGGTAAAACAGGAAAAATCACCAACAAAATTGCTACAGACAAGTTAGCACTAACTTAGCAGTGCAACCAAAAATCGTTATATAGGGTATTGGCTATGCATCTGTGCTGTCCTCTCCCTCACCTGTGTTCGAGGCCTCAGCGGCCTGAGTATTTCCTGCAACCTCTGACTCACATGGAATGCAGCTGACCATCATTTTATCCATTCTAAATGTGCCCATAGCGGAGGGCCCAAGGCAACGATGTGAGGATCTTTTGGTCCATATCACCACCAAAAGGAAGAGAGAAGATTGTTGCACCGAGTCGGGTTGCAAACCCAAGTCAGTCGGGGCGAAGCTAACTTGGATAGGTCACACGTCACAAGGGCCTACAAAGCTGCGAAGCTAAGTGTGACATGGTCACACCCGAAAGGGCGCGAAGCTATGGTTGTAACTCTACAGTATTTGACATCGCTGGTTTCATGCCAGAGCTTCAAAATCCGAAACCAAGTGCGTCTGGAAAATCCTGCAGCAATCTAGGATATCATGAAGGCTTAGAAGGTTCCAGTTCATGGAGTTGGATTGCTGCAAGTTTCACATCATGACTGATCTTGCGAAATCCCATGTTGCGAAGATGATAATATAAGGGTAGTATGAGCATACACAAGGAAAATTTCACACCAGTGCCATCCTTTATGCAAAGAGCTGTAAGTAACTTTCGGAAAGTTTGCTAAGCTTGGTAAATTTTGGTAAGACACACTACAAATTGTTCTGAAAACTCTGACATAAGTATGGCTCAGATCGGCATGGAAAGTGGACTTCGAAAAGAGACTTAGTGTTGAAAGACGATGCAGTGATGGGATAAGCAATGAGAAGTAATACAATTGTGTGAGATATGTAGAAACTAGTTCACTGTGCCCTGTATTGGATCACACCCTTCAAAGGACAAAATCCGGCTGCACAACTAACTCATGTCTGTTATGAGGGGGAGGGTGAGTGTAGCTGAACTGTGGGGAGGACTGAGTGCTGGGGGGAGCGGGTGCGCCATAGTTGAACTGTGGGGAGGACTGAGTGCTGGGGGGAGGGGGGGGCACCATAGTTGAACTGTGGGGAGGAAGCAGCACTGCCGTCACCACGAGGGTTGAAAGGAGGGGGGCGTGAACTAGTTGGGCTGCCTGCAAAAGGGCTGGGAGGGGGGGGACTGCTGAATTGTGGGCTAGTGCTGCTGCCATCCGCAGGATGGCTATAGTGATATTGCAGGGAAGCACTACCGCCCGCAAAGCTGCCAGAGGAGGGGGGAGATAGCCAGATTGTTGGGGGTGATCATTGATGCCCCCCTGGGCATGGGGGGAACACATTGAGGGATCCTCCTCAAAGATAACAGCTTTCTTGTCAAGACTGTAAGGGATGACTGCAGCAATGAGTGTTCCTCCTCCAAGATTGAAAATGAGGACATTGTGCTTCGCCAAGACCATAAGGGAGGGCTGCAGGCAATGAGTGTTCCTCCTCCAAGATCAAAAATGAGGACATTGCGCTCGCCAAGACCATAAGGGAGGGCTGTGGCAATGAGTGTTCCTCCTCCAAGATCGAAAATGAGGACATTGCACTTGCCAAGACCGTAAGCAGTAGGTATTGCAAATGACGGATGTATCATTTGAAGAGGATGTGATGGAGGGTTGCAGGAGAGGGCATACAGAGTCAGAAAGGATGAGTAGTGCAGTGATCAGACCTTGAGGCAAACAACACACAATGCTACCAAGTCAAATTAAAACTCCGACCAGCATTATCTGACTTTCCTTTTTCAGCCCACCCCCTCAATATCAGGTCAATATGATAAGGATCTCTTGCACATCCACCATGCCTCGTCAATCCCTGCGAGGTGAACTCCATCAGATCTTGGATCAGGCTGAGCTTGCCTTAGCCAGGTCAAGATATGAGCATGCAGTCCAACATATCAACAACTCAGATAGGAGTATGGACACATCTAGTGATGAATCACTATCTGATCTTGATTTCATGGTGATCACTCCTTCATCTCCAATTTCCCCATTTTTACCCAACATGGCTGATCTCTCGGACTCCTCTGACTCCTCCAACTCCTCCGACTCCTCTAGTGATGTGTCTGATCACATTACTGCCCATTACAACCGACTTCAAGACACAATTGCAGCCCTCCATGACGAGATTGATAGGGCTCGTGTTCTTCATCGCCCTGATGCACCCCCCCTTCGAGCTCCCCAACTAGAACTCCTTCATGATTTTGGGGAGTCCCAGCCTCATTTATTTTGCAAGAAATTATGCATTGATCCTGACATCTTTGATGACATCCTTGACCAGATATCCAATCATTGTATTTTTACCAATCAGTCCAATAACCCCCAGCTCCCTGTTGCTATCCAACTTGCTATCTTTCTCAACCGCGCTGGCCACTATGGCAATGCAATATCCCCAGAAGATGTTGGCCAATGGGCAGGTGTCAGTGTTGGCTCTGTCATTAACTGCACCAATCGTGTTATGGTCGCTCTCCTTGACCAGCATGACACATTCATATCTTTCCCTGCTCTTGATTCAGAGGATGCTGAGAAAGCTTGGCAATATGCTGTGGTCAGGTCCTGTCCTGAATGGCGGAATGGTATTCTAGCAATTGATGGTTCTACGGTTGTAATTTATGCTAAACCTGGTCTCTCTGGTGAGAGTTTTTATGACCGAAAATCTCGCTATTCCCTCAACTGCCAAGTAAGTTTTTCTCTTTTTTTTCTATGGTAAAAAATTAAATAAATTATAGGCAGTTATCATGCCTCACAACCTTCTCATAGTTGACTATTCCCTTGGCCACCCTGGAAGTGTGCATGATGCATATGCCTTCCAGTCCACTCATATTTATCACGAGCATGCAACTCTTCTCTCAGATGATCACTGGGTTTGGGCTGACAGTGCATATCTACTGGAGATGTGGTGTATTCCCCCTTTCAAGAAACCATGCAATGGAAGGTTGACGGGTAATCAGAAGAGCTTTAATGTCACCCTTTCTAGGGTATCTCCTTATTTTTCTGCCTTTTATTTACTGTATACTGATTTTGTATTTTATTAGATCCGTGTTCGTGTTGAACACGCCTTTGCTGCTTTGAAAGGGTGTTTTCAATCACTCCGAGAGCTTCGGCACCCAATTGCTAACAAAAAGCACCTTATGACTACTGTGGCCTGGGTTCAGTGCTGCATTATCCTTCATAACATGATTATTCGCTTTGAAGAGAAATGCAACTCCAATGGATTGGGCCATTAGTGAGGGCCCAGGAGATATGCCACAAGAGGTTGAAGAGCCAGATGGTGATGAAGTAGTGGGTGATAGGTCTTATGAAGGGACACCAGGTCAGGCTTGTAGAGCATGTTTGATGGATCAACTTTTCAATAGCCCTCATTCTAATGTACAACATACATAAGGCTAGCAATCATATCATTGTATTCATAGGTAGCATATGTAGGGTACATGAAACATATCAAGGCATACAAAACATATGTAGTGGGATAGTAGCACAAATGAACAAACAGCCCAGTGGAGCAGCCCCCTCAAGATGCAGCATTACTACCTTTGGTCTGCTCATCCAGCATGAGTTTCTTGTACTCGATCCTGAGACGCAATGCCGCCGCCTCCGAATCCCAAGCCCTAGACTCAGCATCGTGAAGGCAAATCTCCATGGTTTTCACCTCTTGTTCATGCTGATGGTCAACTTTTGCATCTGCACAGATGATGGCATGCTCGTCGCGTATAAATTCATGCTCTTTGTCCTCACAGTAAATATCCAGCTTCGCCATGGTGCGGTCATTCTTCAACTCATACCGTGTCTTCACCAACGGCTCCCTTGATGCACTCTCTGATGTCTTACCTGAGGTGATGCTCTCAACCTCGTCATTCAACATCTCAACTTGCTTGCGAATGTCAGAACGGATCCACTTCTTGTTGGTCGCCTTGCATTTCCCTTTTGACACTGATGTCTCTGGAGTCGAAGACGACTGGGAAGGAGGCATGCTGGAGCAAGTGTGTGCTGAAGAGTATGATGATGCAGTCAATGAAGGTTTGGTGCTCGTGCGGACGCTGCCAGTTTTGGACAGGAACACACTGCAGTTGTTGTACGTGGAGGTGCAGGGCATCTGTGGAACTGTGGGTGGGGGAGCAGGGGGAGGCGATGGAGATGAAGGAAGCTGTCACTTGTTCATGATGCTGGCCCTGGGTGGGCTGTCGAGGCTCACAGCATTTGTGTCACGATCATCATATTCATCCATCCCATCCATGGTAAAAAGAGCAATATCAAAATCATCTTCAGCCTGAGGTGCCGTGCCCAGAGGGGGATGTGAGAGAGGGTATGATTTGCGAGGGGGAAGGTGAGTGCGGCTGAACTGTGGGGAGGACTGAGTGCTGGGGGGAGGGGGGGCGCCATAGTCAAACTGTGGGGAGGACTGAGTGCTGGGGGGAGGGGGGGGGCACCATAGTTGAACTGTGGGGAGGAAGCGGCACTGCCATCACCATGAGGGTTGAAAGGAGGGGGGCATGAACTAGTTGGGCTGCCTGAAAAAGGGCTGGGAGGGGGGGGACCGCCAAATTGTGGGCTAGCGCTGCTGCCATCTACAGGATGGCTATAGTGATATTGCAGGGAAGCACCGCTGCCCGAAAAGGCACCAGAGGAGGGGCGCGGATAGCCAGATTGCAAGCTACCGCCTGCAAAGGCGCCAGAGGAGGGGGGCGGATAGCCCAATTGTGGGAGGGCACCAGTGCTACTGCTTGCTGAAGGACCAGCAGAGGATGGGGAATAGCCAGATTGTTGGGGATGATCAGCTATTCTCCCCCCCTGAGTGTGGGGGGGAGCAGGGCTGCCCATGAGGGTGCTGGAAGGAGGAGGAGTACTGCGGACCTGTGATGAGGCATTACCGGTGTCTGCTGTGCTTACGAGTGAGAAGAAATGGGCAGCATGATCCACCCTGGGCTGTGAAGAGATTGTTGGTGCTGCGAATGACGGGTTGGACCCCCAGATTGCTCGAAGATCGTTGAACCAAGGACAATCACAGTCAATCTCCTCTGTAAATATTATCAGTATAATTAAATAAATTTATGCGACATACGCACCCTTCAAATTTGCAGCAGCATTAGCGTCGAGGGGAACAACACCAGCACCGGTTCTGTGTAATTTATCGCAGAGGGGATGCCAGACCTTCTTGAGACTTGAAGTGATATGATCAGCATATAAATTTTGGAACAGGGAGAGGACAACTTACGCGGAAATGCGGTATGCTACTGAGTCATGAAATTTATCCTGCAGACATGCAGACCGATGAGGTCGTGGTTGTAGGGCAGGCATGTTTTTCGAACCCCAACGTGCATGCTGAGTGAGCCGTGCATGATCGTCATTCACAGAAGGTTTCAATACTTTTCTTGGCCATGTTTTACCAAGATTTACCAAGATTTACCGAGCTTAGCAAACTTTCTGAAAGTTACTTTGAACACCACTATTGGCAAGCTATTGGTTATTATGTAGTTGCTAAGTTTGTGTATTTGATAAATTACAGCTTTGTGCATAAAGCTAAAGGTTGACAGTACTCATGTGATTTGGGTCAACAAGGAAATAAAATAAAATAAAACCCTAAGTGCTTAGTGCTCATGTTCAACACTATGCCATTCCAAAAAATAAGTTGGAATATCAAACTTCATGAACAGAATATTGACAAAACTAGATGATATTCCATGACTATCCTACCATTCCTAGATTTATCCACCGATGTCCCACTTCCAACTGTATTTGTCCACATCTATTTGTGCCTATCTAACACTCATCTAGTGTTGTGTGGGCCAGGCTTGGGCCTGGGCTTGAGTGGGTATGGGCTTCCTAATATTTTGGCCCAGTCCTGACATTGGGCTTGGGCTGGGCTGAGCTTGGGCTGAAGCCTGGGCCTGAAAATATAAAATAACTGAACATGTCCTACTAACATTGGTGAGTGCTCATTGGATAGCACCGTGCAACAATGAAACACAGACTTGCAACATCATTCTACTCTATTTTAATCCCAGTCATACCATACTATCTTCACCTGAGTTCTCTGTACACCCATCAAGTAGCTCATCATCCTCATCTGCAGGATCTTCAGTCAATGACAAAGGTCCTGACTTGCAGAAGACCAGGTCATGATGGAGAAGGCATTTCATTACCTGTAATGCCTCAACAACATCACCCTTGAGACGGTTCTGGCACTTTGTAATTGTTAACGCAGCTAATGAAAATGCCTGCTCACTTGAGACTGATGAGGCCATGATTCCTAAAAAGTCTTGAGCAATGGCCGTCCAGACTGGCCCATAGCTAGTTGCATTTAACTATAAATAAATTTAGTATCTTCGTTGAGTAATTGAATCAGGGTATAAGAATGACTTACCCCCCACCACTGTTCAATTGTCTGCTTTTCAGCAAGCTGGTCAAATGTATTCACATAGTAGTTGAAGTCCTGAAGCCAAGGTTTCTGTGGGTTGATTGACAATGCCACTGCAGATGGAGCTGAAATGTCATTATTGTCATCTTCTGTGTTATCATCACTAAGTTCCTGCAGAAGCCAAGTAACTTTGGTGCCAGCTTGGTAAATTTAGAATTACATAGTTAATAATAGTTATACTAATAATACTACTATGTTGCTAAAAATGTAAACTAAGTATTGATCTCATCAATCCATTGTTCTAGACATTGCGATAAACACATTGAAAGATAATTGAAGTACTTGCCTGACAAGATGGCACCGCAGCAAGTTGTACGTCAATTGTTCTGGTGTCCAATTGTGTGTGTATGCTGACTTTGTGCATGATCAGTGTACTTATCATGCACAAAAGACAGTTGCAGCAAGGAAGAGGGAGAAAGAGAGAGGGAGGGAGAGGGCAAGGGAGAGGGCAAGGGAGAAGGAGGAGGAAAGGGAGAAGGAGAGGGAGGTGAATACTGCCAGTGCCAGACTGAGGTGGTGCCAAAAGTTGGTGGATCTCTTCAAACTGTGGCAGATTGATAATGTAAGCATTCCTAGCCCAAACATGTGCACCTGGGTGTCTGAATGTGACCCCCTCAGGCTGAAACAAGATGAGAAAGATGTATGAAATGATGAACTGGGGGGCTTACTTGTGTCATTCCCGAAGTGATAGAATTGTCTGACTTAAGGTAGATAACCCTGGAAGTCTTCGTCCCCATCATTCGTTGTGGCAAAGCTATCCATTCCAGGAAGCACAGGTGGGACACTAAGTTGCAGGTCAAAGTCATACCACAGATCAATCTTGGCAGGTGTGTAGAATGCGTTCTCAAGCTGTTCAATGAAGCTAAGCCTATCAGACCCACCAGATTCATTCAGCTTCTGCAGCTTACCAGTAAAGTCAAAGGACTTCTTTGTATCATCAGTAACAAACCTCAATGATATGTGCCAAACTGGCGAGCATGTTAGGTACCGTGCTGGCTCAGGAGGCAGAGGTGTCGGGGCTTAGCTTCAGCTCTTGCGCTGCACCCTTAGCCGAGTACGTGCCCCGAATTTGGAGTGGGTCCAACGTTGTCCGATGATAGGACGAGTGAACCACTTAGGTCCGCTTTGAGGATTGGGAAGTAAGAGCTACTAGCAGCAGGCTGACTAGGAGTGGAGCGGAGAAGGCAGGGAGTGATGTGGAGGGTGGATAGGAGCAGGGGGAATGTAGGAGCGGGGAAGGCAGAGGATAATGCAGAGGATGGGAAAAGGGGCAAGGAAAATATTGATAGGGATGGAGAAATAAGAAGGACACTTAGAGCACAGCTCTAAGTTGAGGTGGAGGGTCAGAGGGTCGGAGGTGACAACAAGTTGAGACTTGTGTCCAGAGGAGGCAAGGTCCTACTGAGAATTCTCACAAGAGTTAACTGCGAGAAGACAAGTAATATTAAGACTGAGGAAAATATCTAAGTACATGATATGTTATATACTTCTATGTATGAGGCAGTGACCAGGATAACTATGTTGTAAAGCTATGTACCAAGGATATCATTTGTAAGTACTTACACAGGTGAAGACATGAGTTGGAGCGGATATCAATATGTACGTGTCGGATCAGTGATCGAGCGGTAATAGGAATTACCGGTGATCCGGAAGTAAGGGTCTATGTACTGAAGGGGAAAGTATATATCTAAAAGGGGAAAGAGGTCCAGTTGAATGGAGATGTTATGGAAGGGGACCGGTTGAGCGGTTGAGCAGAAATGTAGGAGCGGATGCAGATGATGATTGGACAGAGCGGAGGATGGATGGAGCGGAGGTGATCGGAAAGCGGAGCGGATATTGATATTAGAGCAGTCGGATCAGGTATATGACACTGACCAAAGAAGCAGCAAATTTGACATGGTCTGCCACCTTCAGGGATGTCCTCTTCAACCTCAACCACTTCTCCTAGCCCTGAAGTATAATCATCATTGTTGTTGTCATCAGCATCTTTCCACAACTGCAGTGCAACAGCCAAAAATGAGGATGGTGGAGGGACGTTGCTTGTGGATCCATTCTCTGGCCCATCACCATCATCCAACTCAGACTCAGACTTGTCCGTAAGCAGAGTGTCAATGTCAGCATTCATGACGAGCTCTTGATCTTCCATATGGCTACCAGTGGGATCACGGTCAGTGACTGTTTCTGGGTTACCAAATTCTGATGATTGTCCCTTGTCATCATCATCAGCCTGCTGCTTTCTTCCATGTTTGAGTGTTTCAGCATTGCTCTTGATATTGCTGGGGATGTATTGACAACTTAACAGATGGTTTGCCATTATTTCTACCTTGCCGGCAATATGAGGGACATTTTTGCATGCTGTTTGAGTAGGTTATTAATATACAATGTACATGCATATATGTAACATGCCAATTGGTGAAACTCACCTTCCTGCATCAAAATCATGGAAGATCTGACGGCCTGCAATATTCCATACGCAACAGCCAGCTGATCAGCATTCTCGAGCTCCTTGGCCTGCACCTTGACACAGTATTTACAGTGTGCCTGCCAGTGCACCTTATCAACCTTTGCAGCCTCATGTAAACAAGCAATATGAGCAAGAGGTTCAAGACGATGCTTATAGATAGCAATAGGAGGATTGTTTCACTTGTACTTTCAGATTTCTCTATTGTACCTATTTATACTACGTATATCTTTGTATCTCAGATAGTCCGCAACTCCACTACTTATCAGTGCACAGACCACTTTGCAGGTATGTCAGTTGATTACTAACTATTACCTCATGCAACAACACTCCCCCTCAATCAAGGGACATTCCAAGACTTTGTACAAGTCTTTCATGGTCTGGCTTTGGTAGCGGTTTTGTCAGTATGTCAGCTATCATATCTCTGGTAGGGCAATACACTTCATGAATCCTATGCTCATGAATTTTCTCCCTCACATAGTGACTTTTCACATCAAAATGTTTTGACTTTGCATGGTATTGTGGGTCTCGCATGATTGCCAATGCTGCCATGTTGTCTCCATATAAGGTAGTAGGGTTTATTTGTTTAAGCTTAATTCCTGGAATAGGTTATGAAGCCAAATGGCTTCACGCGCTGCATGTGCCATTGCAGTGTACTCAGCCTCTGTTGAGGACAATGAAACTGCATTTTGCTTTTTCGAACTCCAGGTAATTGCTCCCTTTCCTAATTTAAAGACATAGCCTGATATTGATATCCAATCCCTCGGATCATTGGCATAGTCTGTGTCCGACCAACCTTTGATCTGGACTTCTTTATCTATAGTGGTGCCTTAATATTTGATCCCAAGGCTCTGTGTACCAGACAAGTATCTTAGTACTCGTTTTGCTGCTGTCCAGTGTGCTAACCCCGGATTCAAAGTAAAAGAGCTTAGCCTCTGGATAGTGTATGCTATGTCTGGTCTCATTGCTACTGCCAAGTACATCAGAGATCCAATCAAGGATGCATAATTATTGTTACGGTTCCCCTCTTGGTCAGTCTCTTCTTTTTTGAGTACAATTTTGGGATCTAATGGCATTCCTACTGGATTAGATCCTTGGAGGCCATATTTTTGTAGGATAGACTCAATATACTTGGTCTGTGAGATTCAGATCGATTTATTTGATCGGTCTCTAGTTATCTCGATTCCTACTATCTTCTTTGGCTCTCCTAGGTCTGTAACATCAGGGATACCCTTAAGTTGAGTTTTAAGTTGGTTCATTAAGTCCGTATTGCTTGCGAATAACAGTAGATCATCTACCCACACGGTGATAATCTCCGTTTCATTCTGTGATTGTCTGACATATACAGTGGCTCAAAAAACTGTCCACATGTTTTTCACATTTTTCACTATCTATGATATTGTGTGAGAATATACAAATACCTCAAGGACATGCTGGTATCATATTGTAGCACCACTTCAGGGCTTTCAATTGAGCACTATGGCGTGGGAAGTGGTTGAGATATGGTTGAGATATGAGGCTTCCAAAATGATGACTCATGTGGACAGTTTTTTGACTCAAGTATTTTACAGTGATAATCAGGTATTCTAGTACTCTGTGTGACCTCCCTTGGCTTTAATTACTGCCTCTATCCTTCTAGGCATACTCTCAATCAATTTCTGGCAATATTCTGTTGCAATCCTTCCCCATTCCACTGCTACTCTCTCCCATAGCTCCCATACTCCTTTAGGGGGGTTTCAGAGGCTTGAAGCTTCTTCTTGAGTGTTCCCCAGAGATGTTCAATGACATTGACATCAGGGGACTGTTCTGGTCAGTCAAGAACATTGATATTATGTTCTTCAAACCATTTTCTGGCTCTCCTAGATGTGTGCTTGGGATCATTAGCCTGTTGGAAAATGATGTCTTCTTCATCAATCCCTGATTCAGCTATGCTAGGCAGCAAGTGGTCATTTAGAATGTCCACATACTGCTCAGCATCCATCCTCCCCTCAACTTCAGCAAGCATACCCACACCATTCCATCCAATACAGCCCTATACCATTAGAGAACCTCCTCCAAATTTGACAGTCTCACCAACCTCTCTGTCTGTTAGAGAATCTCCCTTCTTTTTCCATACATATACCTTCCCATCTGACCCAATCCTATTGATTTTGGTCTCATCTGACCATATAACATGCTTCCAGTGCTCTACAGTCCAGTTTTAATGGGCCAAGCCAAAGGTAGTCTTCTCTGCCTATGTTTGATAGAGAGAAGAGGCATTTCTTCTTTGTTACTGCCTTGAGATGAGCTGCCTTGAGAACATCCCTCACAGTTTGTGAAGAGACAGTGGTGGTGATGGTGGAATTGATATAATGGGTGGCTTGGACAGCATTATCAGCCTTTCCTGTAGTGATATGTTGAATAATAGCCCTCTTATTAGTAGAGGTGGACATCCTCCACAAGAGTTTTCCTTGTCCAGGTGGCTTTCTTTGATAAAATTGGCCAAAGTAGACTTGCATACTCCAGTTTTAGAGGAAATTTGATGAGCAGAGAGGCCAGAATAGGACAAAGAGAGGATATTATCCCTTTGAGCAGAGGAGATGGCTTTAATGGTGATTATGATCATGACACATGAAACATTCTGGTTTATATAGTTAGATATAGTTTCAAGAGTATGCCTAGAAGGATAGAGGCAGTAATTAAAGCCAAGGGAGGTCACACAGAGTACTAGAATACCTGATTATCACTGTAAAATACTTGAGTCAAAAAACTGTCCACATGAGTCATCATTTTGGAAGCCTCATATCTCAACCATATCTCAACCACTTCCCACGCCATAGTGCTCAATTGAAAGCCCTGAAGTGGTGCTACAATATGATACCAGCATGTCCTTGAGGTATTTGTATATTCTCACACAATATCATAGATAGTGAAAAATGTAAAAACATGTGGACAGTTTTTTGAGCCACTGTATGCATGGGTCGGACTTGGTACGTCTAAACCCTATGCTATTCAAACAACTATTGAGCTCAATGTTCCACTCTCTCCCCAATTGTTTTAGCCCATAAAGGGTTTTCTTAAGTCGACATACTCAGCCAGTACTGTTGTTGTACCCCTCCAGCTGTTCCATATATACCTCCTCTTTTAGCATGCCATTAAGGTATGCCCCCTTTACATCCATCTGCTCTATCTCCCAGTCAAGGATAGCAGCTGTGGACATTACTGATCGTATTGTTTCTAAACAGATGACCGGGGAGAACATATCTGTGTAGTCCATGCCAGGAATCTGTGAGTACCCCTTTGCTACTAGTCTAGCCTTATATTTGATAACTTCTCCTTCTTTATTGGTCTTTTTAACTAGAACCCACTTATTCCTGATGATCTTCTGATCTTTGGGAGGAGGTACCCATATCTTTTAATTGGGTGAGTTCATTGTTGATAGCTCCTTCCCACTTTTGCCAATCTACTGATGTCTTTGCATCTTTCAGTGTATGCAGCTCAGTAGGATCGAAACTTCCGTGTTCGACAATAGTAACCATGACTATGTCCGCTTCAGTTTGGGTAAGTTCAACCTCATCCTCATATCTGCTTTCACAGTCAAGGTAAGCCCATTCAATAGCCGGATCATTTAGTCTTCAATAGTCTTGTCTGACTATCTTTCTCTTTGTTCTCCTGGGCAGGTTACTATCAGCTTCGTCAGGTGAGTGCAACCTTTTACATTTATGAGAATCGCTTTTAGCGCTTCTTTGTGGTTCTATTTGATCATCACTCCCATCAGATCCTGATATTTTTACATCCTCATCTGCCATGCACTCATTTCGACTTAAGAGTGGTTTTTTAGGTGTCTGCGCATCAGCTCCTCCTGATGGCTGTGCGTCTGTACTCCCTATCTCCCCCTCATGCTGCACATCAGGCTCTTGTTGAGGGAGTTTCTCTTGTAGGAATCTATAGTTCCTACTCACTCAGACTTGACATGTCATGATGTCATAGTACCTCACCACCCTAGGTCCGTCTTCATATCCAACAAAGACATATTTCATTGACCACAGCTTCATTTTAGATGGCCTGCTTCCTTCCTGCAAAATATACACAGGTGAACCAAACTTATGGAGGTGAGATATGTCCAGCTTTTTACCACTCCATAATTGTTCAGGAGTAGCGCCTTCCAGCACTCATGTCAGTGCACAGTTTCTAAGGTAGGCAGCATGTGCTACCACCTCCGCCCATAGATATTCAGGTAAGTTTCTGGCTATTATTATTGCACCTGCTAATTCAGTCAAGGTTCGGTTGAATCTTTCAGACACGCCATTTTGCTGTGGCGAATATGGCACTGTTGTCTGAATTTCAATCCCTCTTTCCTTGCACCAGGTAAGTAGCTCGTTATTGATGTACTCTTTGCCATTATCAATGCAAACTTTCTTAGGTCTGTTCTCCCAGTGTCTCTCTAGGTAAGTAAGGTGTTGTTTCATTTTAGCGGTAGCTTCACTTTTATGTTTCAGAAACACAACACTACATCTTCATGAGTAGTCGTCTATGAAAGAAACATAATATTTTGCTCCACCAATTGACTGCACTCTCACTGGTCCCCAGAGGTCGCTGTGAGTCAGTTTCCCAGGTTTATCAGATCTCTTGCCTGTGCTGTCAGGAAATGGTTTATGTACCTGTTTGGCCTGTATACAGGCCTCACAGTCAATGATGGGTGAGTCCATTTTGACTTCTAACCCATCTACCATATTTTCCTGGCACAAATGTTTCAGCCCACTACATGCAATATGTCCATACCTTCGATGCCACGCCATCCAATCAGTCTTCAACCTCTCTTGTACAGTATGTACTCAGGTTTTTGGATACAATTGAGCCTGAGAATCTAACTTGTACAATCCTCTAGCCATTCAACCTTTAGCCATGGTATGTCCTCCCTTTCCTTTAAGGGTGACTTTACCACTTCCCATCTCAGTGCTTCCCCCTTCTCTATCTGGTCTTGTGACTGATATGAGATCATTGGTCACACTTGGTATGTACAGGACATTTTTAAACTTTGTTCTAGTTAGTTGATTGCTGATTGTACTAACAAGTTCAATTGTGCCTTTGCTGAGTGCATCAAGGGATTCATTCCCTATTCCCGTCACTCGGTGCCCTTTGAGCGGCACATAATCGGTCAGAGCCGATTGAATCTTCGTTATGTGTGCTGATGATGCAGAATTGGCAAACCACTTGTACCAGATAAGCTTCTCGTATTCATCATCTGTTACATTTACATTCTTGTTGACATTGGTTACATAGGCAACGTCTTCCATGGCACTATCCTCCTTCTGGAGCAATGTTTCTTGGACAAGCTTAGCCTTGTCTTTCTTCAAGCACTTCTTAGAAGAGGGGCCTTCACCTATCTTACCGCCACCCTTGCTCCAACAGTCATCTTTCACATGCCCAGGCTTACCACAGTTCAAACACTTTGTGGCTTTATGCCAACAGTCGTCCTCTGTGTGCCCAGATTTCTTGCATACCTTGCACTTCTTAAAGTTCCCTCTCTTTTCGAGTCTTTCGCTAAACTTCCTCTTCTTTGGTTCCTTTGTCACCATCTTACTCTCCATGAACTCATGTTCCAGTTCCTTCCAACGGTGATCTTCTTTATGGATCAACACAATAAACTCGTGTGACGTGATATTATCCTTTCCATAAATTACACAAAAAGTTTCCCAGCTCAGCAGCAATGATCCTAATAGGATAGTACAGAAGTCAAGATCAGTTACTGCACTTCCCATCAGGTGTAGATTCTCTTGGATTTGCTTGAGATCAACAATATGACCAGGTATGTCTGTGGTCTCGGTGTTACGGTTGTCTGTGACACCTTTCATTTTCCTTTTCACCTTTCACATCTTCACCTCTTCACATTGACACCATGTCACAGTGTCATCATTTCCTGATATCACCCTATCTAGGGTTACTCTCCGACTTCACCTTATCACAGGTGCACACCCCTATTCATTGATCTGAGATCAATCTCGATCTATCCTCGGCAAGTCCTCGGATATTACTTACATGCTGATACCTAGTGTATTCTCACAGACCCTTAACATGCATACACCATGTGTATTCCCATGGACACTTATCTATACTTATATGGACATATTACTTACTTACCCTTGACCCTGGACCCTGACTTACTATTGTATATAAGCAGGTCGTAGTCTCGATGATTCCTCATCTTGACCTACACTGGAATTACCCAGATACATCCTCTGACTACTAGTTAGACACTAGTGAATCCACCTTGATTCCTTTGACTTCTCTAGAGTGCCACCTCTAGTAGATTGATTGACTTAAAACCTCCTCTGATTACCATCAGCGTAACACTCAGAAGCACGGGTCTGATACAACTTATGCCTCCAAGTGTAAGCTCCTTGTTGACCTCACAATTCTTTCATGAGTTTCAACTGATCCCACATCTCTTTGGCTGTGTTAGCCCTGGCAAGGTGTACAAGTTGTGTATCACTTATGAGCAATACCAACACAGTTTTTGCCTTACAATCTTCTGAGTTCCACTTGGTGATGGCTGCTTTCTTTTCATCCGATACAGGATCAGGTCCCGCTTCTGGTTTAGGAATAGCATACCCATCCAGTTCTTTGTTATCAAGGATAGCTTGAACCTTCATCTTCCATGGGATCCAATTATGGTCCCCAAGATGTTCAATATGATAGAGCAATGATAACAACGGTTGTTTGTTGTCAGTCATAATGGTAGGTTTCAGTTAGATTTCATCTAATATATAGCTAAAATTTATTGTTTGCACACACCAGGGCTCATAACCTCATGTAAATGAGGGATATGAGTGAGAGGTTTGAGACAATGCTTATAGATAGCAATAGGAGGATTGTTTCACTTGTACTTTCGGATTTCTCCATTGTACCTATTTATACTATGTATATCTTCATATCTCAGATAGTCCACAACTCCACTACTTATCAGTGCACAGACCACATTGCAGGTATGTCAGTTGATTGCTAACTATTACCTTGTGCAACAACACAGCCCCTGATGAAAATGTTCCCATAGCCAGGACTTCTCCCTAGCCATCAGAGCAGCAAAGGAAGGTGATACAATTGCGGAAGAATTGAACAGAGGATCGACGATCATGATTAAAAATTGGCCAACCCCCAATTAACTCAAATAACTCCTGGTACATTAACCCTACTAACCCTATCTAAAAAACAGATCCATTTAACTAACCTCTTAACTGGTTATAACTGGGTTAAGTTATAACCCTTTTAACGGGTTAGTAACAACACTGGTGTAACTAAAGGGCTACTGTGGAGCTCTGGGAAGCTCTGTACAGAGCTGTACAGAGATGGGCCTGTCTGTGACAGTCTGTCTAGTGGAGACCAAGCTGTGGCTCTGGTGAACTGTACAACTCTGTACAGACCATTGTAGTTTACTGATGTACTTTTTGGGATCACAGCTCATCTTGACACCTAGGTTCGGACCCTTTGTTTCAGGCCAGAAAAGCCCTTTGGGCTTTCACCCAATCTCTCAAAGCCTTTCCTTCCCATCAGCAATGTTTGTGTACTCAGCTCCCCACACTATATCAGAATCATTTCACCAGTAGTCTCACTCGTTTCTCTCACCACAATATTACTTCTCTTCAAAGGCTACTGAGCATTGCAGCATATAGATAGAAAATAGTATTCAAATTCAACATAAATCTAGAACTTCGTAATGTCAAAAAATGCCCTTGAAAATTTCTCATAAGCTCCAGTAATATGTGAAGAAAAAAGAAGAGCAAGCGGGGTGGGGGAATGGTCAGGTAGCAAAGCACACAGGGTGCTGTACAACTGTACGATTGGCTACTGTATTAAGTGATCAACCTATAGAAGGCTTGAAAGTATCATAAGATGGGGCAATATCCATCAGGAAGACTATGTCTCCCACATGATCTCTTCCAGCTTGTACCTTCTCAAGGCAGCATGGAATTTCACATACCCATCAAAAAAACTGACGTAGGCCTCATAGGCCTCAGTTTGCGGTCTCAGGAATTCGAGGACATTATGATATGCCCGCACAGTTTTCTTGATGACTTCGTGCAGAGCGTCCTGTTTGGTGAGAGCACGAGAGGCAGCCATGAGCAACAGGTAGTTTGCGGTGTCGCCTTCAATTTCCTCTTTGTAGTAAGATAGTATATCGCTGAATAATGGGGTTAGGAAGATTTAACTGCAGATCATCCATGCACTTACTTTGTGTGATTTATGACAGTCATTAGATCCGGCATACATTGAACATATTTCTGAAGGGGGAGGGTGGAAGGGAAAATAAAGAATCCATATGCATCTGCTAGGCCCAACAGGAGCCTAGAATACTCTGGGTACAAGGGAGTCTGTGCAGAGATCTATGACGCCACGGATTAATCGGGGCAGTGGATATCATTCAGGGAAATACCGTACCTGCATATCCTTGGTCTCATTATCAAGCACGATCGAAGACATGAAGTTGAGTGAGGATGCGACAATCAAATTCAACACAGGCGGGGCATAAAGGCAAGCGATGTCCCACAAGAGCACATTGAGCGCATTCAGGACTGGATCACCCTGTGGTTGGGAGCTCGCAAACCGCTCGTTGAAACGGTACAGATGCACGAGGTCTTCTCCCCTTTCCATCAAGTCATCAATGGATGTGCTGATGGTAGTGAAGAGGCAGATCCACATCCTGATCGCGCAGTCAGGAAGGTGGGCGTAAGCGTTGGACATTATGGCTACTCCAACGCCCATGTACGGACGGATGGAATAGTTACCATCCATTGGAAAGCCACGGCTGATGGCTTCCTGGCAGCATTCAGAGTAGCATGCTTTGTTGATCGCAATGTCCATATATTGCAAGCCACAGCACTGAAGAAAATTGGTGATGGCTTGGCGGATGCTTGCTAGGACCTATATTCGCCATTAAAATTGGGACATGAAAGCGTGGCAGAGAAAATTGATACGTACGTCGTTATCGAGAGTAGATATGGACATGCTGTTGGATGACATTGTGAGTCACTGACAGAGACAGACCTAGGAGATTTAGTAAGAGAATGAGAGAAATGAGTTCCATGCACCTGGTAATTATATACTGGAGGTTATGACAGGTGATTAGTGACCTCTTTCCGAAACAGTAGGTCAGTGCCATGCCTGCAACAAGTTGATAATGGGCCAGGGTCCTCTTGCATAGCCATACCGGCAAGTGAGACTGCACAGATAACACGACCACAGAGCAATCATCGATCCCGTGCAGATCGCTAGAGGAACGGCAACTTCACACCTGATTATAGATAATGTCCTAACCCTTCGGAAGTTCGGAGCTGATGACCGGACGATCTGCTACCAAAGTCGGATCGAGTATGACGCCCAGGCAGCTTCGAAGCGCCTATGGATACAATGGTGGCATTGGTGGGGAGGTCCGGATCCTAGTAGTAGGTGAGCATGCGTCCTCTTGCATTTTGAGAAGATTGGTGAGCGGTAGTGCCATCAAGAGATTATGCGTGCCGCTGGAACCACAGGTGACCATGCCAGTGAGATCGTCAACTCTTTGTTGCAGTGCCTTCTGACGCCCAAGATTGTGATCCACAACGGCAAAAATGTTCTACAAGGAATGATGCGTATATATCGCAATGAAATGATTGCAAGATTTCTGTGCTATGTTGCAGGCAACGCGGCAGTTCTGCCAACCGGTTTGGCGCATGCTTAACCAATTGGACGAATGAAGACAATCCTTCTAGCCTAATAAATCTGTAAATTAGTGTAAACCCCAGAATGATCACCTGTGATCACATTCTTCGTCCAAGAATGACACGGGAGTCCGTGCTGGTGGCTTCCCAGTATTTGTCAACCCTAACGACTAACTTTGAGTGTCTTAGTGTGTAATAAAACCAGCTGCAAATGTGGAGGAGAATAAAGGGACCAGAATAACAAAGATCTCCCCGCGTCTCGTGGGATCCGACGGGTCATGGATGAAGTCAAGGTTTTGCGGAAAAAAAAATAACTGGAACCAAAGCTTGCATGTTCAGAGAAGCTGTCAATCAGAGGCATACTTGGCTCCTCTGCAGCCTAGCTAATCCATTACCCAGCATAAGCGGTTAAGTACTATTCAGTGTCCCCCGGTTCTGCCGTGTGGCAGAAGTTTGCTTGGAAGTGACGTTTTCCTAGTAGTACTACTAAGTAATAGCAAGGCCAGGTCGCTTCACACTAAATTTGAATCAAACTCCGTAAATTTCATTGAATTCAACTCCGCCCGAAGTTGTTCGTCAGTACAATTCGCGTCCACCTCGCGTGCGTGCTCCGCGTCCCATTGAATTCAACTCCGTCCGAAGTTGTTCGTCGTGCTTATACTGTACTTATCGTTTGATAAGCATATTGTTAGCATTCGGGTGTGAAGTTGCTGACTACCTTGAATTTTTTGTGCCACACAGGATCGACAGCTGATAGTCTCAAATTACCAGGTGCATGGAACTCATTCCGACCATTCTCTTACTAAATCTCCTAGGTCTGTCTGCCAGTGACTCACAATGTCATTCAACAACATGTCTACATCCACTCTTCGATAGCGACGTATGCGTCAATTTTCCTATGATAAAATAGCTCGTCTTTGGAATATTCACACAAATCTCCCAGTCGGTCCACCTCTCCAGCACGACGATTATGTGAGATGCGCTGTCTTTTCCTGCTGATAGGAAGCTGCTAGTCACCGGTTGCGACGACAAAAAATGCGTATATGTACGCGTGGGACGTCCGTGCCATCCTAAAAGAAACAGGCCTTGAACACCTACCCATCCCCGATGCGAGTGTTAATTTCATGACTCTTTAAGATCACACCAATCTCCCATTCGCAGGTTCTAATTGGAAATTACGGTACTACGTGACCTATTTTTTTCTGATCATTATTCTGGACTAATGCTACGCAGCTCGATGAGGTTCGGCTACCTCCAGGCTTTTCGATGACACACCAGGCCACATTTATGTGTCGTCATCAGCCAATTTTCGATCAGTTCTCATTCTGACCCTCTGTGCTATCAGTCCTCTGCTACGCGCGCTACTTATCCTTATCCCTCTACATGCCGCCAGTGGTGCTCCCACTCCCTCACCGGGTTCATGTCTACATACGCTCCCTGGTCGCCTTTCCTCACTCTTCCGCCACTCTCAACCAAACACTAATGGAGCAACCGCACTCCAGCAATGCCCAAAACGAAGCTACTTTCTCCCTTTGTGGCCCTCTTGTTGTCGATGTTGCTGCAATACGGGACAAACAGGTATATCTTTTTACTGAATGTGTTTCTGATTCCCAATTATTTCTGTGCAGGCATTGTTTGTTGCTCGGCGGCCAGGAACGAGATCATTACAAGGCGAAACAAGCACAGCTGAACCAAGGCCAATCACAACGCCCAGCCCAGCCATCGACATCACAAACTCAGCCTGCTGCTGCGACACCTCCTGATTCTGCTACTAGTACTACTATACCGGGTGCAGGCAAGCGCGCAGTCACGACCCCTCCCTGCTGTGGGCTCGTTTTGTGCTCTCGCTTCACTGTGCATCTCCTCCACACGCCCATGGTCATTGATACATATCCAGCATAATATTTTATCTTTGCTTCTGGTTCTTCTGTACTGTTATCCATTTGTCGATGCCTTTCGCTAGTCTATCAATCCGTCTATATAGGGAGATCATTCATTTCCACGAACCTCACAGATCTCGGGTTGGTTTCAAGTTTCAACACTATGGCATGAAGCAGCCTCGATTGTACTCTCAAGCGGCGTTTCAGCTGGTACTGCACAAAGGACATCTCGTGTACTGGTAAATCCTGCAGACGATATCGCCTGAAGTTCCTAAGAACCGTCAGCATGCTCCTAACGCACAATTACAGATGGACGTGGCAAAAGAAGCACCTGCCAATGTGGGTGACGACTCGGAGATAATACCAACAAACGAAAGGAGTCCTTACTGCACCTTGGCTCAAGCACAAGGCCCACCTGTACCTGCCCCTCCCGCTTAACGACTGACTCAAGCCCAATTAGCAAGTACTGCATATGGTACATTAATATTGGTATTTGACGCTCCTGTATAGTCTGTAACTGTTTTTGTCACAAATATTCATTTACGTGAATGTTCTCCGCAAATTGTGGCTCCAACTGATACCGTCGGTCTTCGACAACTGAATCGAAGTCTTAGACTAATAGTCCCTGGGTGGCACTGAAGCAGACGAGATCGCCCGGTATACAGACATAATCAAGCAAGGTCAAGCACACATTCTCTGGCCTCAGCGCCTTGGGCTGTAGCATCTCAGTCGGCTCAGCAAGACGTGTGTAGACATCATATTAGTGCGTTACCTTAATGCTTCCGCCAGACGAACCTATTTTGAACTTCCTGCTTTATGCGCTTGTTATACGCATATATCAAGTTCAGCCCCGTGGCGCGGAAGGAGCGACTGTCTTCCTTCTATTTGGTCCGCCTATGGATACTAGGTGTATCAAGGACCTTCGTGCTGTGCGAAAGGCGCTATCACATGACGGTATGGGTGCAACGCATCCTACTTGGTGGTTACAATAATATTAGCACGTCTTCCAGGCCACACTGTGATAATGATACAGAAAATACCTTTAAGTTATAGGAAAAGTGTGATACATTAATTACAATAATCCACAGGCACCTATAATCCATAGGACTGATATATCAGTGGAGGATCTGAGAAGCAAAAATATCCAGCACCGACCGCGGTTCTCGAGACCTGGTTCCTGGCTTCCTTTGATCGTATCAGGCTTTTCTTAATGGGCCGAACTTACTTCTTACAGAAGCACCATCTGGCCTGCCACGTGTTGACTCTTCAAGGTAAGCACTCTTCCAATATCTTCTTCACTCTGCTCACTCAAAACTATGCAGGAGCCTCGGAGGTGACGACTTTTATGAATGGAAAGAATTGCACTCAACCATGTGCATTCTTCCTTTCCCTCACGTATCACAGGTTCCTTGGCCCTCGCATGCTCCACACCTCTGGCATCATCACCACTCGTAGCATATGCAGCCAACAACTAAGGATGCGACATCGCGCCAATCATGATTTGCATGTCATGATCCAGTGTATGCGCAACTACATAGCCTCCCTTCTCGCTTTCACCACACACTCCAGGACCCTCCCTCTTGCAGGTAGCGATCTTCATCACTCATGAGCACGTTGTTCGGTGGTTGCTTCCTACCTCTTACTACATCTGTGCCCCCCAGAGCGCTTGGATGGAGGAGGGGGAAGAGGAGACGGTGGGTATACCCCAATCGGAAGGTAAACATCTCTGCTTTTTAATTTCTTTTCTGTGAGGTTGCTACGGCATACAATGTCTTTAAAATATTGTATTTAAACCGCAGATGCATATAACAAAATAACTGTGCAAAAGAGTGAGGCAAAGCATACAAATTTACACCATACTCGAGCTCGCCGTTGTAGACGACGAGCGCGAGCAGCGGTGTTATTGCCTAAATGAGTCTATCGCACCGACGTGACCACCAGCTTAAGAAGGACATAGATTAGCTTCTAGACGTCAGATTCCATCATAGATACATTCGATTGCAGGAACAGAACTAAATATACACCAGGGAGAATATATACTATACTCGGAAAATGACATGGTTTGACTATAGCAGGTAACGGACTGTAGTCTGTAGTAATTTGATGTATCACACCGCCCTGTGGCTCATGGTAAAATATGTATCACAGTTTTACTATAATTATAGGCAGTGATATATCAGTACCACAGGTACACATGCGTCTTCGAGTTGCCAGAGATACCACCAAGCCTCGTCCAACATCCACTCAAACAATTGCAACAAGCTTCAATATCTACTGAATGTAACATACGAGTCGTCTACTTGGAGTGAACACCATCATCGACGGAATGATCAAAGTTATCAATGATACTAAGTATCAAGGTTTACGAACTTCGCCGCAAACGCCCCGAATAATATACCTTCTATTAAAATAGAACGTGGATGGTCATTGGTAAAGGACTGTAAAGGCTCAGACAGCGCAATATGATGTATGCTAAGAGCGAATGGATCAGTTAGTATGTATAATATCTTGTACTGCATGAAGTGTTGCCACGTACCATCTGGTATATGTGCGAAGGTTTATCCACCCGTCTTCTTTTCTTCCTCGCCATCTTGGTCATCTCCGGAGAACTGCTCCTCGAAGATGCTCAAGTCAAACACCGACTTCTCCATGGAGCTGCGGTAGACATTCCGTCCAAAAATCAATGCATGACCTCAGGGGTCCTGTTTTACCGCATTTAAATTTAATCGCCAATACGTCTCACATATTCATTCGGCATGATCGACCCGAGCGGTCCAGCCGCCGGCGAAGATCTCATGGAGATTATACGGCGCATATGCGAACAGCATCGCACGACCGGTATCATAGTCGATATATCTATCATGACGGTTCTCTTGGGTAAAACATGCGCCAAAGTCCTGGCGAGGGTGATACCATCTGCTTGATCATGGCGCACGTTCGAGTAGTCAGATCGACTTGATTGTTTGCGCCCCGAAAGACCTTCGGCCACTTGGAAGTGTCACCCAAGGAAGTTCAGTCACAAAAGACAGTGGGTGACTTCCCGTAAGAATTTACAGAAACAAGCTTGTCTGTAAAAGTTTGACTGCTCGACATCGGCTAATTTACGGACAGAATCTGTAAACCGTAAGAACTCTGCTTAAGACGATGGACTGGGAACAATACCAATGATCCGGACAACAATTCCGTGAGCAAACCATCTAAAAAGAGTAAGAAAATTACCCGAATCAGACATTTCGTGCATTTACAGAGGGGTACCTACCCCTCCACAGATTGGCAAATTTACAGACAGGTGCGAGAGCAACGGTTTGACAGGCGTTGATAGCTACCTTCCAAATCCAGCGCGACTATTCGGCTAAACCATGAGGATTAACAGAAATTCGTCTGTAAAACTTCACGGGAAGTCACCCAGTGTTCCAACCCTCATCGGGGATCCCCCTGTCTCTCACAGGGATTCTCTCCGGTAGAATTCAACTCGCCGGTGAACATGGCGGTGAGAATGAGAGGAAGAATCTGTGCGCCGCCCCAGTCTATTAGCCCTAAGATCTTCGTGTTGTCGGTTAGATCAAAACAAGCATCGCGGAGTGCGAGGTCGGGATGGTATAAGACCAAGGGCGGGTACGACGATGGAGGAACGAAGTGAGGTATGAGCGACAAGGGAAGTTAGAAAACTTTTGAGCCTCGGATGTGTTCGGACTCCGAGAGCGATCGAGAAAGCTGGTCCGTCTTAAGCCTTGTTCATTGTGGCACAATCATCGACAAGCCCAGAGAGGTTAACCCATCGCAATTTGCGAAGTATAGAAATTGGCCGCTCAAGGTCTTTGGACGTCGATTGCTGCGTGCCACGAGATAGTTGTGATCAGTGAGGTTGAAACACTCTCAGAGACCATCCTCACTCTACCTAGTACCTGGTTAAGTCCTATGTGGTGAACTTCATTTTTTTTAAACAACAATCTTGTTTATTGTCGTCTTGGGGCATACCATATATAGTAATTCCACGTACCATAGATTCGCTACGCTCGTTTCTCTCTTTTCCCCAGTCTCTTTTACTGTCGACTGGGGTAAGTCATAGTCTAGCTACATACGCATTCATTACTGATGTACCCCAGGACTTACCAAGTCCCGTCTACTTAGACGCCTACCGTCTTTTAATTTATTCAGATCCTGAGAATCTACGTCGACATGTATCTTGGAGCTTCCGATCGAAGAGCTTAAGAAAGTTCAAGAATATTACTGTGGTAACTTGTAGATCTTGCACTTGATATCCCATTCTCGACGGAAAGATCTCTGTGTAGTTCCTACATGGTCTATTCACCCACTGGTGTCTTGCCTCGTAGCAACCTCGTAGACTACACTTACACCCTCTTCGAACTCATCCGAACCGATCAACTCGTGGCTCCACTACACGATTTGCTACGCCAAGCGCGCCAGGGGCAAAAATGTCTACCATCGTGATGTCGTGCTCGGGTAGAATTAACATCATATGCTCCGAAAGGCCACTCTGATTGTCGGTGGCTGTCGAGACTCAAGCCTGCCCAGTCAAAGTCGATAAGCATGATTCCTTGTTCTCCATCCTGCTTTACCATGATGTTCGTCGATCGAATGCTGCCATGCACGTATCTTGCTTGACCCAGAGACTACAGTTTCCTGCAATAAACCAAACTTTTTTGGGCGGATCATCCACCTGTTGATAAGGGTCGTTGAGATGGTCCATGACGGTCATGTACCAACCACTAGGAATGGATCCGAACACCCTTGAATTTGGCGTGAATCCTGACGTACATCATTTCAAGTGCGCATCATTCGCATACCGACTGACGAACGTTCGAACTTGATACATGTCTTCCTTCTCATAGAAAATAAATCCAGCTTCGGCGAAGGAGCCTGGCGCACATATCGGAACGTATGAAGGGTGTGATTAGAGTCATTTGTATTGCTGTGGGTGTGGGACTAATGCCAGAGTCTGGGATGCAGAGTTTTGGTAATTTTCATTTTCATGATAGCGCAGCAGCGTGGAAATCGTCTTCTTTGGTTTAACGTGCGGCCATCATCCGCATACCTGAGTCGGTCGCATGATAGTTAACTTGAAAATGGGGGAAAGCCCTTCAAGATGAAGGCAATCGGTCCGTCCAGATGGCGCCTGCAACTAGTATCCCAGTCGGAGCTTGCTGTCCCAGTCAGGCTGATTCGGTGCTTTTAGAAACTTACCAGCAACGTAGATCAGAAAACGTGGAATGTAACTGTAGTTTTTCTTAAGCGTATTGCACATAGAGAGCTCAGTACCACGTTGGTCACGTGGGTCACCTTGGTCTCATGCGCAATCTCTTGTAATAAAGGCCTTCTTTCTTGTTCTTTCTCACTTGAGCCATAAAGGTATTTTATGCCTGAGCTGTATTTAGTGTAGATGGCCAAATATACATCATCATCATCAACAACAACAACCATCTCATCACAAGCTACGCCGCGGGTGCTTTGTCCGAGTGTACGGCCATACAAGTGACGCGCCAGACATCTTTCGAACGGGAAACTCATGTTCTGTTGTAGGATTGTGGGAGCGAAGGTGCCACAACGCAATCATACTGGGTGTGACCTGCGTTTTCGTTCGCTCCTTTAAATTTTATTCGCAGAACCCCCAGACCAGCGAGCAAGCTCCATAATAATGTGAATATGTATCATACAGTGAGTACTTCGACTGGGAGAAGATATCAATATCGTACAGTCGAACGAGTGTGAAGATATTGAATAGAAAACAGCCGTAGGAAAGATAAGTTGGGGGACGGTGACTTTCCATGCTTTGGTGATCCACTGGTATGTGTCATAAGATCGCTCGAATTCATGCTCATGACCTGTCATGACGCAACGATGCATCACCATGCTAATGCACTAAAACGCGCATTAGCTGGCAAGAGATGAGCGCCCATGAGCCATATCTAGGGGACACACGTTAGGTCATAGACAACCAATACGAATAAAAACAATACGAACATTATACAGCCAGTAGTTCGACTGGTCGCCAATCTCGTCGCGGACGAGATAGCAGCGAAGTCCGACCACAATTCCCATGGAAATAAAGAGAATGCTGCAGAGAGGTCCCAGATTCCAAAAGGAAGCAAGTGCAAAAGAAATCAACGGAAGGACACAAAGAATATAGATACGAGATCCTTCAGGCGCCACAATCGGTAGGGTTCGTCGTCCCAACATACGGTCACCATTGACGTCCGCGAAATCCTGCACATGGATTGTCATAAGTATGACAAGCCCACTACAGCAAAGTGCTGTTATGCTCGTCCTGTCAAGCGAAGGTTCGTCCGCTAAAATATCAATCTAATCAGCGAAGTATTACCCCTGAGAGGCAGAACTGCCTACACAGAACCAATGTAGAACCAAGTTCAAAAGATACATATGCTCCTACGTTCAACAAATTCTTGCCGATCGGATGGCCGCTGAGACCAAAATCGTCGTGCACGATCACAAGTATAGTGAAGACCGCACTAGTGATGAGAACGTTGAAATTGAAAAGTGATGAAAACCCCAAGCAGAAAACCATCAATCCCCAGCGCAAGGCACGAGAATTCTTGACGCTAATGCGACCAGACGGCACAGGACGCCATGGTTTATTCAGAAGATCTTCATGTGCAGAGTATGATTGGTTAGAGACGTTGCCTTGGAAGAGATGTAACCAGAGCCAGGATAGAGAGCAAGACAGGGCTAGCGGGTTGTGACGAGGAGACACAACGTTTGTGAACATCATCTACCATAGAAAATTCAGCGTTGCGCACTAAACGTTATAGCCGGAGTGAATACCACTGGGAGGATGATTGTCTTGAAGTCGGATTTTGTGAAAAGCCAAGCAGTCTGGAGGTGGCGCAGCCCGCTGTGCAAAGTGGTCGCTGCAAGGCCTGGCATCAGTATTCAGCGTATATTCGCGGTTTTATCATCGGTAAAATGAACCATTCCGTTCAATAGACGATACCAAAGACTTACCGGCAGCGCTGAACCTCAAGTAAAGTATATGCGAGTTGGATGCAAAGGCCATGACTGCGGGGCTGATACCGGAAAAATAGGTACTTGTGCATCAACCTGCAATGCGCTTCATAAGGTAGGAGAGCCTTTGGGAGCTGGCTTACTTCCATTGATTCGGTGCCGGTCTTGCATCGATGTTAGCCTATCACGCATGCCAACGCGCGCGATTCTGTTGGACCAGCGGCAACCAGATCTATTCAGGACCCCCGATGATGCCTATGAAACCTGGTCAGTCGACGATCGACCCGATTGAGCATTTCACCTGAGTCTGGGTCCATCATATCCTGCAGGGGATATTTGAATAGCATAGTGATATGGAACGCATATACCTCAATCATTGCTTGGGTTCGATCAGGTTCGATCAGAGTCGTCAAACCTCTAACTGGCAGCTGATAATGAGTGCGCCAAGTTTTTTTCTTTTTTTTCTTCCTTTTTTTCCATCAAAAACTTTCATAGATATGATTGTACTATCCGGTCAACTGAACATCGTAACAGAGGACGAGAGAATGCAGCGCCGCATGTCGGTGGGATGCTATCAGAGGCTATCAGCCCACTGAATAATACCGGAGGGGCGCAGTTCCTGGTAACAGAGACTTGCTGGACTTGATGGTAGAGAAGGCAGCTGAGTAGGAGTTTGCAATCATGATAAGGGGCAACTGCATCTTGAGGGTACAACTAATAACGTCGGAGGGGTGTATTTCCATGTTGGGTGGTCGATTCAAGCGCGACACGTTGCAACGGCATAGTAACGCGTACGCGCTATATATGGCAATTCATTTCGATCGCATACATGTACACATCACTAGGTGCGATGGCAAAGACTCGTCAGTACGACTAGTCCTACCAGAGTACTAGTATCGACTGTCACATATGTGGAGTCACCTACCGGAGACTACCAGAATACCTAGCCAGTCTTACCTGTAAGTGAGTGTGAATCCATAGTCTTCCAAAGCCTTCTACGAGAGCTGGGGCGTATCAACCTGCTACATACGGGGACAATATCTCTGTCCAGACTTAGAGAAGTACTTTGCCGCTTATCTCGGCTTGCCAAGTTGCGCGCCAAGAAATTGGTGTCTTTGCCTGGTGTATCATGGTATGCAGCAGATGGCAGTGCCTGTCTGTTCGGTACTATGTATTTGCGATTTGCAAACTGTCAGAGACTGTCGGTCGTCCAAACTGTTGCTGATCATGATCACATCCAGGAACTGGCCCCGGTGAAATTTAATGCAGGTTCTGAATGAAAATAGCCGTCATTCCCTGACTTGCATCTCGGTCTGTACTTTCATGATCTTTTCCAGCTTTTTCCAACTTTTTCACCGTTGCGGCTTGGGTTGCGACTCACCCGCTATCTCGGAGCGGCTATGTCACTGATATCTTAGTAAGCCTGAGTGTTGCCTATCAGCTTCTATCCCATGCATGTTACTACCGTAGGGCACTGCCCCACCTGGCAAATGAGGAAGATTCAACAAAAATATCGATTGTGGTACCGAAAATACGCAACCTAGAACCTAGATAGCCTAACCCTGTTTATTCGCAGATCGGGGAGAGCCAGGCTTTTTGTTTTACTTATATGACGCAGCCCATTCTGCAGTAGTCTCCCGTAGCCAGACCTCGAACGAAGGAGGACAGTCGTTGCTTGAAGGTCACTGCAGTATCCTGACTTTTCTTCGCTACCGATGGCACATCTTGGGCGGGGCACCTGAGGTACATGTAGTATCTCTAATGTGTCTTCCCGGATCCCTCTCGTTGGTATACATATCAACCCTATCGGTGCCCTATTCTGCCCTATCGCAGCTGTAGCATGAAACAACCTCCCATAAGGTTACAAAAACGAATCTTCTCATGACAGCCGTGCCAGCATCTGGAAGGGAGCTGTCAACATGGTTGCTCCTATCTGTAATGCTAAATTTCCCCGGTCAACAGATTGCAGCAGATTGCCTCCCCAGATTTCTGTAAATATTAGCCGACGTCGAGCGGTTAAACTTTGGCAAACAGGCTTGTTAGTATCCTTATCTTATTTTATACGAGGACAAATTGCGAGAACGATGCCCGCAGCCTGGGTGAAAGCCAGTGAAATGGGGTTATCGAAGTTGGCAACCGTGAGACCAATCCTTTGACACGGAAACTCAATTTTTAATGAACATGCACTTCCCGCCATTCGCAGTCATGGTACCGGTTGATCGCTGCATGTATTACCAGCCTTAAGCCTCTTAAAGCATGAATGAAGCCAGATATAATATTTCCGGGGGTTCAGTCCTGTCACCGAGTAAATTTCCGTGTAGGCATCCGCTTTATTATTACTAAACTGATGGTCTCTTCAGAAGCTGCATATCAAGTTGATACAAGCGGGTCTGTGGTATGATGAAATAAGAAGATGAATGTACTGTACATGTACCTTACGAAGAAGGCTTGCAACTAATGCAGTTGTCATCCTTCCACCGTATCTCCTGAGCTAGTACAGCTAGTAGAATGAGCTCTGTGGAATATATAGTATATCCGTCCTCGACCAGTGGTCGCCAGATCGATTGGTCTGCTGGACAAGAGATAACGTGACGGTTTTCGTTCGCCTTGAGTATTCGAACGGTCGGCTTCGCCGTCTGAATCTATTTATACGCGCGGCGTTATGATGAGACGTACTTGAGCGATGCAAGTTTCAATACACAACTTACCTGACCACCAGCAGACGCTACGACAGCTTTGAGCAACTTCAAGTCGATGTCGACTTTAGGGGTCACATAGAATGACATCCCTTTCAACAGGCCTTCCCCGCAATCTTCGCGTTTAGCGCGCTCAAGAGAAGTGGAGAGCTTAAAATTCCATTTCCGTTCCGATTCGGGGTCAGATATTAGAAAGTCCGTTTCCGCTGCAGTGCTCAATCAGGAAACGCCGCAAATGAATGATTCAAGACCGTCGCTCACGCAAAAGTTTACCAGCTTGGACGCTCGAATTGACCCATCCTTCTGTTAACACGAACGGAGAGCATGCGATGGCGCACAAGAACTTTTCTGTACGGACTATTCCCTTGGTGACAAGGTGTGTGCAGTCGTTAGGTTTGGTTGTCATCTTCGCGCCCAGTTTGTTCAACCGCTAGATGTATGCTTATCAGCCAGTCGATACTTTGTTGCAGGGATGTTTCTTACTTTGATAGTGTCGTCAGTCAGTTGAATACCTGTCGTCATCACCCTGACTGCTCCAGATTCCCGCGAGGGCCCAGAACTAGTATGATCCGATGAGCCAAGATGACGAGCAGCACAAAATCACGCACAGTTGATTAGTGTCAACATTGCGGGCATGAGATCCCTTTTTGTTCGGAGTCGCCTTCATACCCTTTCTCTTCGACGGCTCATCTTCGTCAATACTCATATCGTCCTCCGCTGTTTTCTTCGTACCCTTGGCCTGAGTCGCGCCCCTCTTCGACTTCGACTTCGTTTGAGGAATAGATGAGGAAATGGCCTCCTCAACCTCTGCTTCTTCGTCCTCATCTTCTTCGCGAGCCTTCTCCACTTTCCGCTTCTTACCGTCTCGTTCCTGTTCGACTTCCTCTTCGTCACGCAGGGAAATAAAAGAATCATTGAGACCGGAGCCACGCCTTCGCTTGGCATTCTTGCGCTCCTTCTCGAAATTGATGACGTCGGGCATAATTTCATCCCTCAATTTGCTCGTCGCTTTGTTAGCAGCGCTGCGCTTGGATAAACCGCGGGAATTAGTGAAAGAGGTATCTAGAACCACTGAAGTTTCATCCTCGTGTTCCGATTCCGACTCATTCCGCGCCTTTGACTTCGACTTGTTCTTCACAGAAGGTGTCGAGGTTGAAGGTTTCGACGGCGAAGGGCGTCCATGTTTGGATCCACTTGTGGACGCCTCGGCAGCAGATGCATGTATAGAGTTCGTCCTAGCAAGCTCGGAGCTTCCTTTCGTGTTCGTGGGCGTGTCTTTACGAGGAGACAGGTAGTCTTTCGGTAGAGATGGAACCAGCACAGATACTGTGCGTTTCGGCGTTTTAAATGTCTTTGCAGGAGGCGAGGGTGAGCGTGTAGTAGAGAGAGCTGGAGATCGAGCGCGAGCAGCCTCTTTCTCATTAGTTTTTGAGGACGTAGCAAGTGGCTCCTTCTCGGGTTCTTTGGCTTTGGCAGTAGACTGCTGCTTCGCAGGCCGTGTAAAAATTACATCATCATCAGACAATGATATGGCGCGTTGGGGGGTTTCCTTGGGCTTGGGCTTCGGTTTCATCCCTGTCTTGACTGGCGTCGAGGACCCCGGGGTTGACTGGTTTGGACGAGCTGGCGTAGATTCGGAGTCGGAACGCTCACGAGAATGGGATGGAGAATGAGCCTTGCGAAATTTAGTCTTCTCCTTTGATGTGGACGATTTCTGAGGCGACTTCCCACTGGCTTTGGTTTTGACCTTAGGGGGAGCCGCATCCTCTACAGAGCTCTCCTTGTTGACCTCCCTGGAATTATTTACACCATTCCTCACACGTCGTTCGTACACCTCCACAGCGTCATCCTCTGCATCAGACGCAGTGCCTCTTCGTATGAGCTTCGAGCGTGTGCGCGGTCGCGGTTTCGCGGATCTGGAGCTGCCATCATTAATGCTTGTGGTCCCGCCCTCTTCTTCAAGGTTGACCTTCTGAGGAAGTGGTTTCTTCGACTTCTCTGACGGCTTGGGCTTCTGATGTCTCGGTGACATGGCAAAGGAAGCATGTTCGTCGTCCACATCCATGACTACGTCGGCGGTTATTTCATCAGCATCGCCAACATTGAGGCCCTCGTCATCGCCGAAATTAACAGTATCCTCCACCTCTCTGGCGTCTCTCGCACTCGTATCTGTAGCTTGGGGAGCAGCGAGAGCGTTGCGTTTCGACCTTGATGCCACAGGCTGGGGTGATGGTTTCGGAGGCAAGCCATCCTCAAGTTCATCGACGATCTTTTGCTTCGACTTGCCCGATGCAGTCTTGACTTTGCCAGTAGTTTTAGGAGTCTCGGTGGATGAGGTGATGGGCTCCACTTCATCATCCATGCCCCTACGATACTCTACATCTCTCTGCTCCTCTTCGTCCACGTCAATGGGCCCAACTCCCCGGCCACCTGGAACAGGTGCCCCTGAGGTTATACAAACGGAGCTCGCGCTTGTGTCGCCTGTTTGGAAGATATAGTGAATATGTCTGGATAGTGAAGGTGGTAAAGACTTACCAATTGGGGTCAACAGCATCTTCCCGAAATCGACGCCGGGAGGAAAGAGAATGTATTTATCAACGCCGACAGTAAGATTCCTAAGCGAAAATCATCAGTCTCGCTCGCTGGATTCCGAACAAAAAAAGACGTGATGACTTAAGAGCGGTCACGCAGGGATACTCACTTCCATGCAATGAAACAATCCTCGAGCCAAGTATGGTTGACTATCGGTATCGACCATGCAACTGCACGCTGCGTTTTGGGCGATGGAGAACTATGAGCCATCAGTATAGCTGACAATTTGCCATCCCAAAACGCTTACTAGCCAGCGACCAGAACCTTGTTGCTCTGACTCATACTTGGCGTGAATTTTGCGCCCATGACTTGAATAAGTTTCTTCAGATAATCTCGCGCGGTGCCTGTATAGTTAGTGACGGTAATCTCCTGAGCGGCAAGTGAGAAGAATGAAGTAAAGGACACATAAGTATTGCTCACGCAATCGTTGAGGCCAGGAATACCTCCTCTCGGAACCGGGTACCACAGCAAACTATCGCGTGGATTATTCAACGTGCCAGATGCATCGACGTGAAACATCCAAGACAAGTTTCCGATCAAAATTGGACGAGAGGAACGGGCCGCCTATAACGTAGTCGCTGTAAGATGTTCCATTGACAAGTCGAACTAAACAAGGGATATACCTTGAAGTACGCCTTCCCAGAGCGGTACCGCGTGACAAAAACATCGCATTCTTCAACAAGGGCCGCTTCCTCTTTCTCCTGCGCTTCCTCGTCTGTGCCGGTTCCTTGAGTACGGAAGTTAAAAAATCAGGGATACGTCATAACGAGGACAAAATTACGACACCTTCTGCCTTGACGACAGTTCCGCCCGCCCTCTGTATGTTCGCCTCCACGGCTTCGAGACGTCCTTCCCCCAGTTCCAGCGAACGAGACAATAACAGCCTCCTGCCTGCCCACACATTGGCTCCTTCTCTGCGCTCTGCTTCCTTCGCCGCTATGGGACTGCTCAATCTAGTTTCACCACTCTTTTTTCTTTTTTTCTTCCCACTTTCTCCAATTTCTACATCATCATCCTCCCTCGTTGTAACCTGCACGCCAGGTTGCAAGACCTTTGGATCAGGCCATAAGTAAGGACCTTCAGGCACACGACGCCCAACGCGAACTGAGTCATCAAACCAGTGCGGTGTGAGGACGGACATGTGGGTATGTGGCGCAAAATGCATGGCAGTTTGGTACTACGCAGTCAGGGGTAACGCGGTGAATAATTGACCCATTGTACGCGCGAACGAAACAAAGAGAACAATTACCTTATCACTCTGTTCATGCAATGCAAAGAGATGTGTTACATCGCGAGTAAGGCCCGTTCGCCACTGCCCTCCTAACGAGGTGATGCCTGCTGACAGAACTTCGAGGTCCGATGGGGAGAGCTTGCGAAAGAAATTAATATCATAATGCGTGTAGAATTATTCACTCACATCGGTGGCACACGCGACGATGCCCGAAAAAATCATTGTTGGATCAGGCGAATAGTACTGCTCGCTGACATGCCGACTATCATTGCTTTCATACCAATTTAAAAGGCAAAAGATACTCACAGTTGAAGTTTTCCTAGGACTATGCTCCGCTGCACCCACATTCCCGACACTACATGCAAAGATCCCGGGTGCTCGTGTTGAGTATGCGATCCAGCAAGGGCAATGAGATGGGTGTGTGGTGGTGCGCTCGTTGCGCCGTTGAGGTCCAGCAAGCCCGAAAGCTCCCTCCGCTGTTCCGCTTGTATCGAAGATGAAATAACATAGTGCACACCGTCGAAGACGGCCATACCGCTCAAGCCTCAAGGTGTTCGACAAGGGTGGACGTGAGAGGAGGCGTGACGTGACAGTGCACAACGCGTACCATCACGCGTCTGGACGCCACGTGTGGGCTTCATGATCCTCCTGAGACCCAAGTTCCACAAAAGTTGACAACATCTGATTCGTGAAAACTTCCAAGAGTCCTAGCTGCGACCTACTCAGGAGTCGTCATACTATTATGATATCAGTTCCACACACTTTCGAGATCACGAAGCAGACGCAAATGAGGATTATTCGGTGCTCCTTGTGTGGTGAACATTTTATTGCTTGTCGACGTAGGGATAGCCCAGGATTGTCACGGTTGGATGTAACTATTTTAAGGTGATGACTTACTGGTGGTGGATCTCCCTCTCCCAACTGACGGAGGAATCTTTGCCACCTGACATAGCCATAACTTGTCATTCCGATACGCACTAGAGTCTAGCAAGCAGTCACTCTACTGCTGAACAGTTTTAGGTGGAAGGCTTCAATGCGGGCAAAGCCTATTCCTGCCTTGGTAGGGACAGTCCTCCAGGCAGAGTATCATGGATTCGAGCAACAATATTGATGCGACGTTTTCTGTCCTGATATCCTCTTGAACCCGCATTTCGACAGAACTTGGCAACTTTGCAGTGGTGGGGATTCGGAAGCTCATTCAAAAACAATCTAAGAATTTGCATGTTGGCATGTTTGATGCGTGAGTGGATTCAATGGAAGCCTTGCGGTTGTAATTTCTTGGGCGCAAAATTGACGACTCTGCGGCAGCATCCATATGTCCAGGTCAACCTGACGTCTTGCAGGCTTGTGGCTAGTAGTACTACCTCCTGGTACACATGCTGGATCTTGCGCTGAGCCCTCGAATAGGAATCTAATAGCTCGAAGCAACAGAGTACTGCTGGTTGGTCAACGGTCTTATTTCTATTGGAGTATAGGTCTGACTATGCTAAGTAATGGCAGGGAGATTGTGTACGGTTGAACCACTTGATCAATGATGATGTGAAATGAGTGCTAGCATCAAGGACCAAGGTAACTAAGTTCGCATGTTCGTTCACCGGTGTGACTTTTTTGTGACGAAGTTAGAACACGTTCGCCGTTGGCCGGCGTTGACCTGGTCGCACTCCGAGTCGGATTGATTATTTTTGCCTCGATTGATGCAGTCCTAGTCGGCGACGGAGATCTGCTATTACTAGTAGCTAAGTGATCTTCACAGCCTACGTTCCCGCGAGGATAAGTGAGTACCAATTAGATCAAGGTATTCTCTATATGTATGCATTAACCATATATCCGAGAGCCACATACCACATCCATTCTTTACTACACTAAATATCTAAAACCGATGGGGTTTCCAAGCTTCTCACTGTCCTTCCCATCCCGCTCATTCCTCGCAATTTGTTCATTCAAATGTTTCAAATACAGATGCATCCCACCAAACATGCCTGTTGATACCCCAAGTGTTGCGATACAGACGGCATAGGAATAACGATACGTCGGACCCCAGTGAGACTGCCAGACGTACCTATGAGATATTTGCAATAGTAGATAATGAGCAGGAGTGAGAGGATCAACTTGAAGGTCACTGACGATCCAATAATATTTCCTATGTTCCCCAGTCCGTTAATCAAAGCAAGGGCGACAGCTCGTTTCGCAGGCTCTCCAGAGAAAGTGTTGTTGATCCAGCCCCAGAGCACCATATATCCGGCATAGACTTGAGCCATCAGGAACCTGCACGTCTCTGAGTACGAGCAGCGCTTTATGAAACGATGGTGCCACTTACAGCGAAATGTAGCGCGCAGCTGTGTTCATCGTACAGATGGATATGATGAATCCAATGGCAGTGACTGCATTGGAAGCAACAATGTATCTGTAACGCCCTTGCTTCTTATCAGAGTACCTACTCGTCCATGAGACGCGTCTTTCTGATAAAAATAGTTCACCCACCTCGAAAGAGCAAACGCAGCTATCGTGGAGAAAACCCATGGAGGAGCGCAGAGCAGCAAAGATACCGTCGTATTATATCCCATAGTTGCGCTGAGCGTCGGGAAGTAAGCGTAGAATGACTGCGCTAAAAGCTGGACAGTGAACGCAGCTGCAAACCACCACACCTTCCAGTCAGACACAGCATCCCATAGTCCTTGCATGGTCGTCTTTTTCCAAGGCTCAGCCCGACCATCACCGTCTTCCGCAAGGCGAGAGATGGCAAGTGTCCTTTCCTCCGGAGTGAGCCATCGCGTGTTGTGCGGGAAATCAGGGAGTACGAACATCGCGCAAATCGCGATGAACATGGTCATGCTGCCCTCGATATAGAATAACCATCTGCAGATCTTTCAGCTTAAGTGAGTGAGAGAGACGATTGTTTCTCGCCTCCATGCAGCTTGACCCAACTTTCCCTGCATGCCTTGAAGTATACCAGATGCAATGAGGGCTCCGAAGCCATTGCTGAGCGGTATTCCACAGGAAATGAGAGCCGCTCTCAATGCGAGCTCGTCTCGCTTGTACCACCGAGATATAAGAAACAAGGCTCCAGGGTAAAAAGGTGCTTCGGCAAAGCCAAGAAAGAAACGGGCGAGAAGAACCCCCGTATAACTTGGGGCGAACTGTCAGAAATTAGCATGATGCAAACCGGGAAGGCGCACTTCTTTGTGATCCCTAGGCACGATTAGTATCATCTTCATGGAAGACCAACGACGGCAAACCTGTTAGTGCTGATATCGCACCCCATACAAACATACAAGATGGAAGAAAGACAGAAGGTCTCTCCAACCAGTACAGAAACATATTTCTGAAAAAACAAAAGTCAGTTGACCTATCCCTTAATGATGGACACAACTTACGATGGTACTTGCATAATAATGTATCCAACGAATAGGATCGACAAAATTGTGGCGTATTCTTGCCCCTGCAGGTGCAGGTCTTGCTCAAAACCTTGTAATCGAGCATTGCTGTCGGCATCATGAGATTAAAGCAAGCAATGACAACATGTCACGCACGAAGCATTCGATCTGTCGATCTAGTCGTAGGTGCACAGTGAGCACCAGTGTACACGCCGATAGAGCCTGCCAAACAACTCGAACTTAGACTCACATAATTAAGAGTATAGATAACCACGATAATGGACATGCGCAAATCAAGCTTCCTCAGTAATCTCTTTTCAAGATCATCACAGGCACAAGCTGCATGGCGTGGTACGCCGGGGGGCAACTTGAAGTCGTCGATCGCGTTGGCGGTATCAGCCGGCTTTGCATCGTTGAGAGCAGACATCGGTCCAAAAGATAAGAACGCAACTGGAAGGCTTTATAACTACTTTCCTTTGACTCCCGCGCAGACAGTCAGGTGAGATGAAAGTGTGGTGTGGATATTACTGCAACGGGGAGCCAAGAGTGATTGGTGGTAGCCTAGTAGGGTATCATCTGATAAGGTGAGGCACCTTGAGGGACAAGAATAGCATAAGGCATGACGCCAGTAATCCACCAGTACTTATACATTGCAATGTCGTTGAAATATCGATTGATGGTGAAAGTGCGCCGCGCTGCGGATGACCCTGCCATATAGACGTTGAGTCCTGTGCATCGCTCTGGGACACGCAGAGCAAAGCAGCGCACCCCACACCGATGGGTTCTGTCTCCGTCTCTATCACTCTCCTTCAACTCTCGATAGCCCTCTTCTGGTGGTGGTTCAGGCTAGTTGGGAGACCGTCACTCCTCTCAAGATCGTGACGGGGTACGCCGGTGGGCAACTCGTCGATCGCGTTGGTGGCATCCCAGTGAGCCGTTTTAGCATCGTTGAGAGCAGATATTGTTCCAAAAGATAAGAACGCAGCTTAAATGCTTGATAACTCTCTTCTTGGCACCCGCAGAGACAATCAGGTGAGAAGACTAGTGTGAATTTGACTGTAGCTAGGAGCCATGGGTGGTAGGGTATCCTCTGACAGGTTATTAATTTGACAGTATCTTGGAGATAAGAATAGTCACTTATGCCGCATATATACTAAGGTAAATATAGTTCCTAGCTCGTTCTGTTTTGTTGGTCAGTGAGCACTAACCAACTTGTTGCGCTGCGATTCGGCGAACAATATTAATCTGATCAACGCGCACGTGGTGTTGTTTGGCAAAAGCCTTCGATCCAAACAACTCCAGCCTAAATTTTGGGTCCGAGACTCCGAGTCTTGGACGCACCGAAAACATTCGTGCTGATTATACGCTGACGTTAGAAGGAAATCAAGCAAGCTTAGTCTAACTACATTATGTTTTTTATCTATACGATATCGATACACGGGGGTTCATCGACATCATAACTTGAACGTAACTACTCCACACATGGTGGTACAACATATGCAAAAAAGTGGTACTGCCTTTACATATGATATGATCTAAACCAAGTGGTACAACCAGATACGGTAGTAACAGGGTCGCAAAATAATCAACACCAACAGGAAACCGCTATCCCCCGCCCTGTACCCAAATCCGTCTCTCCAGATCTAATTATCGTGACAATCGTAATTGCTCGCTGACCACCGAGATATTGAGGCTATTCACGAAGAGCTGGCCAAGATCTCCCACCAACGCCTCATCACTCTCGACACGCTCCGTGGGTGACGTGCATGTACAACAAAAGCAGCTTGCGCCGTGGTTACTCTGCACTGATTTCCGCCTCCACTGCCCGATGCAGTTGAAGAGGGCGCAGATGTACTAGTAGTAGTTGAGCTGGGATTGGAAGATGTCGGTGACGACGTATTTGACACAGTGGCAGCGAACGAGACAACTGCAGGCCCAGGAAATGTGTACTGCACGGGCGTGTCGAAGACCGTTGGGTCGTAAATTCCCGGATCGTCATCGCTGTACCCGCCTGGGAAAGTGACCTCTGCACTTGCTGTGGCGATACCCGTTTGGTCACCCGAAATATTAACCTGTAGAGGACGCGATTGACATGGAGTACATGACCACTGACAAAGCATGGCTCACCTGGGTACAACTAGGGTAGAACTCGGCCCCACCCATCGCAGTTGCGAGATGCAGCGCGATAATCTCGTGTCGAATGAGGTACTGCCCAGGAGCGAGTGTTGGAGGGAGGGTTACATTTGATGGGCCACCATTCACTGAAAATTTCAGACGACAAAAAAAAATTATGTGAACAAATAGACGCACTGATATTTTGCTGATACCAAACCATATCGCCTGGCTGCAGCCCCGTCTCCTCGATCTTGAACCACTCAGCCTTTGTTGAATTATACTGATCACATGTCGTGTTGACACACTGTGCCATATAGGTCATGATGGGGCCAATATTATGCGGCCAGTTGCTGCCGTCCCCGCCCTTCCACCAAAACTGCAACTGACTGGCAGGATTAGCATCGGCGACAAGTGATGCGAGTTGAGCATCTTGGCCGCAATTGAGGTATGGGTTATCAGCGCCCTTCACAGGTGCGACATCATTGATCTGTCTGACGATGCTGGGAACAGGATTGGCATTGGGGACGTTCCCATAGTAGTCTTTGCCATCGATTGCGACTTGCGCGACATACCCATGCCCTGAGACAAGTGGTAGAAATACAAGGAGGGACAGGGGAAGGTGGTATGGGCGGTAAGACATGGCACGTCGACAGTCAAGATGTCACCGCGGAGGGGCTTATATCAAGACCAAAAAAGGACAGTGAAGTAAAGTTAAGTTTGTGGAAAATGTACGCGCACAGCGGGAGTTGAAAGCACGTCGCGGTATAGGCGGGGATGTTGCGGGGCAAACTGTGTAAACGCGGGCGCGAGGATGCAACGTTGTTATGGTTATATATATACGTACGGGTGCGTGCCCATCAAAACTTTCTATTGTTGTCGCTAAGTTGTCGGGCAGACCTAGGGGAAAGCAGCCACGGGGACTACGCAAAAGAGAACAAAAAAACATGGTGGAGGCGTGGTCTTCATTGTCCGAGGCGTGCCTTGATCAAAAATTAAGTACTTCCGTATACGTAAGATAAGATTAGATGCAATTTACGTAAAAGGTTTTACTTGTCCATAAGAGAACGCTGCTTTGTTCAAATTTTGGCCATCGTCAACCACCACCTGCAGACCGCATCTTGAAGAAGATATCGTTATAACTCCGCAGCTCAGCCTAAGGCCTACAGCCAGGGCCCAGGTATTACCCACATGGATTATCGATGACCATTCATTTCACCTGCGAGCCTCATGTTATCCGCGTGTCCGCAGCAGCTGTCCTCTTCCATTGAGCGCTCTTCGTCTGTATCCTTTTTCAACTGACATGGATGTTCAAGCATTTTCGTTCCGGCCACGCCAAGCTCACCACGCAGTCGTCTCCATACCAATCAACTGCTCGTTGCAAGAAGCACTGATTTCATGATATCGATCACTGCGAAATTGAGCGAATCAAATGACTTCTGCTTGGCTTCTGCTACTTAATGACTCCTATAGACTTATGATTTCGTATTTAGAAAGGTTCCTTTGGTCCGATACATAGAGCTTATCACCACCAGCTTGCGGCTCGGTAAGCCTGCAGGTAGTGGAATAATGAATCTCATTTACACGCCGACGGTCGATGGTTTCATATTTCACTGGGGTACTGGGGTGGCTCTTGGATACTTATAACGTTCTCCTTTGGACTGACTTTTACTGGTCTTGATCTCGTTGCTTCAATAAGTTCAGTTTCGGTTTGCTTCTTCGGGTCATGCAATGACCCTGAAATAAGCACTTATGGTGATTATCGATTAGGTAAATTACATGTGCATACGATTATCGCCACAGGGATATGTCGAGCGTTGAGCGTGAAAATGATACAGAAGGAAGGACCAGTGTCATGCCTACGGGAGACTATCCGGTCACCGATCAGATCATAAGTATCTCCAGATTCTCCACCACGTACTTGGCATAAATCGAGACTCAGGAGAACTGTGCTAGGAGTTCCGAGCCGTGCATAGTGGCAGCGATATTGATAAGCGTCCATTTTCCACCTTTGCCTCGCCTGAAATGGGCGGCGACGGTTACTTACAAGGAGAATGAACATCAGTGGGTGTGTACGCCGTTGGGCACTTGGCGTGCCACTTGGTCGATGATCATGATGAAGTTCGACACCAAGCAAAAGACAGGTAATATTTAACTACTAGGGGGATCTGCGAAGACAGTTTAGATCCTTACAGCAACAGCACTTTAGCCGTTCGCGCACCGTGATTGTCGCAAAGCGTTCTAGCGGCGTGGCTACATCTCGAGCGTGTGATATGCAGCAAGACCCTGCATGTCATCATTACGAAGGCGTGCTATGGTAAGGGTATCCTGCATCGGCTGGATGATGGAGCGAATATCTTGCCGCAGTCCTGGTTTCCGGTTCACGACCATATCGACATGCAACTGCAAAGAGGCCCACTGAGTTTCTCTCCAGGAGGGGCGGGGAAACCATGGTTTTACGCACCCTTTCCTCAACCTCTTCCATTCCCGCAGTATCTAAAACTTCTTTCACGTCATTCGTATCCTCAAAACATTTTGTAGTATCGCAACCGGGTAGCAAAATCTTAGCAGTATGTCGAGTGTCCTGTTGTTCTCCGACACTTAAATTACATCTAGGCCGTCGAATGTCTCGTCGTCAGAGTGATTTGTTGGGGAAGGTCGAACATCGCGTCGAAGAGGGGGTGAGTGTGAGCATGCGCCGGAAGATACGGAGTAGACATTGTCTGAAGAGCGCAGGACGACTACTTTGGCGTCCTTGAATGGCGCTTTGACTTCTCTAGACATTGTGAGGGAGAGTTTGTAGGTGAGGGAAAGATGACGAGCGAGAAGGCAGGTCATATTTTTATGCGACCAGAAATAAATTGGAGAGCCTTGCAATTGTACTACACCACGAAGCCCCAGCTCGCCTCAGGTGCTTCCTGTGTTCCTGCTTACTATCATTAGTTACTGTAATGGTATTCAAAGAAGAAGTTTGAACGTTCTGATCATTCTGCTCTGAAACCACTCCGAAACAGTAGCGTTAGAATCAGCTTTGAACGTTATAAAATGATATTCATCCGAACTTCGAGCACAACATTACATTCTCGTTGCTTGAGAGTGCGTGCCAGGCTTGCTGAAACGACTGAAAAGGTAGTTATGTGGGATACAGTAGAATATTATTCCTCATAGTATTTTCAGTGGGGGAGCGGCGCCCATGTGGCACCTTCATCAGGGCCAAACAGCCACCATATGCGCATGAGTGTTGCAGCGATGTTATGAAATTTGACTGGCTTAGACAATACCGACTCTTCATTATAATCTAATTCAAACCCATCGCGGATTTATTAAGCCATAGGACTAGTATGTGGCACCCACTAGCTGTAAACGACATCATGCCAAATAGTGTCAGAATTTGCCTTGTCGTGCTATCGAACATGAAATATGAATAAGTGGAAGCTAAACCTGCAATGTCGGCACTAAAATATACGATAACATTGCAGCATTCGTGATCTAATAATGCACGCTTGGTCGTCCCTATCGTGCGGGGGTATAAATAATGATATGGTCGAGATTAACACCCGAATGAGTGATGCTGAATAGGAGGGCACGCATCAGAGGGTGAGGCCGAGGAGGGACAAGAGGCCCCTGAGACCTAAAGAAGAGATGATAGAGAGGACAGGGGAAAGGAGAGGAAGAAGGGAGACAACAATGCCAGGGACGAGGGTGGCAACGATATGGAGGATAGAGGTGACGACGCCGCAGAGGTCAGTGAGCAGGGTGAGGATCTCTGTGTGGACGTCACCGGTGACCATACTGAGCACGGCACCCAGAGCAGTGAAGAGAAGCTAAAAGCGGAGACTCAGCAACAACAAAAGCTGGGTTGCATTACAAATACTTACAGTGAGGACATCAGCAATGAGCGTTGCAAGTGCGGCGACGGTCAACGGGACGGTGCCATCAACGGACGCAATGATGACTGAGGAATCCTGGCCAACAAGTGCCTGGAGTTGAGAAACAGCACCGGTAAGCTGAGTCTTGATTTGAGCGACGACAGGCGAGATAGCAGCAACGGTAGCATTGTCCGGAGTGAGATAATCTAGGGAGACGATAAGATATGCTGGAATCAATGCCAAATATTGACGACTTACTAAGCTGGTCAGTCAAGGGCTGGATCTGGGTAAAGACAGTAGTGAAGACGACAGCGACCGAGGGGGTAGGAAGTTCAACATCGGTCTCGCCCGAAGAACTGATTTTGATCTCCCGACCGACGGCAGGGAGACCAAGCTTGTTAAGATCAGACTTGTCAGAGGCTATGTCAGCGTCGGGGAGGGTGATTGGAGCAGCGTTGGTGAAGGTGCTCAAAACAGCCGTAAGGAGGATTGTGAAAATAGTAAAAGAGCGCATTTTGTAATGATTGTGGGTTGTCTGGTGAGAAGACGGGTATTTGGATCGCAGAAAAGAAAGATGACAAGAAGTTGATACAGACTTTCTGGGCATGCAGTAGACTTTATAGCACGCCTCTGCACGCCCTCGTTCGGATTAGTCCGTAATATTCTGTCACATGTGAATTTTTTCAGTCTCTCAGAACATTGTGAAACGCGCTAAGATATCCATCACCTAGCATCACATATGTCAGAAGCGTACCATTACCCGCTTTGGATAGAGGACGGAACTTTTTGCTGTCGGCCCACTCACGAAGTGGAGCGTAAGTACATTTCTGTCACATGCCACTCCGCAACCGATTCTCTAGAAATTGGACTCAATGATTCCCGGGGAGATGTCTGACCTTTGCAGACGTCGACTCTAAGCGACTCTCCCGCGCGCCATACGTATCCAGTCTCAGCCGGTCTCTATAGTGGATGGATGGTCAACGTCATAATAAATCTTCAGTTGCATGCAGGCTTGCTATATCCGTCATCACAGGCAATGTGGGTGTGAACATTGAGTACATGGATAGAATATCGCCGTGATCAATCCGCGGGATCCCGAAGCCAATTTCAAGTGACATCTCTGAAAAAATTCCGCACGACAGCGCGATTTTGGAGGGTTTGCGCTTCGAAGTTTGCTCTTGGCTGTCGGAAAAACAGCTAATGTGATTGCAGAATGTCTGAGGAAACGTGCATTGAAGATCGCTCTGGTAATTAATGTTATCGGGACTGTGATCCAAAACTTCTGATTCGAAGGACAGTATTGCGGATCATCGAGTCTTCTCAGTTCTTGTCGTGTTCCGGAAGAAATCCATGATGCCGGCCTTCGTCGTCCTTCGATATACATCTACTCGATGAAAGTAGAGCCCGGACAGCCTTCGAGTCAACGCTGGCATGCAGGGTTGTTCCTTGGACAGTGCGCGTCAATGTGTAGCCTGGGTGAGGTACGAACCAAGACGGGGGCTCGTAAGAGGCCTGCCCTGACCATCCAGTGATTGCCCAGCTAGCCTCCAGTCAGCCTGCCAGGGAGGACTGTGCATACTATGCATAACGCCAGATCATTGGAATCCTTATCCTGTTTAAGGTAAACAGTCACAAATAACTTGCAATACATGCTGCGGCTTATGTCGCAAGTGCCACGACATCTTGAACATATGCCGTCGCTGCCATCATTAGAGGCTTTTGCCAAGGTGCTTCCATATATTTTCACGATGTTCAACGACCCCTGACCATGACATACTGTTCCACAGGGTACCTTCGCCACTGCAGCCGGTGTTGCAACGCTAGGTTCAGCGCCTCCTGATTAGTGATGCTTGAGTAACCTTGGAATCTTATTTCTAGGTTGTGGACTGCTATACTACGGGCAAAACTATCTCATTTACCCATCCGCATTTCCGCCGGGCTCTCGCACAGGTCTGTAGTAGGCACTTGACACTCCACGCCAGCGTAACTGATTAAGCTTTAAAAGAGGTCCCAGTACCAACGGATTTCGGGCTTGAATATCAGGATTTACCACTTGTCACTGAGGATGGGCTTACTTTGCGGTGCTACCTTCTCATGCAACGGACAGAAATAAGCAACAGCCATGCTCCACATATAGATTACCCAGAGCAACAGACACATGAAGAGGTGTGTGTCATACTACTCTGATACTTTTGCTTTCATCCATTCACTCCTTCTATTTATTCACTCAATACAAGTTTGCATCCACTCGACCGACAGTTTTGATGTTCCACGGCAATGGCGGGAATCACGGTCACCGGATACCTCTCGCAAAAGTATTCTACGTAAAAATGCGCTGCAATGTGCTCATGCTCTCATACCGCGGGTGCGCCCTATTTCTTTCGCAACACAGTCTATCTCGCGACTGGGAAAACCCTTTCTCAACCGTACCAACAGATACGGTCGTTCTGAGGGTTCTCCATCAGAATCAGGTGAGACACCATCTCCAGTCATTTGGTCCCTTTGCTCACTGCAGTTTCTCAGGTATACGTATAGACGCTCAGGCGGCGCTTAACTATGTTACCTCGCACCCATACCTGCAAAATACGCCTGTTGTAAATATTTTCGATGTCACTTTCAATAATTGAACTGACTTGTTTTTGCATCAAGATCCTTTATGGCCAATCTATTGGTGGTGCTGTCGCTATCGACCTTGCAAGTCGAAACCCATCGAAGGTTATTATGTTCACATTTCGCTTTCATACTTATCATAATTAATATAAGAACCTGCAGATCACTGCGCTAATCCTGGAGAACACGTTCACAAACCTCCCACGTCTCGTACCTCAAGCTCTTCCTCTTCTTGGCCCTCTTTCATTTCTCTGCCATCAAAAATGGGACTCGGCTTCGAAAATACCCTTAATACCCCGGACGATGCCAATCTTGATGTTGAGCGGCGTTCTGGACGAAGTCGTTCCACGCGAGCACATGCAAGAGTTATGGCAGATTGTTTCGCGGCGTCAAGGCGCCAAATTCATTGGGACTGAAAACAAGTCTGACGTATCGTCAGTCGGTAATGGAAAGTCGAAATTCATTGAGTTCGAAGCCGGACACCACAGTGCGTCATCTCGGTACTCTGAATTACGTTGTTTAATTGGGCTGTAGATGATACGTGTGTCCAGCAAGGGTATTGGACTGCAGTCGCTGACTTTGTGGCAAGTTTGGGTCGGCGTTAGAGACCTGATGTTTCTATATAAACCTTGCGAAGGGACGTCGTGATCATGTGTTGAACAGTTTTGTCTTCCTCTTTTTTCATCATACAAATTCTTATGCACGTTCACTATCATATACCATTACACCATCCGGAAAGCGACTAGTATTCGTTTATCACGATCGACATTGGTACAGCAAGGGTCCAAATAATTTGTACAATTGTTTATCCTTCGTAACGATATGCAACCATCGCTTCTATTCTGTGTATATCAGTGCTGAAACTTCGCAACTTCACTTGCTGACTCTTGCTTGCTTCGATCGCCAGCGGATCAGTGTCGACCCACTCATCGGCGGGGACGTCAGCGGAGTCATGTGTATACGCAAGGATATTGAAGACAGTTGGCGCGTCGATAATCGGGAGGAAGGTGACGGTTGATACGATTTGTTTGAGGATATAGCGGATCTCGGCTTGGATCTCTGTTTCCGGTTTCACGGGTGGACTTGTACAACAGGGTCAACCACCTGGGTGTCATGAATAGCGGCAAACTTACGGATCCGAAGAATCAGCTGGTTGTTCGACCAGGTTAACATCGAACACCCATCGTTCGAGTGGTAGCCTAGTGTCTTTTGATATGATAGCAAGTACAAGTTGAGTTACCGACCCGGTAAGTAGCCACTCTAAAGTCTGATTTAGCCAGAGCATAAGAAGTCGCGTAGCACCTACTGTTGACTTGCTTCAGTATCCTTGAATCAAAGTAAGCAAGTATATGAAAGTCGAGATGGAATGAGATGCACCTATCAAGGTAGTTCTCTAGTGCCAAGTCCTGGGTGACGAGGACTGTTTGCCCATACTTCTTTACCATGTGAAAATCATCAGACGGGTATACTCCACGTTGAAAGAGAATCCTGTTTCAGGCCATGAAATCATGAGTTGGTGACTTTGGTTGACAGTGGATCTCAACGCACGTGTTGGCTGCGTACTTGAAAAACTCCGTGACAAGATTCGTGGAACCTTTCAGAGTAATGGCCTGGCGAGTTGGCACTTGAGATGTTGCCATGCTGGTAGATGCTGTCGAACAACCTGAGATGGAGGGAATTCCACCAAGTAGTTAAGAATAACGAACAAAATCAAGCGCGGCGCCGGTGGCATGTTTTGTGACGCGAATGGATCACGTGACTTGTTTCTCTTGCCAAACATCACATCAACATCACATATCGCCAGAACTTCGGACGATTCATCTTTAACACATATAAGATGCATGACGCAGACCCTACATCGCAATCTAATTATCTGCAGATCGCTACGAACCACATCACTTTTGATTGGACGGTTGATTTTGATAACAAGGTCATCATAGGCACTGCAACACATGATCTGGTTGCAAAAGCTGATGAAGTCTCAGAGGCGATGTAAGAGTGGTTTTCTATCTATTTGGCAAGTTATTTGAGTCGTCTCAGCTTCGATACCTCGTATCTGCATATCGAGGGAGTCAAAGTTGGGGGGAATGCGGTCCAAGACGTGCGCTCTGTGTCTCTTCACTGCGTGTTTTTTCTAAGATTGCATCATCTATAGTTCACACTTGGTCCTAAGCATGAAGTAATGGGATCTGCGCTGCGTGTCCCCCTTCCTCGGACTGCGAGTGCCGGCTCGAGTATCTCGGTTGAGATCACGTACAGGACGACTGCGAATGGCACAGCCTTGCAATTCCTTGAAAAAGAGTAGGCTTCCACCCACCGTATGCCAATATCACTCCCGTTCATGCTCCTTCAGGCAGACCCAGGGAAAATCCTTCCCATTCCTATTCAGCCAGTGTCAGCCCACTCACGCGCGAGACCTTGCTCCTGTGCAAGGTGAGTCGCATCGACAATTTGATTCTGCGATTCGGACAAAAGCTTAACATGTACGGAAAAGATACCCCGTCCGTTAAAGTGGCGAGTATTTCCCACTGATCCCCAGGGTCGATCGTGCTGATTGCAGACTCCCAGACGTATAGCGCCAGCGTCCGTTCTGTGCTTCCTGTGCTTCTATCTGCAAGACGGGTCTCTCCGCCCTCAGATGGTCCAGCCCATGATGGCAAGGTCATTGGCAAGGATGAAGTTGTATATATGTACGACCAGGCATGTTTAAGTCTAGCATTGCAATCTCGCTTTATCACAGAATTTGTGTCCATAGCCTACCCCGATTCCGTCATACCTTCTCGCGATCGCCGCAGGAAATTTGCAGTACCAGCCATTCCAGGTTCCTGAAGGAAAACTATGGAAGTCTGGAGTTTGGTCTGAGCCTGAGCTTATGGCCGATTCGTTTTGGGAGTTCAGCCGAGATACCACCAGGTAAATGTTTCTCAAGATTCAGCGCCGCTACAATGCGAGTTCATCGTTGTATGCCAGTTTTCTGGCGGCTGCAGAGGATATTGCCGGGCCATACCAATTTGGGGTTTACGATCTGCTGGTTCTTCCGCCATCCTTTCCTTATGGCGGCATGGTCAGTTACACGTTATTCCATAAAACGATCCACTCATCATCTACCAGGAAAATCCATGTTTGACCTTTGTGACACCCAGTAAGCATACTACATGTCCATTTCAGAATGCTGACCCCTTTCAGCCCTTCTTGCTGGAGACAGGTCTCTGACAGACGTGGTGATCCATGAACTTACACATTCATGGTTTGGGAATGGTATTACGTTAGTTCTTCCTGGCTTTCTTTCGTAAATTTGTTGAGGCTACTCTAGGCATGCTCACGCTTCTCACTTCTGGCTTAACGAAGGCTGGACAACGTATATCGAACGTGTGCTGCTACAAATTATACATTCACCTGCACACCGCGGCCTATCTTCTATAATTGGATACAAAGCACTCCTAGATGCCCTTGCACTCTTCGAAGACAAACCCAAATACCAAAAGTTGGTTGTCGACTTTGACTACGGGGAGAATCCAGATTCTGCCTACAGTCGAGTACCTTACGATAAAGGCGCAAACTTCCTGTTGCACATTGGTACGTTACATGTGATTTATGAAGCTACCCATTTGACTAGAATATCCCAGAGCGTACGCTTGGTGGCCTTGAAGTCTTTCTACCCTACGTCAAGGACTACATCGCTACTTACATGGGTCACAGCATCACCACAGAGATATGGAAGAACCACCTTTATGCCTACTTTCAGAAGAATGGCGGCGAGGTAAAAATCAAAGCATTGAACAGCATTAACTGGGATGTAAGGTCGGACAACTGGTAGTTGCAGAAAGAAACTGCTGAAATTGACCGACAGGCATGGCTTCATCAAAGTGGACTTGATTTACCTGTCAAGATGGAATATGATTTGACTCTGGCGAATCCTGCAAACGCGCTTGCTGACCGGTGGTATGAATCGCGCCACACTATGGACATTTCGAAGCTAGATTTCAAAGCTTCTGATTTAGATAACCTGGATGCTAATCAAAGAGGTGCGCACCAACACGTCTTTTCCTAATCGTGTCAGTTGGATAAGTGAGGTTGCAGCTGTCTTCCTCGAACGATTGGAGAGTTACAACGAATCTCTTCCTGCGCCTCACCTTTTCCATTTAGACAAATTATACAGCTTCTCAAAGACTCTCAGCGCCGAAATCCGGTTCAGATTTTATAACTTGGTGCTCAAGTCCCAGGCAGCAAAGCATTTTGTTCAAGAAGCAGCAAATTGGGTTATTGGGGTGGATGCCACAGGCGTCATCAAGGGCCGCATGAAGTTTTGCAGACCTGTGTTTAGAGCGATGTCCAAGGTTGACCACGACCTCGCTATATCAACGTTCAGGCAGGCACAGACGCAGTTTCATCCCATTGCGCAGAGTCTCATTGCGCAGGTACGCATTGTGTTAAGTCTGTCGGCATGTCCTTATCTTTGATCCGTCAGGACCTTGGACTGAACCTGGCTGAAAGATAGCACATAGATCAAAGAAGTTGAGCAAAAAAGGATGTTGTTACTTGCTATGTGGGGCCTTGACGACCTATGTATGTACTTGTATCGGATCTCAGGCCTAGGCCTCAGGAGCGGCGGGAGACAGTCTGAGACAGCTGCCCAAACTTGGTGACGTCGGACTTATTTTTGGACCTGCTAAGTACTGTCACAATACAGCCGAATGTCACGTCGGGGTAGGAGGCGGTCGCGCCCCACAAACTGTACCGCCAACTGTTACTGAACACTCCTACTGAGTTGCCAACCACTTTATATTTTTTTTATTCTTTCGACGGCGTTCATGAGACTTACTGGCTTGAGATTTTTTCTCTCGTACGAATCGTTTGGTGTCTCGTCTCCCTTCGACCCAGCCTGTAGACTTGTGACATCTCCGTTCTTTTCTCCTCTGACTCTCGGTGCACTTCGTCTACTGCTTGCTGTGTATTCGCTCGTTACAACAATCACTGTTCTCGTTTTTGAGTCTGTTCGTTACCACGATGCTAGTGGGTAAGTAAAGCACCAGGGTTGGCGCGGTCCATCATCTGATCACAGAACTTTGCGACTGATCCTGCTTCCACAGTTTTTTGAGTTACTTCACCGACCTCAGTTACATTGGTCTGGTTGCCTACTTCTGGGCCTCTAGCACTCAAACCATCGTATTTGCTTTGCGAGGACAGAAGTCGTACCCTCTGCAATCATGGCCACGGATCCTACAGCTCTTGCACGTCCTCCTGTACTCTACTATCACCGTATTTCGTGAGTCTCAGTGCTTTGTTTTCTCAGTCTTTTTGAACAGTTTCTCGCAGCCATCATCGTGACTGTTGTGTTTTGGGCTATACTCGCTTCTTCATCGACGTTTAGCACCCGGTACTCAGGTGCGGGCGGCATTCATTCATATCGGCTGCCGATGTACTCATGAGAGGTCATTCCTAGCTTGGTCCAATGTATCTCAACATGCCATGAATAGTATCTTCGTTCTGTTCGAGATACTCCTGACAAATGCTGGTCCAAGTCCATGGAGTCACATCATACCATGTTTCGTCCCTCTTGCGTGTTACCTCGGTGTTGCATATATTACTCATGCCACACAAGGATTCTACAGTGAGTTCGTTTACGCGAATCATAACACTGCTGACACCCACAATTAGCTTACAGTTTCCTTGATCCGTCGACGGAGCATGGACTTTTAGCCGCTTACATCATCGGCATTGCTGTCGGCTACTGCGTTGTCTTCGCGATCGTTAGGGGTATCTGCACATTGCGGTGCCGTGTGGTCTCGCGTTACCGTCGGGACTCTTCTGAACAGGTACCATCCGAAGCTATAGATGAGTGGGAACATATCGATAGCGAACAGCCGAAGGAGTCGACTGGATCTGAGGCTTAAGTATCTTTGTTTATTGTTATTTTCATGATGCAGAGCGAATAGGTTTTGTTGGCTGCTGATCTCTCTGGTAGTGGACTATCCCCGGCACGTCATATTCGTTACTATCACATTGGTTATGTATCATTATGCGCGATTGGTCATTGAGACTTTTTCACCGAGGGGTTCTCTTTCGCACACAGGTGTCATGTGTATGCCCTTTGGCCCGTGTGGGAACTAGACGCTGTCGGCACCAACACAGTCGCCTGAAGCAACCACGAGCACAGTTCGCTCATTCAAGCCACGCACCATGGCTAGTATACTCTGAACGCTGACTGTTCTAGAGTCTTCCCTTGGCTCAACAAGGAAAGCACCCGTCCAAGGTTTCAGATTCACCGAATCATGGTCACACACAAAGCGCAAGTCATGTCTCAGGCGCCAATAATAAACATTTAAACAGTCAGGTGAGTGTGCTGACTCGATGATCCATGCTTGACGCGTGACTTTCAGGTGTGGCGTTAATTTTAGAGTGACTGTCATACTTTCTTGAACGTGAAAATTTTGGGTCTACCTCGATATCTTTACGTCACAAACCTTCGTCTGATTGGAACGAAGGGATGCCGAAGGATGAAGTGTGGTCGCCCTCACAAGCGAAATGTGAGTCTCGTGATCTCATCGATGTGCTCGTGAGCGGACCGTTGTCGCGGTGGCGATAAGTAAATGTGCGCGGTCCCCCGCTCGTCGGTTATTGCAATGACCCTGTGATGCGATTGCCGCTAAACGGGATATTTTGCGCAATATAAAATGACCTCGTGAAATCGGGAAGTCATTACTTTTGCTCTCCATGGTGTTCCGACAGAGTTTGAAGCTTGCGTCTGCATTACTGGCACTTGCCACGCCATCCTTGGCGGTTGGTGTCGCGCCTGGTCAGATCAAAAACTTCGTCACTTTCGGTGACTCTTACACTGATTCCTCTTACTACCCCTCTGCTGACGGCGGCTATTCTTGGCCGACATGGGCGGCGATGTATGGTGACTTCAATCTCCATGGATTCGCTCGTTCTGGCGCAACATGCTCGAACTTCTATACCTACAGACCTTTCCCCCCGATCATGGGTAAGCAGGCTCAGGTGGTTTTCCAATGTTGTACTGATTGCAGTAACCGACCAGGTTGGCAGCTCCCCACTTACCTGGATGAGACAAACAATGGCACGTTAGCACTAAACCCTGAGGAGACGATGTACACCATCTGGATTGGAACCAACGATCTGGGTGCCGGAGCGCTGCTCACCGGAAGCGATGCATTCACGTCAATTGTTCAGGTTAGGCAATGCGTCATCGACGTCATTGATATTTTGTACAAGAGCGGTGCTAGGAATTTCATCATACAGAACGTGAGTGTACAAACATGGGGCCATCGCGTTTTAATCTCACCTCGCATCTACAGATACTTCCACTTGACCTGACTATCTTGTACTCTAAAGACTCGTACCCCAACACGTATTGGGACCTGGAGCGCAACACAACCGAGTGGAATGTGTTTATGAAGGAGCTGGTGCTGGGAGGGAATGAAATCACATCCCTTATGCTCGAGGCGCTTGTTCCCACGCTCCCCGGTGCCCATATCGGTCAGTCATTTCTACGATTTGATTCGGGAAAGCAGCAACTTACGCATATTTGCAGCATCATTCGACTCCTACGGGCTTTTCACCGACATGTACGACAACCCCCAGAACTACTTGAATGGCACGGCGCCATACAATGTAACGGGCTGCATACACTCATGCGTGTATGCCTTGAACAACGCTTCAGCGCCAGCTTGTACAATCGCAAATGGTACTGACGCAGACAGCTTCCTGTGGTAAGTCCAAAGAACAGTCCGAAATAGCGATCTACAGCTCACTTTGTCGTTTAGGTATGACGAACTTCACCCATCGCAGCAGTCCGACAGAATCATTGCTAGGGAGATGACCGCAGTGATGAAGGGAGAGTATAACCAATGGACGACGTGGCTGAGCTAAGTCAGTCACTTGCAGAGCGTTCAAGAATAGTAGATAATTTTTCGAACCTGGGATACTTTGATGCCCCGAATTCTAGTACTTGGTCACCGACTTGACGATTCCTCATGAGCATGACCGAAATACGCGAGGTTCAACGTTAACCCCATGGTTTATTCATGGCAGTCACGATATGTCAAGTTTTGCGGAGTTCGGCATCTCCGAGGAGCCCGTTAGCATTAAGGCTGGTCATCTGCCAGAACACAAGACCTAATCTTTATCAAAGGAGCGCTCATTGGCAGATAAAACGAGGAGAGCCTACCCAATGTTACCACGTCAAAGCACAGATTACGAAGGACGATAACTGACTAGTACTGACTGCTCAGCTATATGGCATTAAATATTTTGCACTACATTGTATACTCATCGTTCATCCTCGGCCTGTGGGTAATAGGGCATCGCTTGTGCCAGAACAAATCACAGTTGCTACCACCTGGGCCACCACCAAAGCCGTTGATAGGGAATTATCTCGACGTTCCAAAGACGAAGCCATGGAAAACATTCTCGCAATGGAAAAAGTTATACGGTACGTCCTAAAGCGCCGTACCTTGGATATGCACATAGTCAATTATTCGAGCAGGTGACATTGTTTATGCCAGCGTCCTCGGGAACAAACTTCTCATCCTGAACGACATCGAAAGTATACGTGAGCTTCTTGAGAAGAGATCACAGAAGTATTCCGATAGGCCATCATTTATGATGGCGAAATACATGGGAATCGAGAACGTGAGCACATGCACTCAGGCTGGCAGCAGCGCACTTCATAACTGAACACAAACCGCAATTGGGCAGAATCTGTCGTTCGCTCCCTATGGTCCAGATTGGAGGCAAGGACGGAAGCTCATACACGGAACCCTCAACCAGGAAGCGGTCCAGAAGTATCATTCGCTGCAGGAGGATGTTGCCGCCAGATTTTTGAGGAATCTGGTGGAATGCCCTTCAGAAGTCATGAAGCATCTGCATATGTAAGACCAGCTGCCCATTAACCTTATCTTTTTCTCCTCACTCAGCATTACCAAGGGCCTCGGCTCATATAATCGCGTCTATAACCTATGGGTTCTCTGTTGACACTCCAAGCCATGTGGTGAGTGCGCCCCGTGTCATTGAATCCAATCCTTTTGAACACGGACTTACAGTACTTCGACGAATTCGCCGAAACGGAGCGAATCGTACTGAAAAGCGTGGTTCCGGGGGCGTATCTTGTTGATATGATTCCTCAACGTAAGCCAGTCGTTCATTTTGGCAAACAGCTAAGCTGAAGTTGATTCAGTATGGTATCTGCCATCCTGGGTCCCATTTAACAGCATACAGCGAACAGCCGAGAGGGGGCGGCAGCGGGTCTCTAATATCGTGCACCGTCCGATAGAGCAGGTAGAACAGGACATGAAACAAGGAGCATCTCCGGCTTCGTTTGTTTCAGATTATTTGAGAGACCACGGAAAAGATGAAGCGATAAGGGAGCAGCTGCCTTGGGTGGCGTGGTCGATTTTTGAAGGTATGTTTTTACCGCATTGATTAAGAAGAGGGATGAATGCGGCCGCTCAAGCTGGATATGACACAGTGAGAATTCCACAACTCTGGGATATGCATCTATCTGACCGTGTGAAAGACAGCTGGAACCATGTTGGTCTTCATGCATGCTATGGCGTGCTTCCCGGAGGTTCAAGCCCGTATGCGCGATGAGATATACAGAGTTGTAGGGACTGACCGCCTGCCAACTTTTGATGACCGCGAGCAGTTGCCGTACATTAATGCAGCGATTAAGGAGGTGTACCGCTGGAATCCCAACTCACCTTTGGGTGCGCCGAGGAAATTACAAGATGCAGATATCTATAGAGGTATTTTCATTCATGAGCGGCGAGGAATACTTCTTGACATCTCGAGCAGGGTACTACATACCGAAAGGCACTATTATCTTGCCCAATGTCTGGTGAGTAGGACAAATGCACCCACGGAGTGTACTTATCCTGCAATACAGGTTACTTAGTCGGGACCAGGACAGTGGCATAGATCCAAAAGCATTTTCTCCAGAACGCTTTCTTGAGACCCACGTAAAGAAAACGGCACTTGATCCTTACAGTTATGCATTTGGCTTTGGCAGGAGGTAAGTGTGCATTACGACACCCATGAAACTTACTGATATCCGCGACCAGAATGTGCCCAGGGCGCTTTTTAGCAGACAACACCGTATTCATGCTTGTAACCAGTATGGTGGCGACCGTGCAAATTTCAAAACCCAGGGACAGCCATGGCGTGGAAAAACCGTTTGATCCTCCGTATATACCCGCAGGTCTTGCCAGGTGCGTTCGGCGAACAGTAAATAGTAGGAATACTCACGCATTTGCCAAACAAGTTTTCCTTATCCATTCGAAGTCGGCATCGAACCTGTATCAGAAGAAGCAGTGGCTGTCGTGAAAGGCAGAGCGATGAATATTGACTGAATATTCGTACATACTTACGGAGCACGAAAGCTCCGACGCTGCAACGTACGAGACCAGTCGTTATTAACTAACAGCTTGCCTTGAAGGCTGAAATTGACTTACCGACAATCCCTAATTATGCCACATATATATGCTCATTCGCAGTTGCAATAGTTTTGGGTCTGCAAGAATGTTGAGGAACCACATCATGAAAATACTATTCCGTCATCAATCGAGCGTGACGCGTTTCCAAAAGTTGAGCCAAGCTTAACTCGACTTGACTCGGGGCCGATGATACTCCCCGATCCTAGGAGATACTATGGAACTCGCAGAACGAGAACGAGACGGGAACAGTCGGTGGAAAGACCTCTCGAGCCGAGAGTCAGCGAGGACTGGCGATGGGGTGCTGCGTCGAGGGTCTATACTATCAGGAACCTCCAGGATTCTCCCTGCTGGTCTGGCATCCGTTTCCGCATGCTAGAAATCAGAGGGTGACATTGACTCCAAAAAGCGGCGGCCACTAGGAAACACTGTTTGAGGATCACGATGAACACAAGTGTGTGCAGTTGATAAACTATGTCGAATATGCGGTACACTAAGAGATACACATGTGAGGTGGTGCGGCAGCGCAGATGCAGCGCTTTGGCAGGCAGTGATAGTACTGCCAGCTGGCCAAGGGCTGAATGTTTCTAGAGTCATAGAGAAGGCGCGGGTCACCATTACAGAATCGTTCAATGCCAGGGCGATAAGACGAGAGAGGGTCAATTCCAGGGATGCAGCCATCGTAGACGTCTAAAACGCGTACATTGGATGAGAAGGCCCTTGGCAAATATATCAAAGAGGTTTTTTAGCGAAAAGCCGGAAGATGCGGGGGAAAGCACTGTGTCCTGAAGTGCATTGCGATATTCCGCGGCAACTCTTTTGAGGACAGACCCAAGTGCCCCAGTAACCAAAGACGTGCGCAAAGGAATCCTTCAACTTCCTGGACTTCTGTACACGTTTTGATTAGCAGTGCCACAGCCATTGTGTGGTCACAGGTAAATAAATTCTATCATGGTTCTGCGCTGATCGTAGGCTACGATCAGCGTGTTACCACAAAACCAGTTCTCGTACCAGATAATCAAGGCTTGACCTTCGAGACAGGGAAGTCACAAGATCTCAACTCGCACTTCTCAGGTTTGCATAGATCCAGTCACGCGGGTAATACTCGCAATAACGAGAGTCTCTGTCTCTGATTAAATACCGTGAGTTCTGGTAGAGTGTCCTGCTTTGGTAAATTATCCGTTGATTCCGACTTGCAGCCGTATGAGACAAGGCTAGAATTGATCATCGTTCAGCGAATAACAAATGATGCTTATTTCTCGCTCATCTGGTAGTGCCCGTGCAGGATGTCAGCTACACCTGTGTACTACTCGCACAGTGTAGCCAAACTTCGATGGGCTTCCAAACTTAGCTTCACATCCGCCACCTCAGTACGCTCCCCACTAGAAAACCTTGCCCAGGTGTCAGTTGACAATACCAACTGACGAAGAAAGTATCTCACAAACTCCTAGCCCTCCCATAATCCTTTTGCCAACCACACTCCCAGAAGCACCGGGACGGGCCATTCTCAGTGCATAGATGCCAGTGGCAGCGAACGCGCCGCTTCCTATGATGCGACACGTCACGCAATCGTTGTAAGATGAAGCCTGGTGAACAAAGGTAGAGTCTGTGCCGGGTGCTGTAGACCTCGTCGCGTTGGATTCAGGCGCGCTCATGCCCTGTAGTTGTAGCAGAAACATAGGAAACACGTCCCTACCAGTGGCACGGAAGGACCCCGGAAACAGGGGCCAAGAAAACTACGACCTAACTTACATAATTTGGGGGGACACTTAGAAAAGAGTGTACTTATTAGCCTTTAGGTGACATCGTAAAGTGCTGTAATATAACGGGGGGTGCGGTTCTAACGAACACCCAGACATACGCGAGTGAAACAACGTCGAAGAACACAAACCACACCGACAACTCTGAGTCTATGTAAACTAACCTCTGTACGCATAACCCAGCATCTCCGAAGTGCGTCTTTGCATGAATTCGGGGCACATGCAGCCCTCCGTCCACCCACTGGCTGTGTTCACGGGCTCGCTAAACATGTTAAAGTCGGCCACATCGATAGTGAAGGGGAAATTGTTATCCGTTGGGTTATGGAATATGAACGATGGGTCTGGGTTGCTTGCATAGGGTTGGTAGGATGGACCAGGGATCTGGGACAACGGGATTTCGTCCGATGCGACGGGGGCAGCAGCGCGACCGCCACGTGTATTGCCACCGCGCGGAGGAGGAACATATCCGTGTTTTGTTTTGCGATGGCGCGTCAGGGCGGATGGATCGTGAGTTCTGAAGGTGCAACCATGAGGACAGCCGTAGCGCTGCTCGCCAGTGCTGAAATTACTGATAAGATGGAATATTTGATGGTAATGAATGAGTACATACTGTCTAGCGTAGTGGATTTCAAGACTTTTTTTTTTCAATGTCGTGAAGTCACATCCAGGGAAGGTGCAAGTGTACACGCTGAACGTAGAGCTCATGTAAATGACCTATCCAGCATATAGGACGAACACGTACTTTTCCGGACGTGCATGTCCAGCCTCGTGCTTCTTCAGGTCCGTAAACTTGTCAAAAGTTTCACTGCAATGAGCCTGAGCGCAAACGTAGTTCTGCATTCAAAGCTTTAGTTTTAGGGCATGAAGGATGCTCGCGACCAGATTCACCTTGCGAGAAGTCATTTTGATTATAGAGGAATATGAGCGAGTGTGCTTAATGCTGTCCGATGTGAATGCCTGATTCTCTTTCACGGTGATGATGGTGCTATGTGGGGATTCGGTTTGAAATATATACGAGTCCCAGAGGTGGAAGTGCCATTGTGCTTTGGGGTGGACGAACGCTTGTTGGGATTACATAGACGCTTTGTCGGGGCTGGTGAACATGAGCCACTGCAAAGCGTGAATGTACTGTCAAAGCTTCCGATGGTCCTTTTGAAGACTTCATTATCTGTTGCCTAAAGGCTGCGAAGGTATTTCTTTTAGCATGCACTGACAGGTGTGACGGATGTGGATAAAGATGCCTGTACGCCTGGCAGCCTGTGCACAGGCCTACCTTTCATGACGGACATAGTTGGGCTCAGCTGAGGGAGCAACTGAGAGTGTTGCGTCAGTGGATCCAGCATTAAACGGACGCTAGTCTTCACCCAGAGAATCGATAGAGGTCAGCTCGACGTACAGAAGACTGATGAATCGAATTGACTCATCTGTCGACACCGACTTTCCGAGGTTTTTCACGGCACCATCTATGTTTTCATGTTCTTCCATTGAAAATCAAGAAGCGTAGATGAGGTCTGAACAGGTCTCCTGAATCGCATAATCTTGAAAGTTTCATAGTAACTGAGCATAGTTCCAGCATGGCGAAGGCAAGCAGATCAATGTCGAACGGTACACTCCAATCGAGTTGTTTGCTTCCGAGAACGATACGATCCAAATCCGCACAAAATCCGTATTCCATCACGATATACGATATACCTATCCCTGATTGATCACATCACCTACAGCACAACACGATACCTAAAACAGCCCCGCCAGATCTGCAAATGGGTCCTTCCCCTGCTGCGTCGGTTGCGTCGAGGTTGGCTGCTTCTGTCCCATCATCGCACCCATGCTTGCCCTTGATCCAGGTGTATTCATATGAATGGGGACTCCACCCTGGGCCACACCCATGCCTGCCGCTGATGACCCTATACTTATACCTAATCCTGGCGGACCCATTCCCGACAAGCTTGAATTCGGAGGGATGCTCACACCCCCGTTGTTGCCGAGATAACTCGGCGACGTCACCCGTGGTGGGGTAGGTGCGAGCATGATAGATCCGAACTGTGGTTGTGGTGAGGTGGTGTTTGGAACGGGTGATGACCTCGAGGTAGAAGCATTGTTCATCAGGGACGCGCTGGGTTGCGAAGCGAACATTGCGCTAGCACTTGATTGTCGGGCGTAAGATTGGGTCTGTGGCGGCGAGGTGAATAAGCTAGCTAGATCATCTACTGGTGCGACATGTGATGAGGAATGTGAACTGTCATCAAAACTGATAAGGGATGTTTCGAGTTCAGCGGGGATGGGGTTGGCTGATACGCTGTAATCGCCTTTCTTGAAGGCCTCGAAGCGTGTGATGACGTTGTTAATTTGATCGTTGATTTGCAGAAAGGCGTCTGAGCGGTATATGAGGCCTACTCGGAGAGTGGAGGGAAGGGCATACCTAAGGATTCTGGATCGTCTGTTTCTGCATCAGAGACCCATTTCTGGATCTTCGGACGAGCGGACTTCAATATCGACGCGACTTGCTGTTACAATAAGTGTGCAGCTATACAACCTTACAAGTAGAATGTCGACGTACGTCATACGCGTCTCCCGAGGCGAATTTCTCCCCTTGCGCAGTGTCGACGTTATCGAGCATCTCGTTGAGCAGGATAACCTTACTCTCGAGCTTATTGAGCTCCGTCATGGCTTGAGAGCGGTAGTCGGGCTTTGCATCGGGGTTTGCGCCTGAGAGGGACTTCATGAGTTCTTGCGCAACTGCCAGGTCGCGCGGGGTGCCTCTCCGGATGAGTTCCTGAAGTTTAGCAGACTGTGCTTCTCGGTCTTCCGACTCAAGTTCGTCAGCAGATTTGATATCCTATACTGCCACGTGAATGCATGAGATAGACATAGCCACGAACGAACTCACCATCGCCGCGGGGGCCTCCGCGCGGCGAGGCAGCTCCCTAAAGCGGTACCCTTTGAACGTCAGAAGCCTATGCATATCCTTGATATTCCCTAAGTCCTCCTTCCAGCGCGAATCAGTACATATACCCTCCTTCCATCGATGGATGAGCTCTAGGATCCTTGACATGACTGGTCCAGGAAAAGGAGGTGGACGTTCAGGGAATCGACGGACAAGCTCGTTCAAAAATTCTTTGGTTGAAATCTGGAGATGAAACGGGTAGCCACACGATTGTACGAGGGTGTCGAGAAGTGCTAGTGCGAGAATAGCAATATGTGGGTTCCGGTGGTTTGTTAGACGTGCTATGAGCATCGCTGCTTCTCGTGGGCTAATTCAAGGTCAGAACTAGATATTGCGAGAACAGGATCAACAGACGTATTAGCTTTCTTGGTGTTGATTAATTCGGCGATCTCAAGATGGACAGCGTAGTTGGGCTCAGGGAGTGTCGGGTCGCAGGCATTTTGTGTGAGCATTTCCAGCTTCGATGCCCTGAACCACGGAGTACCGTTCGACCCTCCCAGAATCATGCTCGTTGTCGCCTATAGTGAGTAGTAGAAGATCTGGCAAACGTGGCACTAACAACTGCGCTCACTGTCGTGGTCGACTTGGAAATCCGTGGGAATGTTGCCAGCGTGTACAACCCGCGCCTTTCTACTCAAACCACCATGGCCATCAGGTATCTACCTATTTCTATGTTATCGACGCAGTTATACTGTCCTACCGATAAAGACTCTACTTGATGCTCAATGCTCAGATCGGTTGGTTGAGATGACTATCTATACCAATAACTTTCGAAAGGATGTTCTGGCGCTGAAAATATCTAACGGACTGCAGTAAGCATTTATCAGATATATCGAATCATTACTCGGTATGCATGTCATGCCCTTCTAACCCAGTGACTGACAATGTGGTCAAGCATCTCTCAACGACCGTCCTCCGAGTCTCACTCCCGCCCTATCTCTGATAAGATCAATGTTCAGACCTCTGGTCCACTTGTCGACCACGCCATATGCGTACCTTGTTCTTCCAGTTCAATTCCAATTGCCGAGCATGATTGTGCTGTTCCTGCTGCACAGATGACTGAGGCAGAGAGGGAAGCGGTTTAGGAAGAGGCAAGGGTCATTAGAGGGAGATCAGGCGTTGAGAGGCGCGTGCTTGCAGGTGTTGGAGAAGGGTTCTGGCTGTGTGAGAGGTGTGTCATACATTTATTGTACTTTGATCTATCTATTAGCTGCTCTGCTGTGTAGCGGTCGAGAATGTTGATAGATCCTTTACATCCTCCCGGGCGAGCGGAGATGAGGGAGCATAAATACTGTCCGAGAATCATTGAGACAGGAGGCTCTCATTCGTTTCCGATGGTCATCACGTCATGATTGGATGAGCCTGTGTTAAATCCATGACCGCGTGATGTCACTGACCGAACTTAGAGGAATTCTTGCATTCTTTCTCCAAACATCCTACTTATTCGACCAGACCACCCCTAGCTTCTACGATCCGCGCAAGAATCTGCAGTTTCACTCTACCTTGGCTGAGCCACTACTGTAAGATTGAGGATCGCAAAATCAGCAATGACACCCTCGGGACGGTTGATGCGAAAGACAAATCACGCGCTCCAACCTCAAGTTCTCCCTGGACCTTTCATTGTCATCGCTGGTATGTCTTCCTGGAGCTTCCTGCTCTCCAATATGTATCTCCGGGGTCATCGCCTTCTCGTGATCATCATCTACAGGAAAAATCAAACAGGGAATTGGAACCTCAGTGATCGGAGTGCGTCTGATGCCACAGTGAGTATCAGGAAAATTCGATATTGCAAGGGGTGCGAGAGAATACAAGGGAAGTCTCCAAGATAGCCTTGTATCGCTTCACTGGATCATTATCGGGCCCAGGTAGAATCCAGGCAGCCATCGCGAATCGATACGTGGTTGGTGTTTCTAATGACGTCGGTAGTGTGGACTTCGATTTGTTGCGGAGAACAATGAGGCCTGAGGGTGCGTCATCTTGACTTGCAACAATGTTATTGCACAACAATTCCAGCAATGAACAATGAAAATGGTTTCTGATCCTCGCGAAGCTCACGTTGCTTAAGTTGAGCTCATCATTCTCGTACGGTCACGACAGATCATGAATCATAACGTGGTAATTAATCCCAAGAGGAAACAAAAAGATCAGTTTGATTACTCGACTGTCCAAAGAGGATAAGAACAAGTAGGTGAACCCAAAGAAGTGATCGTTCGTGTGTTTGTTCATTGTTCACCAGTTGCCGCCGGCGAACGGTCTTTGACATTGATCCACGCGCTGCTCATAATGGAAGCACGTGCATTGTCACGTGACGTCCCGCAGACTTTGATTCCACGCGTTACTCCAAGTTCCAACACCTTCGCTGCTAATCATCGCAAATCCAAGGTAAGCGCATGCAGTTGCATCGAAGCCTCTCTGTAATATGATACTTCTTCAGGCATCGTAGTCACGGTAAATTTTTGTGGATACCTGGTGGGAGAGGAGTGGTTGTTCCAACGAGGCGTTGATTTGGGTCATCCGCACCCCGTGACCGTAGGAGACGTGATGGAGATCACTTGCCTGGCTTCGAGCGATGTCAGGACAGCGACAGGTGTTTACTTCTACACCAAACTTCGTCGAGTGAAAACTCTCAAAGGGAACAGCTTTTGGTGCATTGCCTTCGCGATCCTTGGGAAGGCTTACCAACCAGCGCGCCGGCGGAGGAAAAATATCAAGCTCTGAAGGAGGCGCTGCAGAAGGATGGACCGCCTCGCTGGTTCCAAGCTTCTTGAGACGAAATGTCAGTGACTTATGCAATGGAAGCAACTAATTTTTATTTCTAAATCAGCCTTTTGTCGAGGATCGTGCGGAATCAATTATTCGGGAGAGTAGAGTGCGATACATGACGCTGCTCTATTCACAGGAAGGACATGCAACAGAGCTTTGTGCTTCCAGTCATTCAATAAGTCGTCTTCTACCGCCGGCATCTGCGAAACCCACATATCACACGTTTGTGGTGAGCTCCGGTTGATGGAGACTAATAAAGGTCACCTTCATCCAATGTACTATTCAACGCTTACATTCTCGTACGATCAGACTTAGAAGATTGATTCTGTTCTCGTCTTAATGCGGTGTTGAACGTCGAATTCCATTTATGTATTTATGTGTGTATTTCGGAGAATCTCAAATGCTGACCTTTACACGGGTGATACGATTGCGAAAATGCTTTTTTTTCGAGTCGAGAGCAAACATTTTCCTGACCTGTCATCCTGCCCTGAACCTACCAGTACTCCTTGATGTTGGACGAGCGTCGACTCAACGCCTGCGAATGGTATTGCGAGCTCGCGGAGACGACCAGTGCACCAGTGAAACGCAGAGAATGCCAAGGGTTCCAACGCCTTTGGCTAGTAAGACCGACCTACAAGCGCGCAGTAATGTCCGCATATTTAGCCCAGAAAACCACGAATCGCAGGTCGATGACAGTGTTAGTGAAGCATGGTACGGCATATGGAGTCGAAAGAGCACTAGTGCATCCAGTCATGCGATACATAGCCCGTTCTAATTCTTACAGGAAGTCATAGCAGTATAGTCCGCCGCTCTTCAACTTCAGTTGTAGTGCTTCACCACAATACCCTCAACGACCTCTTCTTCGACATTGTGTTCCACTCCCTTCTTAAGATCAGGACCTGCCATACGTCGTCGTCCTTCCCTTCCTCCACGCCTCGCAGGACGGAGAATCCTCATCAGGGCACTGGCGCTCAATACCAACGCTGCTGCAGTACCTGGGCTCTCAGCACACGGCAGCAAGCGAACAGTCGTTGTCTGGCATCGCAAAGTAGTATACACCCAGACGGTCGTAGTTGCGCTGGTCCTCGGGAGGTTGAACGACACGGTGGATTGTGGGCTTGTAGTATCCTCCGGTGAAGAAGTTCATCATGTCACCTGTGTTGATGACCTGGCGGCGGAACGTCAGGTTCGAGGTTGTCACGCCAAGCTCGTCAATCACGAACCAAACTGTTGTCAATGTGGCGGACCCATTTCCATCTCCCGTCAGGAGCCAGAATTTGCAGCCCTCCAATAGGCTGGCTCCACAGAATGGTTATGCTGCCAATGTCTGCGCGGGTCAGGAAGACAAGCGTAAGCAAAAGAGACGTTGTATACCTGTGTGTCCCTTCAACCAGACATTCTTCGATTTCTCTTCTTCATCCTTCGAGCGCCTATAGCTTAATGGGAGTTCGTAAGTTAACGAGCAGCTGCGAAGAAGGGGCCTTTACTATTTCATGAATCTGACTGCAAGATGTCCATCAATATAGGACTAAATACAAGAGAAAAAGACTAACCAGACGTTTCTCCCGTGCGGTCAAAGTCGTGCTTATCCACCAAAGTCTCGGCGGGCAACCCGAGGCTTAGCGCAATCAAGCTGCACAATACTGTTTATAAGATGAAACATTAACACAGTGATCGCGGCAGAACTGACCGAAGAATCGGGTGGAGAATGTTGAAGTGATTGTGACTTGCGAACGCATCGAGCTCCGGAAGGAACGGACGCAAGGCCAAGGGGTGCGGACGCTTTGTGACATTCATGTTTACTGTCGAAGTGTAAGCAGGACCTACCACATGGGTAATTGTAATACATACTTGCATAGTGTTCGATCTGGTCGAGAATTTGATTATCCGTGTCGACTTTCTGATTGATAGCAATAAGCTTCACAAACGTTGTCTCTTACTGTAATACGACACACCCAAAATTGACGAGCTTTATAACCGGCATAATACCCGACTTTCTCAACATCCGCAGTGTATATCTTCTTTTCATCCGGAGAGACATCGGCGAAAGGAACACCGGCTATATCAAAGATCCTGTCACGCTACAATAGTATTTCAGGGACGTTAGCGGTGAGTCACGAGTACGAGCCCTACCTGAGCCTGAGTATAACCATGATTGATAGCGTAGACGAAGCCATGAGTGCGCAGTGCATCTCGCAGTTGCGGGTAGAGCTCTGCTCGTCCTTCTGGTGTATGGGCCTTGGAAAGGTCAATGATAGTTAGGTCTGCAAATTCCACTACAAGCGGAATGATTGGATGAACGTAGTATATTAATCAGAACTCTCTTACGGTCCTCCTTAGTTTCTGGAGGCGGGATGTAGCGTCCGCACTCTGGCAGGGTTAAACTGGGCATTTCTCACTAGATGGTACGGGAGAAGAAAGTGCTTTGGGCGGCTGTGAATGTAGGAAGATAAATACCTCCAGTATGGCTTCCCGAAGACTGGAGAACTCACATTGAGATAAGCCGTCCGAAATAGATATGGTACTGTGACCTATGAGCACGGGATACCAGCAAATGCGTTCCATAGGAGAGCCTAGGCGTCCCAGTTTACGCCGCCTTTCTCCATTAAAATCCCAAACCTTACTCGCTAACGATACCCTTACGTGCTGGGTGTGCAAAGTTGGGGAACAAGTAACCATGTATGTGTGCAATTTGAAAGCTGGAAGATGAGTGAGCGGGGGTAAGATCAATGACCATGACAAGCGAGCTACATCAAATCGACTAGTCAGAGGCAATCCACTGAGCGGAGGATTAGCAGTGGCCGGAGCGAGCAAATAAATAAGAGATAATAAGTTAGCAGAGAACCGAGCTCGCTGAGGTAGGCACCGATATAGGCAAAAGATGACGCAGTTGACTCAATCAGTGAATTCGAATTCAGCTGAGAACTTGGAAGCTCAGAAGCTCAGAATAAGTACTGGAACATTACTCAGCTTCACTAGTACTGAGGCCCCGGGGTGTGAAAATGGGCTGAGAACTTTATGCCCTGGTCGAGTCTGGTCGACCGTCGGTGCCAAAGCTATACGCATCTAGGTCACCGCAATAATGAGCTTAGAAAAAGTGAAGGTCGTTGAGATTCGAGATTTGAGAGTCAATCGAGACGGGAGTCCCGAGCCAACGTTTGAGACTGAAGACTTCTCGTAATGGGTTCAATTATATATGATAGTGGCTGAGAATTTCAAGAAGCGGTGAGTTGATGGAAACGGCAACACAAACTCATACCTGTGATCTCAAAAGCGCAGCAAGACGTTCTCGGCCTATGGTTCGGCGTACTAAATGAACGTGATATAGCCTGAGTGGTGAGCACCAATTCCACTGCCTTCATTCATGTCTTTTCTCCCTAGAAAATTCAGAGTCGCTCATGTCTGCCCAACTCCAAAGGTCATTCTCCACATTATCTCTCGCGGTTTTCACTCAATTTCACGCAATCCTGGTCTCCTCTCCTTCTCGATCCTCGTTGCGCTTTACATCATAACTGAGATAGTGTTTTCCGTGGCGTTCTTTTGGGGATTCTCTGGATGGCGACCCGCTTTCCCCTTAAGCTGGAGGTTCCTACTTCTACTCCTCTTCGTAGTCCCCATCTTTGCCTTCATTCAAGTATCGCGATTTGTACTTCCCCTGCTCATCAACCGATGGAATGGCACGGTCGGAGGCATGAACCTTTCTCAGCAAGGGTATGTCATGCTCCAGCGAAATGGCACCACCGACGCACCAACTGAACTATTCGACGCTGCCGAGGAAGAAAATGCGCTGCTGGAAAATGTTGAAGAAGGTAGTGAGCGCTCTAGACCAGTGTCTCCTACTGCGCATCTTGTGGTGCCGCATCCCAAATGGTGGTGGATACAACTTCTCGCATACATCGTACTTTTTTGCGCGAGCACGTGGGTCGGACTGCATTATGAACAACCTGGTGATGTGCGCTACAGGGACTCAATTCAGTCGGCTGTTGATCATCCTCGAAGACAAGGCTACGGAAAGCAAGGTACGTTTTCTCAACATATCGAATCGAAGGTAGCTTATGTGGCTTCAGAGAAAATATTCATTGCTGCGTTGTTCTACAACAATGAACTAGTTATTCCCTACTGGCACAACTCTCTTATCAAAGTCATCCATTATCTCGGTCCGGACAATGTGTTCGTCTCTGTTGTTGAGAGTCACAGTACCGATAGCTCCCCTCAGCTCCTTCAGGCGCTAGATGCAGACCTTGAGCTTTTGGGTGTGTCGCGGCGCATACTCACAGGAGATGAGACAATTTCGAGACCTGACTATATGGGCGGGGGCGAACGCATCGAATTCTTAGCGGCTACGCGTAACCGTGCACTGGAACCCTTAGTGGCAGGAGGGTATGATAGGGTCATGTTCTCGAATGACATATTTATCGAGCCTGAGAGCTTGGTGGAGTTATTGGAGACAAATGGCGGAGACTACGATGTGGCATGCGGGCTAGACTTTGGGCATTTTGGGTAGGTACATTCAGCTGCTACGACATACCTATGGTTCTAATGGCCGGAAGCGCATTTGATATGTGGGTTCTCCGAGATCGACAGGCAAGGCTAGCCAGTGCAATGTGAGTTGCCAACTTCGTGTTCATGTAGACAGTCTAATTCAATTGATTCGACACATAGCTGGCCATATTTCTTCGACGAGGCTGACTATCATGCCATGCAGGAGGATTCTCCCGCACCCGTCTTCGCCTGCTGGAACGGTATCACCGTCTTCACTGCAGATCCTCTTATTCCTATAGCCTTGCGCTCTAACCGCACGCTTTCAAACGATCCTTTGCCATATGAATTGCCCTCAACCCACCCGGCAACGCAAGATGCTTCTATGCGCGGTCCTAGTCCTGCTCTGACTCCCCCAATAGAATTCCGCGTCTCTGTGCCAGAGGAATGCTTTTCGTCTGAAAGCTTCTTACTACCGTATGACCTTAGGCGACAGTTCAATCTACAGCGCATGTATGTCAACCCAAGGGTCATTAATGCGTACCGGTGGAGGTATGTCGCATGCAGCATTATCGGGAACGTGGCTGATGTTGCATACTAGATATTATGTCTACTTCAAATGGTTCATGCGCCACCCCGTACTGCGGTGGTGGATCGAAAAAGTGTACAACGGTGCATGGATGGCAAGAGCTGTGTTAGTTGTGGGTGATGCAACTCAGGTGTACCGATGGGACGGAGGGGACTGCCATCCATGGTTTTGAGAGTTTTGGCTCTGTTCCACAAACCCAGTCGCGAGGTTACGTGGCAATGAGTTAGGATTCGGACATATTCAGTTATTCACTACCTGGGAGCCGTCGCAGAAGCTGCGTAGAGTCTTCGGACAACATATTATTACCGGTACTAATCTGCCACCGACGTTTGTGCACGTCGACTCGTACGTCCACACAATCACCCATACAGCGCCTTTCCATCATACAAGACCGTAATGGGGCCATCAGCGTTCATCGGTTATGGAGCCCCTTTGCACCGTCGCGTCCAGCTTGAAGGTCTAGCAGTGAATATTATCGGAGCACCGTAACGGTCAAGAGAAGTCTCTTCTTTCTTCATCTCATGGGAACTGTCATAGATTGTCGTTCTCCAGTTATCCAGCATGATCAGTCCTGAGGCTATGAGTAGCCCAGCGCAGACTATGTTCAAGTCGTTCATTACGTTTAAGGGAACTATGCATCACGATCCCTCTGGGTCTCTACATAAACAGAGAACTCGCGGAACCTGTTGAGGGTAGCACAATCGAGTGAGTGTCTTCACCGTACACTTGAGCGCGGTCTCATTTGTACTTGGTGGTGTCAGTCCTGGCACGAATTCTTTGTCCGTAAATTCTTGCAGCAACAGGCAAGGTAGTTACTTCCATCGCAGCCGGTCAATTTATAGACATTGCTGCGAAGGCAGCCAAGAAAGCCTCCAAGACTTCATGGGGCCTGGAGCCGAGCGTGGCAAGGTCATATCAATGCTCACAGTTTTTATGGAGTAACATATTGCGGAGTTCGCTGCTCTCTATGCCCTTGCTAATGATGCGAACCGTTGGATCACCGCTACTTGAGTAACTAAGAAGTACCTTCAAGAGAAGGCTTACAGTACCGCATACAGTCGAGACAACAATGAGCGATTGCCGTCATGCAGTACTATGCTGGCTAGGCTGATGGAATCAATGGGAAAACTTATATGGTCATTTCAGAAATACATTTCAAAGTTGTAAAAAAATATCTTCTGGTGGGCTGGTACATATGTTAGAGGGTACTTCCAGGATGGATATGAGCCAACAATCAAAGAAAACGGCGGTTGGGTTGTGGAGATATTTATATGGTCATTTCAGAAATACATTTCAAAGTTGTAAAAAAATATCTTCTGGTGGGCTGGTACATATGTTAGAGGGTACTTCCAGGATAGATATGAGCCAACAATCAAAGAAAACGGCGGTTGGGTTGTGGAGATATTGTCAAAATACTGACTTTTCAGCCCACTTGACATATCACATCATTGTCGACCTCTGGATGCTCCGGGACCATCACCAATCGATTCCTAGGCCTCAATAACCCCAGTAACATTGTTTTCAATATCGGTATTGAGGTACAATATCGGAATAGTGACATACAGATGATGAGGGGGGGAGGAGGACCTTGTATATCTCAGGAATATGATTTTTCCAGGGAAATCTGGCATCACCACTGTGTTCAGAGGGCTCAAGAACCCCCAGGAAAAATACTTCTGAAGGACAGGCAAGTCACATGAAGGCTAGAAAAATCGATCTTTGGGTGGGGCAGCATGACAGGGGTGGTCAACTTTGGAACATGATTTTTAGAGCGAAATCTGGCTCGACCATCGTGTTCAGATGGTCCAATAACCTCTAAAATGAATCATAGATAAAGCCAGGCAAGTCATATGAAGGCTGAAAAAATCGATCTTTGAGTGGGGCAGCATGGCAGTGGTGATCAACTTTGGAACATGATTTTTAGAGCGAAATCTGGCTCGACCATCGTGTTCGTATGGTCCAATAATCTCTAAAATGAATCCTAGCTAAGGCCAGACAAGTCATAGGAAGGCTGAAAAAATCGACCTTTGGGTGGGCCACCATGGCAGTGGTGGTCAACTTTGGAACATGATTTTTAGAGTGAAATCTGGCTCGACCATCGTGTTCATATGGTCAAATAACCTCTAAAATGAATCCTAGCTAAAGCCAGGCAAGTCATATGAAGGCTGAAAAAATCGACCTTTGGGTGGGCCACCATGGCAGTGGTGGTCAACTTTGGAACATGATTTTTAGAGCAAAGTCTGGCTCGACCAACGTGTTCATATGGTTGAATAACCTCTAGAATGAGTCCTACTTAAAGCCAGGCAAGTCGTGTGAAGGCTGAAAAAATCGACCTTTGGCTGGGGCAGCATGACAGGGGTGGTCAACTTTGGAACATGATTTTTAGAGACCAAACTGGTATCACCGATCCATTCATATGGTTCAATAACCTTGAGAATGAGTCCTAATTAAAGACAGGCAAGTCATGTGAAGGCTAAACAAATCGATCTTTG